TTATGGCAAAATTTTGGTTGGACTCTCAAATTCCAAATTAAAAAAACAAATAAAACTCAAATGGTTTTTTTTTTAACACAGTTAGTAGTCCTAAAGTTTTAAACATCTGCCTTCTTATGCCACCTCTCAGTGGTTGGCTATTTCCATGTACAATAGAGGACCATCCAGTTGCACTGTCATTTTCAAAAAGCCATTAAGAACCAAACAGTTCACACAAATATGACTCCCTTAAACTGGGAGGGGACTTGTTTTCAGGAATCCTTCTTGCTGCCCCCACTAACAAGGTAATTGGGTGATGATAACCATTAGCAATAGAAGCATCCAGTCACAGAAAAGGCTAGAGCCCAACTAATTCTTCTAAACATGTTCTTTTCTAATGAGGAGAACATTTCATTCTCCATCCCCCAAAATCAGTTCTTCCAGGTTTCTTTGAAGGTAAACTGAGTTCTGAAGAGCTTCCTTAGTAGAATTTGGTGAAGACTTTAAAATTATTTTTCTGTATGCCTTATGAGCCCTAACCCTGTTGTTTATTCTCATCATGACCTCCAATCCCTCCACCTCCCAGTGCTTCTCATTTTTTGAGGTTCATTCAATTCAAATGTATCACCAAATCAAAATTCTGGTAAATTATCTACCTAGAACCTTCTCTCCCCAAAGAGATTATCTTTCCTTCTTCAATGAGTTCAATGCTTGGCACACAGTCTTTCTCTCCACCCCAACTTTTGGACTCATTTTGTTGTTATTGAGTCATTCAGTTGTGTCCGACTCTCTAGACCATAATGTCCATGAGGTTTTCTTGGCAAAGGTACTGGAGTGGTTTGGCATTTCCTTCCTTGGTGGATTAAGGCAAACAGAGTTTAAGTGATGTGTCCAGGGTCACACAGCAAAGAAGTGCCTGAGACCAGATCTGAATTCAAGCCTTTCTGACTCTTAGTCTCTATCTATTGGTATCTGAATATAATGGAATACTATTGTTCCATAAAAAATGGTGAGCTGGTGGATCTCAGAAAAACCTGGAAAGACTTGCATGAAGTGAGCAGAACCAGGAAAACATTGTACACAGTAACAGCAACATTGTGCAATGACCAGCTTTGCTAGACTTAGCTCTTCTCAACAATGCAATGATCTAAGTCTAAGACAATCCCAAAAGACTCATGATGGAAAATGCTATCCACATCCAGAGAAAGAACTACAGAGTCTGAATGAATATTGAAGCACACTAATTTTGGGTAGCAGCTAGTGGATAAGTAGACACTGAAAATTATTGGGGATGATAAAGGAGACAATATTCTGGACAGAATGGGATCATGGGCACATATAGAGGGTTTTCCTGAAAGGCAAAAGGATTATCTCTTCATGCGTCAGAGGGGTGATGGAGGAGACGGTGAGGAAATACATTTGAATGGTTTAATATGAGGAGGAGGGAAAAAGAGAAAGCTCTTGGTGAAACACCTCACTTTTTCAGTGAAATATGAGGCAAGGTGAATTAAATGAGATAATGGGAGACTTGAGGAGAGATGAATTTGAAATTTGGGATAACCACTCTAGTTAATGAGAAAGTGAATTAGGGAGGCATAAAAGGATTGCCTTCCTTTGTGAGAGTCCATAACCAGAATGCTCTCCCTCAGCTCTACCTGTGGGATTTCCCAACTTCCTTCAAGTCTCATCTCAAATCCCACTATTTACAAAAGCCCTTTCCTGGTGTCTTCTCACAATTCCAGCACTTTCCCTGTGAGATAACCTCACATTTTCATTATATATATAGTATTTACTTAGTAATTTGTGTGTTACCTACTCTTTTGGAATAAGAATTCCTTGAAAACAGTGGTTAGGGATGGGCTTAATGCTAGCACCCTTTCAGTTTGAGTTTGATATTGGGATGAAATGAAGCATTTTGCAAGTCATTGAACAGTTAATAAAAGGAGTTCTACTTTGCCTTAACACAGCAAGGATATGTAAGCTTCTGTGGAAGCAGTCTTCCCTCCTTGTCTCCATGTCTGGTCAACAGGATAGGGTCTGATGAGTGTTTGGTCTTCACAAATCCACCAAGTTAAGAAGGGCCTGACTCCACATGAATTGGATTTTCTATGTCGTTATGTGACCAGGAAGCTATGTCAAAGGAGGCAGGGGCCAATTAAGTCTCTGGGATAGTTTTGTTGCCTTTTTAGGGATAACTAATTTCTGTTGTGGAGAAATGGGGAACTCTGGTCCTATCACAGCAAGGATCACATTTTTACCTTTCTTTGTATCTACAGTGGTCAGCACAGGTCCTAGGTACACAGTAGATGCTTGTTGACTGACTATAAAGAATAAGTTTTGTAGGGGTATTCCTTTAAGTCCTGAGTATATCTAGAGGTTTTATCCATTTTGTAGTTATTTTGGATAGAATATGTTTTTTATAGCCTTCTATTTAACTTCATTAGTAATATAAAGAAAAAATGATGATAATTTTATGGATTTACTTTATATCTTGCTAATTTAATGAAATCCCTAATTGTTTCTATTAACTTTTTGTATTGAATTCCTAGGGTTCTCTTAAGTAAACCATCATATCACCTGTAAATAGAGATGATTTTCTTCACCTATGCTTATTCCTTGAATTTTTTTTTCTTGTCCTAATGCTACAGGTAGTATTTTTAGAACTAGAACTTTATTCCTCTAATCCTAAGGTAGCCCTTTTTTTCCAATGCCATCTTCTTTTGATTCCACCCCCTCCCTTCTTCTCTAGCAGATTTCCCCCTCAATCAGCATGCTTTCTCTCTCTAATCCTCAATCTTTCCCTACCTACTAGTTCCTTCCCTGATACTAACGTGCTTAAGTTTCTCCCTTTCTTAAAAAAATCTTCACTACATCTTACAATTTCTTTATCATCATGTATCTCTGCATTTTCTAGCCAAATTCCTAGGAAAAGTTATTTACACTCATTGCTTTCACTTCCTCTCTTCTTATTTATCTTGAAGTCCTCTACCATCAGGCAACGTACTTCATCATTCAACTGAAATTGTTTTTTTCCAAAGTTATCAAGTGATTTCTTACCTGCCAAATCTGATGAACTTTTCTCAGTCCTTATCCATTTTGACTTCTCTGTAGCATTTGATACAGTTGATCACCCCCTCCTCCTGGATGAATATCCCTCTCTGAATTTTTGAGACACTATTCTCTCCTGATCATCCTCCTACTTATATTTTTTTAGTCTGAGCAATATGTATCTATTGTGTATATACCAAATTTCACAGTAATTTAATTGGGGTCCAATAGCTCAACATACTACTGTAGACACTTGTCAAATCCACTAATATGGAAAAATAATACTACAGTCCATGGCACTAGGTAGTTCAATGCATAATTTTCCACTGTTTTATGTCTCATATTCCAAAATAGATGACTCTAATGAATGAGCCCACATCTTTGTGAGAACTATGAATAGGAAGGAGAAAGTAGGAACTAATAATAAATAGCAAAAGGAGTTGAGAAGACACAAATGCTAAAGAATACTACTTTAGGAGCCTCTTAGACCCAATAGTATAAAAATAGCTAAACAATAATTTATTCAGAATTTGTAAATGAAAAAGTATCCATTTTCTTCACTGTTATAGTATTCTATACAGCATAAAAGTCTATATTAAAAAATTTAAAGTTTATACTAGCATAAAAGCCTTTTACTAAAATTCTACTTCCATGTCTCTTTGTGGTATAACACGCTGGTGATGTCATTATATTGAATTGGTTGGCCATAGATTGATATTTTTTAGTCATACCATCTTTCAAAATGCAATCTACTGTCATGATGGTGCTCAACTCTAACTCCTCTACTAGGGGAAGTTGAAGCTGGTAGATCTCTGGTGTTCAGGGGCCTTTAGCTGTAGTAGGGCTAAAACTGATTTGGTGCTTATAATAAGTTTGGCATTAACATGGTGAGGCTCAGGAGCAGAGGGCCACCAGGCTGCTTAAGGAGGGTTGAATGAGCCCAGGTCAGAAAAAGGGAGCAGTTGAAAGCTTCCAAACTCATCTACATTAGGGTCAACCCATGAGTGGCCTTTACACTTCCTGCCCAGGTATGGAAAGTCTCCAAAAAACAAAAACAAAAGGACTAACTACTAAGTTGTAGATGTTGGTGTCTATGTCAATGGAGGGAATATCTACTAACAAATTTATACATCCTTGAAATAAATAGCAGAAAACGGACCAATCATGTAATAGCTTCTATAGTGTAAAACAGTTATCCCTTCTACATCACAGGGGTTAGGAGTGCGTTGCCTCCTCAAGCTGGAAAATCCATGTAAAATTTTTTGGCCCTCCCTTCATACAAGAGAAGAAATCGGAATTTTTTCTTTTTCTTTTATGGGGAATTTACAGTACCTTATTACAAAATCTGGGTTGATATTATACAATACTATAGATATATTTTATACATTTCTGAGTTTTAAAATTTCTTCTGTGTTGTCTGCTAGCCTTTGTGTGTCGTCTGTGGCTTCTGCAAAACTCCCCCAAAATTCCCATTTAATTTCTTATGCCAACCCATGATATATCAAAATCATAGTTGGGAAAGTCATGATGTGGAAAGGATACTTGCAGAATAGTCCAACTTCTTTCATTTTAGAGCTCTTTCTACTTCTACCATTCTTTTGGCATCTATTCCAAAATTGTTTTGATATGTTACTTAACTTTATATGTGCATATCTTGTCTCTCCAATTATATCGTAGGAGCCTTCATGGCAGGGATCTTAACACTTTTGATTGCCAACTGTGCTAATCACAGTGTCTTTCAAATGACAGATTCCCAATAAGATTTATCATTTAGGGATTGTGTTTTTAAATTCTAGATAGTTGTAATATTATGTTATTATTAGTAATATCAATAAATAACAACTAATTGTTCACAACTTATCACTTCCAGTTAATTCACAACAGAAACATACATATGCATCAAGAATAATATTTGAGTCTTTCATTAAACAGTTTGTTACATTACTCTATAATCACATTTAGTGATATAAATGGTAGTTTTATTAAATCTTGTGAATGATTACATAAAGTTGATTTTCCTCATAAAATTAACTGAGCATATGCTTTTTTGTCTCATTGAAATGATGTGAGCATTTATTTCTTAAGCCCATTTATACATATGTACATATATATAAATGCATAGGAATAATTTGTTTACATGACAATCCATTTATGTGTAGGCAAAGATTAATAGTTTGGTTAGCCTTAATGATTGATGAGGTAATGTCTTATGGTAGGTCTCACCAAGCATTTTTAACAGTTTATGTCTGATATCAAACAAATAGAAATTGGTCCCCAAGGGTCATGTATTGACTTAGAAAACCACAAGTTAACATTATCTATACTTTGTTGTATTTTTATTTATTTTGTTAAACATTTGCCAGTTACATTTTGATCTGGTTCTGGACCCACCTGGGAGATCTTCAGGCCTCATGTAGCCCAAGTCTGACACCTCTGGCTTAAGTTACCACAGGATAGGAAGACTTTTTAATGTCAGAAATAAACAGGGGTTCACACATTATGAAAAATATCTTTACATTATATAAGACTATTTTGGTGACATCATTGCTAAATTAAATTCAACATGACTGAAGAAAACCCTCAGAGGTTTATATTTTCAGATCTGAAACTTGTTATAGCTCAATTTCACTGTCATTTGAACAACAGGCATTCTCTATCTAATACATATAAGTATATATAAGTGACCAGAAAATCTTATTTCCCCCTAGAAGACAGAATGGCTCTGAAACATCTATGAAATGGTTTGATTTATTCTGAAGCTATAATGTCTTGAAAGTATCTTATATTTTTTCAAGTGTATGACTAATTATTCAGTGAAACAGTCATCGTAAACAGTATATTCATTACAGAATTTTACAGGTCAGCAGTAGCTCTTATATCCACATCTATTTGCCAAACTTGATGCTGATGTCTTTAAGCATACACTTTTCATTTCCAACTATGTGATGAAAAAAGAAACATAGTTTCCTGACCTATTTCCAGAGACTGAGGCAATCATTTTGAGTCCCTAATGGATTTTTGAAGAATTTCTTTTTTAAAAATTATCTTTTTAACAGAATCAACCTTCTGGCCTCATGTACAGCTCCTGACATTTCACACAGACAGACTTGCTTGTCCTTTTGAGACTCTACTGGTTAGCCACTGTGGAAAAAAGTCATTGGATTCCAAATTATGTAGAAGTCAGATTCCTACAATGTCAGAATCCTATAGGAAATCCATTGATTCTGTGGAAGCGGTGCAGGTAAAGGGGGAGGAGACTATGCTTAGGCAATTCATCCTAATTTTAAAAGTTAAATATGTATGTAGTTCTATTCTATCACCCTCAGGCCCAAATCTCCCTAGGATTCTGGGATGTGAATTTTAAGCTACAGGAGGGACTAGGAGGAAAAGAATGTTTTTTTAATCCTTACAATGTCCAATGCAATGATCACCCATAGTGGGCTCTAGAGAAATATGTTGACTGATTAATGATTGAACCATTATATAGATTCTAAATCTTACCAACTTTGGAAACCTATCAATTATGACACATTGTTCTATCTCAGGGAGTTCCTTGTTCATTAACACACCATTGATGGATAAGAAAATCAAAAGATTTTACCTAGAAAGAGAACATAGTTTTCTTGTATAATATTCTGTATCCTAAAAAGGATCATCAAGGAGGGTTGGAAAATGCAGTTATAAGTAAGTTGCACATTGCTATTATGTCACTAATACAATAGCATAGCCCTCTGATATAAGTAAAATTTTTCCCATATTAGTCATACAATTCTTCCCAGGGAGTCCTAGAAGAGAAAATCATGTGACAGATTTATAGGTCTTTCTAAACTACCTCTGTTGAGAGGCCACCTTAAAGCTCCTGTTCAATGCCAACTGACAACCCTCTCCTCTGATAGAAGTATTTCCAGACTAAACAAAAGATGAGTATCAAAAACACAAGAAAAATTAACATACAACATTTTTTCAGTAACAATTCAGTCACCATAAAACATAGTTTAAAATACACAATTAAAAAAATTTTTTTGTGGAAAAAATGGTTACATATCAAGTTATTAGCCATGCAAAAGACCAGCTTAAGCATAGTTATCCTATAATCAACTATCAATAACTTTTTTTGGACACATATGAACAGAGATCTTGCAGTCATTTCTATGGAAAAGAATTTATCCAAACTCTTTATAATTATTCTATATCACGAATGTTACAAAACTTAAACTTTTTCCTATAAGTTTACAGCATTCATCACGTCCTGCTTCATTTCATGCACACATTCAATCCATTTTGTCAAAAAATAAAATGATTCATTTACATGTTTATGAAATAACTGCTGCTATGTTAATGGATTTCTATTAGTGGAGCTGCACATAGGATTTGTGACTAGAAGAGAATGTCATAGTGCTAAACTGTCCTTAGATTCAAACCTCTAAATACAAAATACCGCTTCCTGGTGCATCCATAAGGCTGTTCTTTGTAATCTTTGCTATTAAAAACCATTCTAGGTTGTATATTCTGCAACCTAGTCTAGATCTGGTATTTTCATACTTTTGTTCACTTTTTATTTGTATCTTGTAATTATTTGCAGACTGTCAGGTTCATGTTATCACAAGCCTTTCCTAGAATAATATAACCTATCAATATGTTAGGCCACTCCATAGAAATCTGGCAGCACAGCTAGATTCAGCAGGCCTGTTTTTTTCTCTGGGTGTTTAGTGATTCAAATTACCTTTTAGAACTAAGTTATTTGAAAGACTGCATAATCCTGCATATAGCTCTACAGTGGGAAGGAGGAAGTTGAAGACAGACAAGGTCTGTTTTTTGTGCTCACTGCAACTTCTGTGTGAAGTTCATCTGCAAATGAGTGCTTTTAGATTGTGTGTTATGATGTTAATTTGCTTCTTGTGCAGCTAAAGATCAACAGCCATGAGTGAGAACACTAGCATCTCCTCAGTCTGTCTGTCACCTACTAAGCACTTCAAAAAGTATAAAATTGTGAGATTCTTGTTAATATTTAGCATTTGTCTATCACATTGATTAGCATCCAAATAAGGTGACAAATTACAAGGAGGAGAATTAAAGTAGAGTTCTTAAAAATGTTCTACCATGTCCAATAAAATGTCATCATTCACTGCTGCTGCTGCTAGTGACTTCTTTCTTAGGAGATGATGAAGTATCTCGAGCTGGTAATAAATCATAATGACATGGAATGTGGCTGTTCTTTGGAAGGTCATATGGATCCTGGCTGAGAGGTCCATTATTGCTTAATACTTCTTGTACAATAATCATTGTGGGTTCTGTGACAACCAAAAACAGACATTTATAAAAAATGGCAATTAAATAAAAAAAGAATAAAACATTTCTTGCAAATGTGAAACATTAAGGAAAGCTTTTTAATAAAAATACAGAGATGTATAATTTTGAATGCTAAGTAATTCTGATTTAAACAAACTCTTTTGCCAGTGTTGAGATGGTGTTCATTGATTATCAAAATTAACATTGCAGCGCAAGAAGATGATGACATTGCTGGATCAGAGATGTCAAGTGGTTCAAAACAAAATTAACAGCAGATTAAACTGCTGTTTGACTCATAGGATTATAGATTTAGAGATGGTAGGGAGCTTAGAGATCATCCCAGGGCTTCTTAACCTTTTCCCATTTGTGACCCTTTTCATGTTTTGGCAGGGCATGCGCAGTGCAAAGCGCTGTGCTTTGTGTTCAGACCCAAGGTTGCAGTGAAGTTGCATGATGCAGCACAGGCAAGTGCTGCCAGAAACACCTTGAATTCATTACACATTTGATTTTGAATTAATTTTTGGTCATTGTGCATTCAGAAATCTTTTACTGTTGCCAAATTTTTCGGGAACTCACAGTTTAAGAAGCGCTGAAGACCAACCTCCTCCATTTAACAGAGGAGGAAACTGAGGCTGAGACAGGTGAAATTGACATAAAAGTGACAGAACTGTTATTTAAACTCAGGACTTCCAGCTTTTTCTACACTGCGTCGGCCTGCTCTGCCCCTCCACCCCAACCTTTCTACTATACAGATATTCCAAAAATGACTCTTCTGGGAACAAAACCCCTTTATAAAAAAATTCAAGTTATGATTAAAAAAAAACCTCTCCAACATCATGTTGTCTCAATGACAATGTTCCAAATAAGCCATATGTATACAACACTTCACAAATAAAACTACTAATACAAATGTACAAATCATAGAAATGTATGTATGTATTCTGCATAACAGAATATACTGACAAAACTACCATATTTAACAGAAGGCATCATTCCTTTCTCTCCTCCTTAGTCATCTCCCATCTCAAGCATTCAGAGCACTTCTTTTTCTTTTTCTCCCTATCAAAACTAGAGGTGTTATTAGTTGTTTATGGTAGCTTGAGCCAATATAATAAAAATGACAGTACCTCCTTAAATTAATTTGCTTCATCAGTCCTGTATCAAACTCCCCAAAGAATATTTTATAGAGCTAGAAAAAAATAATAGTATTTATACAGAGGAATAAAAGGTTAGGAATCTTAAGGGCAATCACAAAAAAAAGTGAGAAGGAAGGAGAGTCCCTCACTAAGAGATTACGAACTGTATAACAAAGCAGTAATCATTAAAATAATTGGTATTGGTTAAAAAAAGAAGAGTAATCTATTAGTGGGATAAAATGGGATGGCTATCAATGATTTGGGAATTAAGAAAATGACTTTTTTTTCTTTAAAGGCATTGTATACCAATAGATTGACCGCTGTGTAAGGATTAGGGAAGATGAAATATTTTTAATAATTATTCATTAAATGCTCTAGTTTATTTCCAAAATAACATGAAAGAATTTAATATTCATTAGCTTCTCTTACCAACTTCATAGACATTCTTATTAGCTGAAGCTGAGCTACTGATCTCAGCATATGGAGAGTCTCTGTGTACTGGTGACTTCATTTCCACGTAGCCACTGTCTGAATTTTGAGGTATGAGTACTGGTGGATCTTTAATAGTAGCATATGGATTTTCAGAACTATTTAGCGAACAGCTGCTTGAATTATATTCAGAATTCTTTACTAAATCTGTGGAAGAAAAAAATAACAACCCTTCAGGAGTATGTATATTTGATATTAGATTACTGAACTGTCTATAAGCAAGAAAGCTTTAAAGTGAAATGTATCCATTGGGGTTTCTGAATATTTGTTCCATGCCATACTGACAGACTACACCACAAATTTCAAGAAAGAATGAAGATCAGTGAATCAGATTACTAAAATGTGCATCATGTCTCTGTATCTCAAGGCAAGTGTGGCTAGAATATATAATCCTAGCCAAATCAGAGGAGCTAGAGACAAAAATGGTAAAGGGGCTGTAGTTAAAAACAAGAATTATCTCTCAATCTGAACAACTGAAAATTCCTTATATTTCTGATACTGGTTTACATCATAATTTCACTATATGGACTCCAAAAGCTACATTTTTTTTTAGAGGAGGACAAAGGTCACCGATTTTGCTTTAATTTACTTTATCTCCATTGGCACCAGGCATAGCTCTTCATTTGTACACACATTGATTCTCATGTGTAGTTGACTCACTAGCCTCTACAATGGGGCTGGATCCTCTTCTGTATGTAGAGAAAACTGACTTCTGTATGAATCTTCCAGTCTTGGCTGGAGAAGAATTTGGGATTTGGCAGCTATTTCCGGTGCAGGGGACCATATGATGAGGTCTAGAGGTTTAGGGAAGCTGGAACCCTGAGATCATGACATGAGGGTCCTGTCTGAAAGAATTTAACCAAGCCTTCTTTCAGCCAAAGACAAGGTTTATTACAGATTCGCCGTATTAGCCAGACTCTTAAGGAATCTAAGCATCTGTGAGCTATTGGCTAGATTGTAAAAATCTGAACAGTGGCTACATTACATGAATCTGAGCCTAAAGGCTACTTTTAAAATCATCTCCTTTGCCTTTTAAAATCATCTCCTTTGCCTTTTAAAATAAAATGTATAAATTAACACTCAAAAGTATTTTTAAGTTGAGGCTGACTAATATCTATGCCTCCCCTCTTTATCCTCCAACCACTATGATAGAAGCAACTTCATGGGCAAGGATTGTTTTATTTTTATATTTGTATCTTTAGGACCTAGCACAAAGTAGGTGTTTAATAAATGTTCGTTGAATTGGATTTTTTTTCATCTAGATTCAGTTCACTATTATCTTTAAGATAAAATACAATCTTCTATATGGTATTAAAAGCCCTTTATAATCTGGCTCCAATCTATCTTTCCAGAGTTATTTTATATTATGCCTTTTCACAGACTCTACATTCTATAGGTTGACCTGATGTTCCTCATACATCACATTCCATCTCCCACCTCCATGCCTTTTCACTATTTTCAGTCAGTCAGTCAATAAGCATTTGTTAAGCACCTACTATGCCAGGTACTGGGGGATACTAAAAAAGTGCTCTCAATGAGCACACAGTATAATGAGGGAGCCAACCTACAAACAACTATTTATAAATGATATATATGGGATACATTGGATAAATTCTCTTTACTGGAAGGCTTTCCTTTTCACCTCCCCAAATCGGTTTGCATTTATTATACCCTATACATATCTATACCCATATACTATAAAGGCCTTTATATGTATAAGGTATACATATATACTTTTATAATCCATTTACTATATGTAGTACCCTCTCTGGCTCACTCCACCAGCTACTATTCAAATTGATAAGCTGGATCAAACAGGGTGCTTGGCTACTACTCTAGCCCCTCACTGGGCTGGGCCTCTGGGTTCATGAGGCTAGGCAGATGAGTCAACTGCTAGGCTATTTTCAGGATGCAGAGTCTCTATGGTTCTCTCTGGGCTAGTTTATTGTTGGACAATTACAGTCTTTTCCCACCTTCAGCCACTGGCTCCACTGGATAATAAATACTTCATTATCTTTAGCTGGAATATTACGCTACTCTTTTCGGCTAAGGTGCCCTAGTACCCTTTCAATTAGGGCAATGAACATCAGCTTAGGATCATTAGAGGCTTTTCTCTTTGACTTCCTCTGCTGGGAGGTAGTTTGTCACCTTCAAGGAAAAGGTGCTAGAGGTCTAACCCTTTCTTGTTCCAACTATCTTTCTACTCTTCAAAGCTCCTTCCTACCCATCCCTACCCCCATAAGGCAAGGGACACTAGGCATACCATGTATATCTAGTGCATCATAATATTTTTTCCTGTCTTTTTTGGAAAGAATAGCTGCAATATGTATGTATAATAACATTTTTCAATTCTAGTCCAAAATAGGGATAATAAGAATAATAGGTCTTGATAGTATTTTGTTACAATTATTTCCTTAAGGGTATCATGGCATAATAGGTAGAAAGTTATACTTAGAGCCAGGAAGACCTCTTTATTTCCCATAGGGTTATATTCCTTTGGACTTCTCCACAATGCTCCCGGGAACTTCACCAAGATCAAATCAGCCTTGGTACTCACACCTCATTAGTACCTTCTGCCCCTCCGACTAACTGGGCAGAGTGATAAGATCCTCCCTAAACCTCCATTTATGGAGGGGTCCAGGTCAGCTGCACCTTCATTGCCCACCAGGCTGTTCTCCTAAGGTCTTTTCCAACAAAACCTTTCAGCCTTCTCTTGTGTGTTCTCTCCCCCAGTGGACTGGAAGTTCCTTGAGGGCAACTTTCTTTTTCATATTTGTATTTCCAGTACTTAGCACAATGTCTTTTGTTTAGGATGTCCTTAATAAATTTTTAGTGACTGACTGATCAAATTCCACCTCTGAAACAGATTAGCTACATGACCAAAGGCACTTAAGTTCTCAGTGCCCAAGCAAATTTCCAAGATCATAAATTGTACTTGAGCTTTCATGAAAGGGATTTCCATACCATAGTTCTCTACATGTATAAAATCAGAGGTGCTGACCACAAATAAACAAAAATTCATTTATAATAAATTCCATTAAGTTTTTATAAATATTTATCAAATACCCCAAAGACACAAAACTACTTAAAATAGCTGCTGAGGACAATAGGAACACAGTAAGGATTTCACTGTTGTCAAATTAGGATTTTGCTGTTGCTAAAGGAAATACATTGCTCCTCAAGTCTCATTACCAAATCTCACTACTGTGAACTTAAATTCTTTGTCCCTTTCTCTCTATTCACCTCTGCCTCAGACAGGGTACAAGCTTTAATGTGGGCTGCTAACTGGCACAGTGGATAGAGTATTGGTCCTAAAGTTAGAAAGACCTGAGTTTAAATCTAGGCTCAGATATTTACCAGCTATGTGACCCTGGGCAAATCATTTAATCTGTGTTTGCTTCAATTTCCTCATCTGTAAAATGGGGATAATAATCTCCCAGGATTATTACGATCAAATGCGATAATAATTCTAAAGTTCTTAGTACCGCCTGACACATAGTGTGTGCTAAATAAATGTTAGTTATTATTATGTGGCCATATTACTTGTTTACTTTTGCTCTCTGCCACTACTTTTCTCTACTTTATTATTCTTCCTCACTATGCCATATTTTTTGCTGTGAAATTATGATTGATAATGCCACTCTAATCTACCACTTTTCTGGGGTCTTCCTAAGTAACTATAATGCATAGTTGTCTAATGTTTAGCCCTCCAAATACTAACATGTTCACTTGAATTCATTCCCTCTAAATTGGCCAATATTACTTTTCTTTTGTTCTTTTAGTATTTCCTACACTCCTACTTCTCCAAATAACGTCTTAGCACATTCGTTTTCTCATTTGTAAAATAAGGGGGAGGACTAGATAATTTTAAGATTCTTTCTATTGCTAATATTCTAAGATTTTATGATTCTATACTGTCAGCCTAGAGCAAATTTCCATTGGCTATTCAACAAGTTACCTCAACCTATAAATAAAATCCCTACACTTCTGCCATGAAAGACATGAAAAATTATTTCTTCAAATTTACCTTTTAAGGATTTCCTCATGTATTCTCTATCAAGTCCAAAAGCACCTGTAATTTAGGAGTGAGAGAAACAGTGAGAATATGCAGAATGAATGCTAGAGCTTGATCTACTCAATCTAACAGTTTGCAGTCAGTGGGGAGTATGAGAACCCTGAGATATATAGTAGGAATTTAATGGATGTTGTGGGAGTTTCTCAGCCTCAGTTCCATGAGAGCTTAAAGAGAAATCCATCCACTATAAGGTCTGCAAGATTGGGGGTAAAAAAGTGAGGAAAAGAAAAGAATTTGTTACTGAGCTAAGGCTGTTCTAGCTGGGAGCAACCTCAGTCTTTTAGAGTATACTGGGGTGGCGAAGCTGTGGCCTGGAGGGGATTTGTTTTGTTTGGATTCAATCAAAGGGCTGCACTAGAAGACCTAGAAGGCCACATGTGACCTCAATGCCCAGGTTTCCCACCCTGGTATAGATCTTGGTTGTTTTGGCCTTTTTCATTGATTTACTGTCAACAGAAGTCTTAATTTTTTTTTAATGGCAATAGAAGTCTTAATGTTCCTAATGCAATTGCAGTTACCAAGAGACCCTTTTTTAACTCAATATTTTTTACCCAATGGGAAATAGTTGGATACCAATCATATATCCCAGGCCCAAGGTAAACAGCTTGATTGTATTATCTTTTTCAAAATAAGGTTTAATATGCCATTAAAAACTAAAGTTTTAATGTATTTTATCTATTTACAGATATTTTTATCTGTAGATAGATATACCTTTTGAAAGTATATTTTAACCTCATGTTTTAGTATCATGTCAAGGAAGATGAGTCAAAAAGAATCTGACCCGACTGAAAAAAAAAAAGACTTAACGACATTGTGACAGGTAGGTAGGCAGCACAGTGAATAGAGCATTGAGCTTGGAATCAGGAAGACTCATCTTCCTGAGTTCAAATCTAGCTTCAGAAACTTACTATCTGTATGGCCCTGGGTAAGTCACTTAACCTTGTTGCCTCCATTGCTCATCGGTAAAATGAGCTGGAGCAGGAAATGGCAAACAACTCCAGTATCTTGACCAAATGGGGTCATGAAGAATCAGATATGACTGAAATGATCAAACAACAGCTATATAAAGCTAAATTCAAACAATATTAATAGTTAATAAATAACAAATACTTTCCCCACACTATTCTGTGAATAAATAAATAATTGTCCTCAATTAATCAAACCTAATAGAATTCAAATTTTCAAACTGCTCAATTTTAAAGCTTGTTACATCACTCCAGTTACTTTTTTTATATGATACCAGAATCTCTGAAATCAAGTTTGAAAAACATGAAAAATCTCAAAACTAATTCTAACTTCCTAAGGAAGAAATACGAAGTTTTCTAAGCAGAATCATAGTTTTATAGTTCTGGCAAGCTTTCTCTTCTCCTCTTTTCTCAGTGAGATCTAAAACTTCTCGTGCAATACTATCCTAAGTTAAGTCTTGGGTTTTTTTCTTGTGGTCCATTCTGGAAATTCTGATAGCTGACAAAAATGAGACTTTTGTATTGCCCCTATTCAGGTGAAAAATCACTAGTTTAATGTTCCTGCTGTCTGGAAATTGTATTTGGTTGAAACATTTTAAAACGGTTCTACTTTTAGGAGTATCCTTATGTACTTCTTATTGCTTTTCAATTGAACTTCAGGTCTATGCTATGTCAGTGTAAATTATTCCTTTTGATTCTCTCTCTTTCTCCATCTCTACCTCTCTCTGTCTGTCTCTAATTAATCCAGACTCTTTAAAAGAATTTTTTAGTATTATACTTTTGTTTTTATTTTAATTATTAATTTCTTAATTTCTGACCTTGCCACTCCCAAATCATGGTCCAAATTGTCTTCAGAGTGTATTTCACTTACTCTATTGAATCTGTTTTGCAAATTAGCACAATTTTCTTACGCAACTCATTGTAAAACTTTACTTTTTTCCAATCAGAGCAGAAATTTTAAGGTTAACAGTTCCTCATTTTGCCAATTCACTTCCATATTGGTATTTTACTTAGGAACTTGCAAATTTATGGTCTATTTTAATTCCTTTTAGAGTGTTACAATCCATGGGGTCATGAAGAATCAGGCATGACTGAATGATTGAACAACACAGAACACAACTGGGGAAATTGGTTTTTTATTAACAGTTCTTATTATATCCAATTTTATATTATTATATAATCTTATACCTGCTTAGTAAATATCTCTAGCTAAAAGCTAATTAAGCCTGCCTGTCTAACTATGGACACTTGTGAGTGAAATGCTAGAAATCCCCAAGCACCTCAGGGTTACCCCTAGAACCTTCAAGGGAGAAATAACCACCCTCTGGTAACCCAATCTGCCAGTGCAACTGGGAATTGAGAAATAGCTCAGGAGGGGATGCTATACTATACTTACAAATAAGAATCTATAGGAATATTGAAATATCAATATATTCTTAGTTTTCCCTTCCTGCAACCAACTAAGCATTCTGGGCCATTTCACCAATGCCTGTTAGGATACATTAAAATGGGGGCACATATATTTAATTGTTAGTAACAGTTGGATCTTTCTAATTGAGGAATAAATTAAACTCGACAATAATTTTCCAGGAAAACAAGGGACCTAATAGCATTTGAGAAGCTAACGTGTTACTGATGGGAAAATGCTGCCACTTTAATGAAAGGATATTGTTATCCAATACTTTTGTTTACTTTGTTTCACAGATCACAGAGAAAATAATGACTATTTTCTAATGCTGAAATAAAATCTTTTCCCATAGATCAATCCAAAACATTAGAATGAAGGTTGTTTTGGTTTGTTTTTTCAGCTAAATGATTGGTATTCCTTTTCCTGGCACAGGAAGAAATAAAAACTTATCAGTTCCTACTCATGTTTCATTTACATTTCAGAGGAAGCTATAAGGTACAGTGGCTAGAGGCCTAGGCCTGGAGTAAGGCAGACCTGAATTCAAATCCAGCCTCAAACACTTCTTAGCTGTGTGACCTTGGACAAGTCACTTCACCTCTGTCTGTCTCAGTTTCTTCAACTGTAAAATGGGGATTATAATACCACCTGCCTCTCAGGGTTGTTATGAGGATTAAATGAGACAGTATTTGCAAAGCACCTAGCACAATGCCTGGTGTACATCATGATCTTAATAAATGCTTGTTACTTTCCCTAAAATGTTTTTCTTTGGTTACTTTAAATGATGAAAAGGACTGCTAAGAAACACAGTCAGTCTGACTTACCAAGCTCATTGTGGAAGCCGCCATGTTTCCAGTCAACTGGGAGTGTTCCTGTGTAGTCCACAACAGGCCCTCGCTTTCCAGGATCCACATTTTTTACGTTCACAAATATCTGGTTGTTTTTTGACTATTAAAAATGAAAAGAACTTTGGTTGAAAGAGTACAACTTAGTCCGGTGTTGCAGTTTGGGGGAGGCATTTGAGTAGAGGTCAGAGGAACATTTTTCAGGGACATTGCAGAAGGGATTCAATAGGTAATAAATTGGACTAGATTGCCTCTAGTTATTTAGTTCTTCCAACTCTAAGATCCAATGATTCTGTGAATTATGCAAAAAAAAAAACAGAGCAGAAGGCAAACTAAGCCTATAGTTATACTGTGGAGGTCCTGACCTCAAACTCTTATCCCTATAATACCTGAAATTCACTGCTTTGTGCACACAGTGCTTGACATTGGATTAATTCATTTGGGCCAGCTGACTTATAGTGAAAAAAAGGTCTGGATTAGGTCAGAAAATAAAATTCTAGCTCTGGCTCTGTCACTTCTTGTCTGTGGGACCTTGAGTAAGTCATCAAGTTTTTCTGGGTCAATTGCAATCTCCCCTTCTATGAAATAAGGACAACATGTGCCACATTTATTTTGTAGGTCTGCTGTAAGGTTTAGCTGAGATAATTTATATAAGAAGGATCTTGTAAACTGTAAAATACTATAGAACTGTAAGGAATGACTACTATCATTATCATTATTATAATAAAACGAAAATGTTCTTCAGAAGTTTAAAGGCTATTTAAGTTAATTTGACCAGTAGTATATAATCTCCCCGAGGGAAGGGCTTATTTAATTTTTTGTCCTTTGATCACCAGTGCCTTGCATAGTGCCTCATACATTTTATCTTAAACTGGACCTGTGATTTCATCCATGAGCTTGTAATGAGCAACTTATTCTATTTCTATTCCAATTCTAGAGTAATAGACACTGTGTGGAAGGGCAGACCTGGATGGGCACTGAAGTGCATAATTTTGGCAATTACAACATAGTACAAAGATACTGAGTGCCCGGAATATAGGAGAAAAGAAAAGTACATCCAGAAAGTGGGAACTGGGAATAAAAAGAGAAGTGAGTGTCAAAGACTAACCACTTATTTTTACAGTTATGCTTAGAACTGGTCATGCTAAAGAATTTCAGGTTCTCACTAAAATTACTATAGAAAGTGACTTGAAAAAATCTACAAGATGCTAGGAATCTCCTTTTTTGCTTTTATGTCTTTGTAACTACCTGATGTGCGTCTATTTTTTACCTTTCCAATTGTCATCCTATTTTGGTTGTTGACATGAGCTGATGTAGAACACTGAGTGAGTGTATGGTAACTGGGATTGGTAAAATAATGATTGTTAGTGTTTCCGGCATTAGTCTGAGGAAGGGTATCTGGAAAGAAAGAGAGAAGAAAATGATTAAAACTGACTGTTATCTGTAAGAAACAAAATAAGTACAGTCAGATGAACAAACAGTTGTACTGATTTCCAAAATGGAAAAAAATTCTATAATAGCAGGTCACTGCAGAGGTGAGAGGTAGAGCTAAGATGGCAGAGTAAAGGCAGGGACTTACCCATCTTTTCCCAAATTCCCATCCAAATAACTTTAAAATAATTCCTCAAAATGAATTCTGGAGTTGCAAAACCAACAAAAGAATGGGGTGAAAAAATATTCCAGTCCAAAATAATTTTGAAGGTTGGCAAGAAAGGGCTGTTTCAGTGGAATAAGAGAGAGTGAAGTCCAGTATATGCTGCACCTGGCAAGCCAATAGCAAGGCTCTGAGCCCCTATGCAAGCTAGAAGCAGCCCCACTGGGAATGGGGGAACAAGCCAGCAGTGAGGCCCTAGAACCATGCCCAAAGTAGCCAGTAGTGGGCCACGCTGGTGCAGGCAAACAGCAGGCCTTAGTGACAAGTGAATCTGCAGCAGTGACTTTCACAGCTCTCAGCCCAGACAGTAAGAGGACTGGACAAGTCAGAAGATTACAGGGGACTCTTAGATGGCAATGAATGCAGGACTCTATTGCATTGCCCACACAGGGATCCAGGTTGCAATCCTAGCAGAGAAGAAAGAACACTAGTACACCAGAGCTGGTGGCTATAGGACAGCAAGGACCTTGGTCACAATTCCTGGGCAGAAAACAGTAATTGGGATCTCTCACAGACTACAGCACAGGCCAGGAGAGCCGTGACCACACCTTCTTTTGGATCAAATCACCTTGGGAAAACTGAAAACTTACAGACCCCCCCCAAACTAGCTTTGAAAACAACAGAACAAAAAATCTGAAGCTTTGGACAGTGCCCCCTCTACCTCAGGAGCAGAGCCCAACTTTAATATAAAGTTAAAAGCCAAGAAATAGGCTGGAAAAAATGAGCAAGCAACAAAAAAAGAACCTGACCACAGAAACTGACTATGGTGACAGGGAAGATCAAAACACAAACTCAGAAGAGGACAACAATGTCAAAATTCCTACATACAAAGCCTCAAAGAAAAATGTGAATTGGTCTCAAAGCCCCGAAAAAGAATTCAATGGAAGAATTCAAAAAAGATTTTAAAAATCAAATGAGAGAGATACAGAAAAAATGGGAAAAGAAATAAGATGTAAGAAAATCATGAAAAAGGAGTCAATAGCATGGTAAAGGAAGTACAAAAAAAAATACTGAAGGAAAAATCTCTTAAAAAACACAATGGGCCAAATGGTCAAAAAAGCACAAAAATCCACTGAAGAGACCTCTTTAAAAAGCAGAATTAGCCAAACTGAAATGGAGGTACAAAAACTCACTGAAGAATATAATTCCTTAAAAACTAAAACCGGGAAAGTGGAAGCTAATGACCCTATGAGACATCAAGAAACAATAAAACAAAATCAAAAGAATGCAAAAAAATAGAAGAAATTGTGAACTCTCTCATTGGAAGAACAACTGACCTGAAAAATAGATTAAGGAGAGATAATTTAAGAATTACTGGACTACATGAAATCCATGATCAAAAAAGAGCCTAGATATTATCTTTCAAGAAATTATTAAGGAAACTGCCCTGATATCTTAGAACTGGAGGGTAAAATAAAAATCAAAAGAAACTACTGATCACTACCTGAAAGAGATCCCAAAATGAAAACTCCCAGGAATATCATAGTCAAATTCTAGAGTTCCTAGGTCAAAGAGAAAATACTTCAAGCAGCCAGAAAGGAACAAATCAGATATTGTGGAGCCACAGTCAGGATAATACAAGATTTAGCAGTTTCTACATTAAAGGATCTGAGGGCTTAGAATATGACATTACAGAGGGCAAGGAGATACAATTACAAAAAATCACTTGTCTAGCAAAACTAAGTATTTCCTTTTGGAAAAAATGGATATTTAATGAAATAGAGGATTTTCAGGCATTCCTGATGAAAAGACTAGAGCTGAATAAAAAATCTGCAAATACAAGACTTAAGAAAAGCATAAAAAAGTAAACAGGAAAGAGAAAACATAATTCAATAAGGATTCAATAAGGTTAAACTGTTTACATTCCTACATAGTAAGATGATACTTATAACTCTTAGGAACCTTATCATTATTAGGGCAGTTAGAAAGAGCATACATAGACGGAAGGCATGGATGCAAGTTGACTATGATGAGATGATATCCAAAAAAACCTCCAAAAACAAAATTAAAGAGTGAGAAAGAGGGATGCACTGGAAGAAAGAGGAAGGGAGAGGTAGAATGGGGTAAATTATCTCACATAAAAGAGGTACCTAAAAGCTTTTAGAATGGAGGGAGTGATAGGGGGATGATGGGCAATGCTTTAACCTTACCCTCATAGGAGCTGGCTAAAAAAGGGAATAATATACATGCTAAATTTGGTATAGAAATCTATCTTACCCCATAGGGGAGTAGGAAGGAAGAGGGAATGATGAGAGAGGTGGAGTACTGATAAAAGGAAGGGTGAACTGTGGGAGGCTGTGTTCAGAGCAAAACACTTTTAATGAGGGATAGGGTAAAAGAAAAGAGAGAGAAGGATAAACAGGGGGGAAACAGGATAGAGGGAAATACATAGTTAGTAATCATAGCTGTGAATCACCCATAAGACAGAACTGGACAACAGAATGGATTAAAAACCAGAATCCTACAATATGTTTTTACAAGAAACACACTTGAAGCAGAGAGACACACACAGAGTAAAAGTAAGGGGATGGAGCAAAATCTATTATGCTTCAGATGAAATTTTTTAAAAAAAGCAGGTGGTGCAGTGGATAGAGTGCTAGCTCTTGAGTCAGGAGGACCTGAATTCAAATCTGACCTCAGACACCTACTAGCTGTGTGACCCTGGGTAAGTCATTTAACTCTGTTTGCCTCAGTTCCTCATCTATAAAAGAAGTTGGAGAAGGAAATACCAAACTATTGTTTCTTTGCCAAGAAACTCACAAATGGGGTCAGAAGAGTTGGACATGACTGAAACAACTGAACAACAACAACAAAAGCAAGCATCATCTCAGACAAAGCAAAAATATATCTAATTAAAAGTGATAATGAAGGAAACCACATCTTAGTAAAAGTTACCTTAGACAATGAAGTAATTTCAATATTAAACATATATGCACCAAATGGTATAGCAACCAATTTTTGAAAAGGGAAATTAAATGAATTACAGGAGGAAATAAACAATAAAGTTTACTAATGGGGGACTTCAACTTTCCCCTCATGGAACTAGATATATTTAACCAAAAGCAAGAAAGAAATTAAGGAGATGAACAGAATTTTAGAAAAGTTAGATAGATATGATAGACCTCTGAAGAAAACTGAATGCGAATAGAATATACCTTTTTCTTAGCAGCACGTGGCATCTAACAAAAACTGACCAGGTTTAGGGCATAAAAACCTCACAACAAAATGCAGAAAAGCAGAAATACTAAATGGATCCTTTTCAGATCATTATGCTACAAAAATTACATTCAATAAAGGGCCATGGAAACTTAGATTGAAAATTAATTAGAAACTAAATAATCTAGTCCCCAAAATGAGTGGATCAAAGAAAAAAATCATAGAAACAACAAAATATTTCGTTAAAGAGAATGACAACAATGAGACAATATACCGAAATCTATAAGATGTAGCCAAAGCAGTACTTAGGGGAAATTTTATTTCTCTAAGTGCTTATATCAATAAAATAGCAAAAGAACAGATCAATGAATTGGGCATACAACTAAAATGAACTAGAAAAAGAACAAATTACAAATCCCCAATTAAACACCAAATTGGAAATCCTGAAAATCAAAGAGGAGATTAATAAAATTGAAAGTAAAAAACTTATTCGATTAATTAATAAAGCTAGGAGCTGCTTTAAGAAACCCAATAAAATAGATAAGCTATTGGTTAATTTGATTTTTTTAAAAGAAGAAAACCAAATTATCAGTATGAAAAATTACAAGGGTGAACTCACCACCAATTAAGAGGAAATTAAAGCAATTATTAGGAGCTATTTTGCCCAATTAAATGCCAATAAATCTGATAATCTAAGCAAAATGGATGAATATTTACAAAAATTTAAATTGCCCAGATTAACAGAAAAGTAGAAGACTTAAATAGCCCTATTTTAAAATTTATTTAGTATTTAATTTTTCCCCAGTTACACGTAAAAACAAATTTTTAACATTGTTTTCAAAACTCTGAGTTCCAAATTCTCTCTTTCTCCTTCTCCTCCCCCACCCCTGCAACTGAGAAGGCAAGCAATTCCACATATATTATATATGTGTAGTCATGCAAAACATACCCATAATAGTCATGTTGTGAAAGAAAACATGGACAAAAAAAAAGCCTCAAGGAAAATAAAGAAATTGAAAAAAAAATTTGCTTCAATCTGTATTCAGAAACCATCAGTTCTTTCTCTGGGAATGGATAGCATTTTTCATCCTAAGTCCTTCAGAGTTGTCATAGATCATTGTATTGCTAAGAATAGCTAAGTTATTCACAGCTGATCATCTTACAATATTGCTGTTACTTTGTACCCAATACATCTTTGCATCAACCCATGTTGATCTTTTCTAGGTTTTTTTGAGAGCATCCTGAAATGGCCCTATTTTAGAAAAAGAAAATGAATAAGCCATCAATGAGCTTTCTAAGAAAAAATCCCCAGGACCAGATGGATTCACATATGAATTCTACCAAACATTTAAAGAACAGTTAATTCTAATTCTATATAAACTATTTGGAAAAACAGGTAAAGAAGCCAAAGAATGGACAATTCCTTTTATGACACAAATATGGTGCTGATATCTAAACTAGGAAGAGCAAAAACAGAGAGAAAAACAGAAAAGCCATAGACCAATTTCCCTAATGAGTATTAATGAAAAAATTTAAATAACATACTATCAAGGTGATTACAACAATACATCACAAAGATCATACCTTATGACCAGGTAGGATTTATACCAAGAATGCAGAACTGGTTTACTATTAGGAAAACTATCAGCATAATTGACCATATCAATAACAAAAACAACAAAAATCATATAGTCATCTTAATAGATGCAAGAAAGGCTTTTGACAAAATATACCACTCATTCCTATTAAAAACAGTAGAAAGCATAGGAATAAACGGAGCTTTCCTTAAAATGATATGTAATATTCATCTAAAACCAACAGCAAGTATTATCTGTAATGGGGATAAGGTAGAAGCATTTCCAATAAGATCAGGGTTGAAGCAAGGATGTCCATTATCACCGCTATTATTAAATATTGTACTAGAAATGCTAGCTATAGCAATAAGTGAGTAAAAAGAAATCAAAGGCAATGGGGGAAAAAACTATCAATTTTTGCAGATGATATAACAGCATACTTGGAGAATCCCAGAGAATCAACTAAAAAACTATTTGAAATAACATCTTCTTCAAAGTTGCAGGATATAAAATAAACCCACATAAATCATCAGCATTTCTATATATTACCAACAAAGTCCAGTAGCAAGAGATAGAAAGAGAAATTCCATTTAAAATAACTGTAGACAGTAAAAAATACTTGGAAGCCTACCTGCCAAGACAAACCCAGGAACTATATGAACACAATTACAGAACACTTTTCACACAAATAAAGTCAGATCTAAACAACGGGTAAAATATTAATTGCTCATGGGTAGGCTGAACCAATATAATGAAAAAGACAATTTTACCTAAATTAATATACTTATTCAGTACCAGACCAATAAAACTACCAAGATATTATTATTATTTTTTTTTTTTTGGTTAGGCAATGGGGTTAAGTGACTTGCCCAGGGTCACACAGCTAGTAAGTGTTGTGTCTGAGGCCGGATTTGAACTCAGGTCTTCCTAGATCCAGGGCCAGTGCTCTATCCACTGTGCCACCTAGCTGCCCCAAGATATTATTTTATAAAGCTAGAATAAAATCATAAATTTCATCTGGAAGAACAAAAGGTCAAGGACATCAAGAGATTTAATGAAAAAAATGTGAAGGAAGATGGTCTAGTCGTACCAGATCTCAAACTTTATTATAAAGTGGTAATCATCAAAACAATCTGGTACTGGCTAAGAAATATAGTAGTGGACCAGCAGAATGGATTATATACACAATACACATTATTAAATGACCACAGTAATCTTGTGTTTGATAAATGCAAAGATCCAGACTTTTGGGATAAGAACTCACTATTTGACAAAAACTGCTGGGAAAACTGGAAAACAATTTGGTAGAAACTAGGTACAGACCAACACTTCACACCATATGCCAAGATACAGTCAAAATGGGTACATGATTTAGACGGAAAGGGTGATACCATAAGCAAATTAGGGGACCACGGGATAGTTTACCTGTCACATCTATGAATAATTTTGATTACATTAAAAGGGTTCTGCATAAACAAAACCAATTCAGCCAAGATTAGAAGGAAAGGAGAAAACTGCAGGGAAAATTTATAGCAAGTTTCTCTGGTAAAGGCCTCATTTCTCAAATATATAGAGAACTGAGTCAAATTTATAATAATATGAGACATTCCCTAATTCAAATAAAGAAATCAAATCTATCTCTAGTCACATAAAAATGCTTTAAATCACTATTGATTAGAAGGATGCAAATTAAAATAACTCTGAGGTACAACTTCATACCTATCAGATTGGCTAATATGACAGAAAAGGAAAATGACAAGTGTTCAAGGGGATGGGGAGAAATTAGGACACTAACGCACTGTTGGTGTACTTGTGAACTGATTCAATCATTCTAGAGAACAATTTGGAACTATGCCCAAAGGACTACAAAACTACGCACATCCTTTGATACAGCAATATCACTACTAGGTCTATATCCCAAAGAGATTTTTTAAAAAAGGGAAAAGAACCCATATGTCCCAAAATATTTATGGCAGCTCTTTTAGTAATAGAAAAGAATTGGAAATTGAGGGAATGCCCATCAAATGGCAAACATCTGAACAAGTTGTAGTATATGATTGTGATGGAATACTATTGTGTTATAAGAAATCATAATCAGGATGCTTTCAAAAAACCCTGGAAAGATTTACATGAACTGATGCAAAGTGAAGTGAGCAGAACCAGGAGAACATTGTGCACAGTAACTGCAATTTGTATAATGATCAACTGTGAATGACCTAGCTATTTCCAGCAATACAAAGATCCAAGACAATTCTGAAGGGTCTATGATGAAAAATGCTATCCACATCCAGAGAAAGAACTGATGGAATCTGAATGCAGATTGAAGCATACTGCGTTGGGGTTTTTTTTTGATTCTTTTATTTTTCTTGGTTTTTCTTTTTTGGTCTGTGTTTTCTTTCACAACATGACAAATATGGAAATTTGTTTTGCATGACTGCACATGCATAACCTTTATCAAATTGCTTGCCTTCTTAATGAGGGATGAGGAAAGTACATTTAGACTGATTCAAGACTGGTTGAATGACTGTTCATATAGAGTAGTCTATAATGGTTAGATTTCAGGTTGCAAGGAAGTCTATTTTGCACTATCCCAGCAATCTGTGCTGTCTTTTTATTGTTTAACATTTTAATTAATGCTTTGGATAAAGACATAGTTGGCATATTTATACATTTACAGATAACATAATGCTAAAAGGAATTGTTAATGCACAGGATGATAAAATCAAGTCTAATACAATGAAATCTAAGAAGAGGTAGATATTTGGTTTCAAAAACAACTTCAGAAGCATATGAAGGGGTAATTGTAGCGAGATAGAGATAGTGGTTTCACCTTAAAAAAAGAAGTCAACAATGTGATATAGTAGCAAAACGCACTAAGGAATGGTAGGTTGCATTAAGAGAGACATAGTGTCCAAGACTAGATAACTTCACTGTATGTATTCCATACTAGTCAGCCAGACTTCATCTGGAATATTGTGCTCAGGTCAGGGTGCAGCATTTTAGATGAGACATTGACAAATAGGAGGAAGATAAGGAAGCATAACTAGGATGGTGAAGGGCTTGGAAATAATGCCATGTAAGGATTCATGAAAGTATATCTGAAGTATATTTAACCTACAGAAAAGAAGATGTAACAGAAAACATGATTTTGAAGGACTGTAATATAGAAGATGAATCAGACTTATTCTGATTGCCCCTGAAAGGCAGATCTGAGAACAGTGAGGGAAGTTTGTAGAAAGGCTTAATGGAGAGGAAAAACTTCCTAAGTCTTTTAAAAAAATTTCATTTTCAGTTCCAAATTCTCTCCCTCCCTACCTAGTGAAGAGGTGTTTCAAGCAAAGGTTGGATGAACCATTTGTTGCATATATTTACAGAGGGGACCTTTCAAGTATAGGCTAGGAAAGATGGCTTTTGAGGTCTCTCACATCTTGGAGAATCTGAGTAGGTATGGAGAAAAAAAATCTAAGAGAATAATAAAACCTTATTTTAATGATCTAAGATGGGACTTACTATACTTTAACAGAGTAAAATCCCTCACATACTATTAGTCTTACCTGAAATAGTATAATCTGCAGTGATGACCCTCATAGCAGGGGTGTAGGTAACTGCAGGCATATTCGATTCTTTCTCCTTCTGTTTGTGTCTATAAATAATGAACAGTGCCAGCAGGAAGAGTACAACCAGGACAAGAATAATAATGCCTGCAATAGCTGCGATCTGATAAGAATTTGCAGGGTTAGCAGTACTTGTTCGGCTTAAACTGTTCAAGTTCCCAACTATTAAAATACCAGCTACAAAAAGAAGAAAGAGGGACACGACTGATTATGATGTGCAGAATACATTACAGATTTCTGGATTATTTCAATTCATAAAATGTTCACATTGAAGTTTCTGAAAACAGAAGAGCAAAAAAATAACATCTCATTTATCCCCAGGAATATATCTATGACCAGAGCAAAGGAATAGAGGCTCTCCTCCTCGCTCCATGCAAAGGGCTTATTCTGAGATTAACACCCAGAAGAGCTTAATTTGACTGAGACAGTGCTTTATTTACTATACATTTGTGATGGCATGACAGATCACAAAATTCTTAAGTGATCCAATTCCTAGAATTACTAAAACCAGACCTATGTCTATCTTAAACATTTCTGGAAACACAGCAGTTTTTTTCCCCTTCTCCCTCTGTAAGGATAATATCATTTAAAATCTGATAAAAAATTATCTATCTTATTCCACCCTGACATGGAGGGAAAAGGAAGTAGAAAGAGAATATAGCACCTATTATGTACAAGAAATTGTGTTTAGTGCTTTCCAAATATTATCTCATTTGATCTTCACAGCTCTGGGAGGTAGGTGCTGTTATTATGTTCATTTTACAGTTGAGGAAACTGAAGCAAACAAAGGTTAAGTGGTGTACCGATGGTCACATAGCTAGGACGTGTGACGCTGGATTTGAACTCAGGTATTCCTGACTCCAGGCCCAGCAATGCATACTATATATTGTACCTAGCTGCCTCAATGAACACATAGGATTATTCTTTCTTTTGAAAGATAATGTTCCTGGCCATGTTATTTTTCACGCCAGATTGCTGCCCAAGAAGGGGGCTATGGTGAAGCAAAAATCATTCTTTGTGGCAAGACAAGATAATAGATGGATAGTATCCTTCCTTAATTCCAAAATTATTTTTGCACCATAACTCACTGGAAGGATAAAGCCTAATTATATTATACAAGAATGCTAATTGCTAGGAGTCAAAATTCAATATAAAATAGGTTGATCTGTTCAAAGGGGAGGCAATGGAAAGAGTTTAAGATATGGAATAAAGAATCAAGGTTTTAGTCCTTCTCTATCCTTTAATAACTGTATGACCTCAGGTAAGACATTCACTGGGCCCAAGTTTATTCATATGTAAAATGAGGGGTTAGATTAGATTTTATGTAAGGTTCCTTTCAGCATTAACATTATCTGTTTCCATGAATTGTTCTATATAAAAAGGGTCTTTTTATACACAGCATAGAACAGGTTCTCTCCCCCTTTTCCACCCCCCCAAAAATGTCATAGTGAATAATAATAGTGATTATAGTGAATAATAGTGAACAGAGTTATAGTGAATAATAATGATATGACCAATGAATATCTCAAGCTAAATGTGATTAAAGTAAACTATAAGCAAGGCAAAAGAGTTTAAAAAAAGTTAATTAAGAAGAGTGATATACATAACTACTGTGCAACATCACAGAAATTTTCTAAATCCTTTTATTGCCCATCAGTGTTATTTACCTTGATCACATCTTGTACCCTTCCAGCCTGGGCTGCAGTAACAAGTTCCTGTGATGTGGTCACAAGTAGAATTGTTTAGACAGTCACATATCTGCCGACAGCCATAGCCATATGTTCCTGAGGGACACTCTGTAGAAGATAATGAATCAATTGCAAAGTTGAACACATTAGTAGGAGCTTACTAGATATGATAAATGAAGACCTAATACTTTGCTTATTTTATTGTATGAACTGGGGTTCTACAAGACGGGAATTTTGTTTTACTTGTCAACTCTAAGGTAACGGTTATAAACTTAAAAAGCATGAAGAACAGCTATTTCCTAAGCTTAATTTCACAGAGAATGGTTTGAATTTGAAGTTTACTTTTTTGACTTAGAAATCTGAAATCTCAAAACTGGATTTTTGAGAATAGGTTTGAATGTGGAATTTTTTCTTTTAATATGAGATTGGCTTAGGAGAGTAGTTCTAACCCACTACACTGGAATGCTTGATCTAAAAATTCATGCTAAAAATCCAGAAATGTTTTATAACTGAGCAGCAGGGGGCAATGTACTGCTGTTATCAGGGTTTTCACTCAAAAGTTTAGTTAGGTCTCTGTTTAAAAAAAGAAGACTGGGAGATTTCAAAAATAGAGTACACATCAAATAATGATTTTTTTAAAGTTCTTCTCAAACCTTCCATTCTACTGGAAGTTTCTGTTCATATATAATAATAATTATACATATACCCATAAGTATAATTTAAAGATCTGAAGAGACTGTGCTTGTATTCATGCATATAATTCAGCAGCTGAACCAAAAAAGAGTGCAAGAAGGCCAAATCATCTGTTCTGAGCCAATTTAGTGTTGTTGGCCTTGTGTATCAAAAGTCTTTCAGATTTCATTTTTTTCATGGTATCAGCTTTATTCCTAGTGACTGAAAAGACTGCAGACATATCTTAGGGCTAGGAGATTAAGACGCGGGGATGATGGTATGCCAGTTGGGCAGGATAGTATGTTTTCTTTGAGAGGAGAACAGAGGAGAGGTGGCATCCATTCATCATAAGACAATGATGAGGCTTTGGGTTTTTTTTTTCCGTACCACTCTTTTCTAACTTACCCTAAATCAACAACTAAATTAAAGTCACCAAAGAAGAAACCCAGAAAACTAAGCTAAAGACCAAAGTTGCTATAATTTCAGGTTTTAATGTTCCCTGGTCTTTATCTTCTCTGCACAGGTTTTAATGATGCCTAGCACATAAAATGAGACAGCAGAAGAAGAAAAACCAAGGCTCTAAGAACAGAATGAAAAATTTGAATTCAGTTTTGTTCATTATTTCCTCCAGCTACAGAATGATAGGGAGTGGTCAGGAGAATGGATCATGACAAGTTTAGACCAGCAAGAATCTGAGGGGGCATCTCAGGAAGGGAAGTGATGCAAATAATACTGGCAAAATGACACCAGTTTCAATCACCTTAAAAAAACCACATCTCTGTCTTCAAGTCTCTCAAGTGAAAACAGGTAGTTAAAATAAGTCTCATTAAAATTGTAATTCAGTGGTGTTAAATATTTTTATACTCACTCTGTTCACAGTGTTTCCCCATGAATCCAGTGCGGCAAGTGCATTGTCCTGAGATATGGTCACAATCAGCTCCATTTTGACATTGGCATACTAATGCACAATCTTTTCCATAAAACCCCAGAGGACACCCTTTGGGACAAATAAGTATGAGGGGGATTAAAGGAAGAAATAGGAGTTAAATAGAAATATAGCTCAGGCTGAATTATTCTATTTTAGTGCATATAAGATGATAAAAGGGTAAGAAAAGAACAATAACCCATGCAACCTCTCATAGATGTTATTTGAGTATGAAGACACAGTTCTTCCTTGTACATCAGTATTCACTAGCAAGAGGTGTCACCACTATTATAATAGTTTAACCATTTATATTGCTCCTATAATCTTTTAAAGCAGAACCAACTCAAAGCTATGGAAGTATGTTTGGGGTGGGGGAGTGAGGAGTTGCCACTTCATCACTTTGCCATTATTTTAAGCAATGATTACCGTCCAATCCCTTTTCCCCAATATTGAAATTATCAAGTATCATATGCTACAAGAAAAGAATGTCACATTGGGAGAATGCTCAGTATATGAAGACAAGTATTCAAAGAATTTTGTAAGAAAAGACAGATGTGGTCAATTCAACAGGTACTTGTCAATCGTCTTTATGTAAGAGAGAACTCTTTCTTAAGTCACCTAGAGACCCCTTTGGCTTATATTGGTTAGTAAGTTGAGTTTCAAGAATCAGATTCAGGATTTTAGAATTCTATTCCATAAAGTATAAATCTATCTTGTGTAATGGTAGTTTCCCAACTAGATTTATTTTCATGTTTAGTGATTTATCTTTAGTGAGACATTGTGAAAGTTACACACACACACACACACACACACACACACACACACACACACACACACACACAATGTGAAGCACCCATGGTCCCCACAGTTGTTGCAAATCACATTTATACAATGTTTTAAAATTTATAAAGTGCTTTCCTCACAACCCTGTGAGATGGTTTGGACAAGTTGGATGATCCTGATTTTTTCACATGAAGAAACTGAGGCTCAGAGAGGTTTAAATTACCTGCCCAAAGACAAATAACTTGTTTTCTAAGTCACATAAATCTAGTTTTTATTAGAGACTCATTTTATGACATGCCCAAGAATATGCCATGATTTTCAGCCTCAAGTTGTGTTCATTAAAAAAAATCTAAAATGAGTTTAGAAAAGAAATGCTTTCTAAACTCAGGGAGATTCCCTCTAGCCTACTTAATACCTGCCCCTTCATAGAAGGATGTCTATTGAGAAAGCATGAATGAAACTGAGATTAAGAAAGTCAAAAAAAGTCTAGTAATATGAACATCCAATTTACAAACATTCTCATACACCCAAAACATGGCGATTGCACCCTGGAGCTTGCAACTCAACCTATTAATTAACTTTAATTAATAATTAACCTTAATCCTTGATATTATTATAGCAAGAGGAAAATTTGACATATGAAGTCACAAAGACCTGAATTTAACTCTTGACTCTGACACACTGGTTTTGTGATCCTGGGCAGATGATTTAACCTCTTAATGTCCCAGGAAATTCTCTAAGCTTATAAGTTGATCTGCATTTGTAAAGGAACTTCCTCACTGGGAGATCCCTAAAGAAATTAAATCACCCCCCCCATAAAAAAATTTGTAATAGAGTACATTTATAACTGCTTTCTACTGCAATTATTTTTTCATGGATATGTACAACATTTTAACTACACTGAACTGAGGGATAGTTTGGGATCCTAACCAAAATCAATAACATTGTTCCTCTGGGAAAGTGAGTTTTAATTTCTAAACAATTATCTTACAAATAAATTTATGGAACACAACTTGTTTATAATTTGGGAAATCTCTGTATTGCAGAATTAGTCACGTATATGGGGCACAAAAAGAATGAATATTGTTTCCTTGTTTTCTGTTGAGCACCGTGGACAATAAAAGACAATATGATTTGCTTACTCTGGGTGCAGTAGAGACCTGTCCAGCCTGCTGTACATTTGCATTCTCCATCATAGGCGCTGCAATAAGCCCCATTGTGGCAGTTGCAAGTATGTATGCAGTTAGGACCCCAGTGGGCAGGTGGGCAGGCTGAAATCAGGAGAAATGTGTTAAGTTTTCTGAAACAGTCACCAGGTAGGGAGAATGTTACCCTAAAATAAATAAAAACATTAAAAATACCCCACTTTCCCCTAAATAATATAACTTTGTTCCACTTGCACAGTGAAAAGAAACAAAACCCAGAGCAACCCATTTTTGTTATAATACCATAAAAGAAAGATCAAAATAACATCCAAAAGTGTGTAGCTGGCTTTTGAAGCCCAGAGAATGTAACTAAGAAAAAACAGCATTGCTTTCTGAGTGTCTTCACTCAGTTAAAAACACTTTGTAGTAATGTTGGCATGATCTGGCCAACTTGTTTCTTTGACTTTGTTTTAGAGTGAATCTCGTCTGCATCATCCAATACAAGATTCATATACTCATCAAAACCAATTATACAGTCCTCTATTTGCATATTTACTTGCTCATATAGCCACACCTGAATTCGGGACTGATTTTGGAGATACCTGAAGATGAGGTTGATGGGCTACACCATCACCTTCTGCACTTTCTGGCCCTGGACTTAGAGGCAAGAGATAAGTTTTAATCCCACCTCAGATACTTTTCATTGGTGACCTTAAGCAACCATCTAGATCCTAGAACTTTAGTTTTTTCATCTGTAAAATGGACAATAATACTTTTTTTACCTACCCCATAGAAGTATTGTGGGAAAATATTTGCTAACTTTAAAGCACTATAGAAATGTGAGTTGTTATTCTAACATAAAAACCTAAACTTAAAACCCATATTAATTAGAGGGTGATACACCCCAGGGTTTTTTTAAACATCAAAATCCCCTGCTGTACTTAGTAAATTAACAAAACTATTAAAAATAAAATAAAATTTTAAAAATTCACGTGCAATCATCTTTTTTTATTGTGCTGTGTTGTGGAAATGCTTGTTTTATTCCATGAATTAAAAATAAAATAAATTTTAAAAAAGGAAAAGAAAATTAACTATTGATTTGGGGGAGACATGGCAAGAGGAGGCAAAAATGGTTCTGAAACAAAAGATGAATCAGAAAATAAGGTTAAACTACCTAATGAGCCCAGAGAAGTGATTCAATTTACAAAAATTTTATCTATATGCAACTTTTTAGGAACATACCTACTATAGTACAGATAATGGCTTAATAAAATAATTAATTAATCTAAAGTTTTGAGAATTAACTAGGTGAAAAAAATTTCCCATACTATTTCTTACAACATTTAGACTGCAGCACTGACTTTGGAATATCAAATTTTAGTTTCTGTCTGATTCAATCCTTTTATTTTACTTTATTTTATTTAATATTTGGGGGGTTTTTGTGTTTTTTTTTTTAAACTGGTCTCACTATCCCATTCACCCTGGAAGTGTCTCTTCTTAGTGTCTCTTCAATGGTCCTTTGCTCACAGGAATCACCAAATTGATGTTGGGCTTAGTGTGAATACCCTTTCAACTTTAGACCTATTGCAGCTTAGAACTCCTAAACCCCAACCATCCAGAAGCCTGGGCCTCCCCAGGAGCAGGGACTACAGATCTCTGCGGCTGTACCTAGCTGCTTTAGTTTATAAAAAAGAAAATCAAGGGCTAGAAAGGCAAATGGATTTGCTTAAGGTCACAGGAGCAGCATTTGTTCTTTATTTTTTAGGAAGAGGAAACAAATATTTTATTAAGTGCCAGGTACTGTGCTAACACTTTACAAATATTATTTCATTTGACTCTAACAACAGCCCTAGAAGGTGGGTCCTATTATTATCCTCATTTTACAGTAAAGGAAACTGAGGTAAAAAGTTCAAGTGACTTGCTTAGGGTCACATTAACTAATTCACATTTGGGGCTGGATTTGAATTCAGGTTCAAAGCCCTTCATAACCTACCTCCCCTGATTCTTCCACTGTTCTTACATCTTAAGTTCCCTTCCTCCCCCGCCCTCACCCCCCCCACTCCCAAACATACTGTTTGATGCAGTGACACTGGCCTTCTTGCTAGTCCTCTCCATTTGATTGTGAGTCTTTCTTTGTATCCCCAATGCTTAGCACAGGGCCTGTCACATAGTAGGCACTTAATAAATGTTTACTGATTGACTGACTGATAGGTCAGTCACTCCAGGCCCAGCACTCTACCCACTGCGCTATCTAACTGCCTAAATATGCAGATTAATATAGTATTTTTCTCCAAAGATTACAACAAAAAGCAGAGGCAAAGTCATCTAAAATTTTGGGAGCTTCTCAGTTCTGCAATCTCATTTGCCCAAGTAGAGGAGGTATATTTTATGTGATATTTATAATCACCTATTATTTCATTAAATATTTACACTGGGGTTTTTTTTCTAAAGATGTAGTGGGATTATCAGTTCCATTGTTGATACACATGCAAATTCCCATATGCCTCATTCACTAAGTTTCATTTGACAAAAAGTGAAATCTGGAAATAGTGGCTTTCCCCCCACCTGTGAAAGCTATCTACTCATTTATATCCATTTCTTTCATTTGCCCAAGTTTCTATGTTTACTACAAAGCCAATTTTTCTCTTTCTAGAATGTCTGCCAATCATCTGACAAGATACATTAAGTCATACAAAGAAATACTGAGGTGGTATCATGAAAGTCAGAACTTCATAAGGAAATTAATGAAATCAATTAATTCCAAGAGGACTGAAGGCCCTCTGACCAAGCTAAATAAACCTTCTTTATGATGGCTATGGAGGCAATTTTCATAGAAATATCCTTCTATTCATGGTGCCAAACACTTTTACTATCATTGTACAGATCTCCTTCTAACACATTCTGCTCCCGAAAGGGAATGAAAAGACAAATTCGAAAATAAAGAAAACTTAAAGAGAAAAAAAATGTGTATTGTTCAGTTTCTGACAATATTCTGGCTCCTTTTTCTAAAACATAACTGTTTCTCAGTGTCCCGATGTTTCCCAGAATTAGGACTGGGTCTCCAAGATAACTATAATCTGGTGGCATATCAAAATATAATATTGTGTAAATACAGCACACAGGAAATAGTCATCTCTAACACTTCCTTTCCCTCAAAGTTGCCTTTCCCATCTCTTCATTATTAATTCAAGCAGTCTTACATTATTCTTTCTCAGAAATGTGCAATAGTCTCCAGTACTCACCCAAATCAGAAAAATCTTTCGCTAATTCAAAATGTTTGTTAGTGAAAGGCTGCTTGTGTGACTGCCACTATGAAGTTTAAACTGTATGATGAACTGCATGACCCAGAAGCTGCTGTACAAAACAGTAACACAGATATTTCTTGATTCCTCTTACATTCAGAGGAAGGTAGGCCAGATTTCAATGACTGCATGTTGTATATTTTATGATAAACAGTACCAGATTTTCCTAGTATCTAAGTTACTTTTTATTTATATGTTATCTTTTGAAGTGGTAATAGTTATTTTGAGCCCCTAAGAAAATTATTTTCAGTGATTTCACGTATTTCACAAATTCTATCATCCTGACATTCACACACTCACTCATCTCTGTGCCTGGTGGTATGAGGAAAGCAAGTCGGAGAAGGTGACATGAAGGCTCATGGAGAGAATGAAAAGTAGCTAGCCACCCAGTGGACAGACTAAAAGTCTGAAGTTCAGGCTTCAGAGCTCTACACAGGAGGTTAAAACTCCATAGTCATCCACATGTAGAGTATCAGCATAGTACAATGAAGAAATAGCCTACTAAATAATAATAACTAGTATTGATGTAGTGCTTTAAGGTTTGCAAAGGATGTTACAAATATTATCTCATTTTATTCTTACAACACCCTGCAAGACAGCTGCTATCTGATGGGCTGAAAGTTCCCAAGGTAATTTTTGCCCTGAAAGAATTTGTCTCATATTAACCACACTGTCTTTCAATAATCTTGAAAAAATTTATTTAAAAATAAGTGCTAGCAAATTATTCTAAGAAGATATTGCCTACTAATAAGAAAACACATTAAACTTACGTTGAGAGCAGTCACTGCCAATCCAGCCAGGGTAGCACTGGCAAGATCTGTCAATGGGATTACAGGTTCCATTGTTTGTACATGTGCAAATTCCCCCGCAATTTTTTCCAAATCTGCCACTGGGACAAACTGCAGAGAAGTCTAAAGTTATTATTAAGTGACTGAAGCATAGGTTACGTCTTTCTGACTTTCATTTTTGAAATGAATGAAAGTGGAGAAAGGGACTCAATAATAAATAAAAACCACAGTGAGAGGTCACCAACATCAGAAAATTTGCTTTTCTTTTATATCTTTTTTTCATTTGAGGTTATCACTCAAATGAAAATAGTACAGTTCAAAGAGTAAATACATATATATTTTTTAAAATAAGCAATGAGCCAGGCTCTCCTAAACTAGAATAATATAGTTTTTAAAATTGTAGTATATAATTGTCAAAAGACATGGTTAGGTGTAAGCCCTTCCTCTGGGAATTTCTGGTCACTGTATTTACCTCTGATAAATTGACTTTACCTTCATTACAAAGAGCTCCTGTGAAACCAGGTAAGCAGTCACACAGTCCAGTGATATGGTGGCATGGTCCACTGCTGTGCACACACTGAGGACATTTCTGGCTGCAACGGTGTCCATAAAAACCAGGCAAGCAAACTGAAACCAGAGAGAAAAATCGTGGTGGTTTTCCATTTTACTTTTTTGTTCTTATTTCTTACATCAAATTTTAGATTTATGGCAAAGAAGAGGAAAAAGATTGTGTTGCCAGAAATGGCTCATGAAATTCTCCAAAGAGAACAGTACCAAAGATCTGTAATGGCTTTAATAATGAAAAAAAGCAATTAACAATATTTAATGAAGTCATTTCAAATACAAATGAGTTACCTTGCAATTTATTTGTTCTTTAAGAACTATAACAGCAGAAAAAGAAATGCACAATATATATGAGACATTTTTCTTGCTCAAAAAGGTCTCAGGTTAACAGAAAGTGATGGTTTAGTGGTTTGGTTTGCATTTAGCTAAAGTTTATTTTAAGTATGCAAATTATTTTCACAACACAAAACTTTTCAATAGACAAATGTTTACATTGATCCTATCTATATTTATCAATACCAATATACCTCCATGCTAGCGTTGCTTATAACACTAAATTAATGAGGAATGGCAATAAGAAGTGAGAATGACTGCTAAAGCAGTAAGGTATGGGCAGAGTTAATTCAAATTTTATGGACTGAATAGAATGTTTGCAGATCAAATGATTATTGATCGCTCTTTGCAACACTGACATAAAGATCAAGTAAAATATCCAAATGCTATAGTCAATTACTCTATGTAAAGGTTTGAAGTCTGATTACTTAAATGGGCAATTAAGGATAGAAAGAAAAAAACAAGTATTGTAGAGAAACTGCTATTGAGGTGAATTCAGCAAGGCATACAGACAACTGACTACATTGTTTATTCTAATCTCTAGTTCTATTCTCTAATCTCTCAAGTCAAATGATAACGTCTTCTTCATCTTTCATGCAAAAGTTTAACAGAGAGAATTATTCTCTACACAGACCCCAGAGAAAAGGAGGAAATAAAATCCTGATGAGTCACTTACTTCTTTGACAAGTGCTGCCTCTGAAACCTGGTGCACACTCACAGATCCCATCATCAGGTGAGCAGGATGCCCCATTTTTGCAGTGACACGGCAGGGAGCAGTTTGGGCCCCAGTGCCCTTTAGCACACACACTGTCACAATGGATACCTTCAAGTAATTGAAATATCGGGTTATCTTCTCAGTGGGAGTTATTTCAGAGGCAATTAAATAGGAAGTAAGGCATTGATATGGCAGCCAGGTGCCGCTGTGGAGAGAGTGTAGGGCTTACAGTCAGGAAGACTCCTTTTCCTGGGTTCATATCTGGCTTCAGACACTTACTAGCTGTGTGACCCTGGGCAAGTCACTTAACCCTGTTTGCCTTAGCTTCCTCATCTATAAAATGAGCTGGAGAAGGAAATGGCCAACCACTCCAGTATCTATGCCACAAAAACCCCAAATGGGGTCACAGAGTCAGACATGACTGAAAAATGACTGAACAACAAGGCATTGAAACAGAGTTGTCATAGTTTTTATATGAGAGATATTTGGTCCCTAGTCCATACCAATTCTAGCATCTTGTTATGAAAAGAAAAAAAAACTGGAGATACTTTCCCCCTCAAAAAGAAATCTGTTTGACCATGGACAAGACCCTTTCTGGGGCGCAGTTCTTCATCAGTACAATGAGGAATTGGCCTAGATAGCCTTTACAATCTCGGCTTTAAATCTATGATCTTATGCAAAGGAGGAGGAACAGGGTATCTCTGATATAAACAAAACTTGCTATATGTTCCCTAAACACTCCCCTCTTCCAAATTTTCTTATTTCTTTCAAAGCAACCACTTCCTTCTAGTATCTTAGGTTCATAATCTTGGCCTTATCCTAGACTTATCCTTACTCTCCCTCATATCCCAAATTTTACCACTTCTTCCTTTATTATATTTCTCACATCTGACTACTTATTTCTACTCCTATAGCTACCACTTTAATTCAGGCCCTCATCACCTCTCAACTGGATTATTGCAACAGCCTTCTAGTTGGTTTCCCTGGCTCCAGCCTCTTTCCACTCCAGTCCAACTTACCCAGTGACACCAAGGTAATTTTCCTTAAGTGCAGTTCTGACTGTGATTTCCTTAACCAACTACACTGCTTCCTATTGCCTCTAGGATCAAATAAACTCCTCTGTTTGGCTTCTGACACCCTATGTAACCTACTCGGGACCTATCTTTCATTGGATTTCATTGGACATTACTTCTTTTCCCACACTCTGTGCTTTTACACTGGCAATTTCCATGTCCTAAATGTGCTTCCTTCTTACTTCTGCCTCATGGAGTCTTTCTCTTTAAGATGCAGCTTAGGCACCATATTCTGCATGAAGGCTTTCTTGATTCTCCCAACCATTTGGGCCCTCCTTCCCAAACTACTTTACATTTAACTGACATATATGTGTGTGTGATAGATATGTGATATATATGTGTGATAAGATATATACGTGTGTGGCTTATTAAAGTTATAAATAACTTTATATTTGTATTATGCTATTTTTACATATAATTATTATCTCTTCCATTAAAGACAGCAATAATGTAGAAGAGATTACTGCATCAGAAAGAGGATGGGCTAGATAACTTCTGAGTTCCTTTCTAATGACATGATTTTACGAGAGTAACAAAAGCTATCTTTACATGATACAAACCGTTATTAACATTACCTTGTTTATTCCATCATTGCATTATTTTGCTCCAAATGATTCCATACTTTCTAACTCTATAGAGGCTAAGATATTATAAAGAGAACATGACTCTGAGAGCCCAAGAAGTTTTTGTATGAGAACTCTGCTTTATAGAGTAGATAACATACATTTTGCAAAAGACTAAAAAACTAATAACTACATCAGTATATGCCAGTTAATTTCTCCCCCAAACTTCTGCTTGTTGCTGTGGTGATTCAACAAAAATAGCAAATTGGGGCCATTTATCTCATCTAATATATTTGTTAGTATTATGTCCTCTACTGAGAACTAAGAAAAATTTGGGTGACGGATTCTAAAAGCTATTTAGGCAATGAATAAATGGGCAAATACATATCAATTAGGCAGTCAACAAGCATTTATTAAGTGCTTCCTACGTACCAGGCACTCTTTTAAGTGCTGCTATACACACACACACACACACACACACACATACACATGAATACTGCCCTAAAGAAGGCAAAAAGGATAAAGAATGAGAAAGAGTCATTAAAAGAACATTGGTGACTTTGGAGAAGGCTGTTCAGTTGAATGATGAGATTGCAAGCCAGATTGATGAGGACTTAGAAGCAAGTGATAGGAGAACAGGAGGAGGAACCTAGTGTAGATGGCTTTTTCAAGGAGTTTAGTGGAGAAGAGAGAAGAAATATCAGACAACAGCTAGTGGGAATGGTGGATCAAGTGAGGGTTTTCTTAGGAATGGGGAGACATGAACATGTTTTTAAGGTGAAAGTAGGGAGCAAATAGGGAAAGGGTGAAGATTAGAATGAGAGTGGGAGTGATTGAGGGGAGCAAACAGGAAGCGACAGGATTGAGGGTGCATCTTAGAGGTATTCACCTTGGTATCAAGAAAGGTCACTTTTTTTTTTTTAGGCAATTGGGGTTAAGTGACTTGCCCAGGGTCACACAGCTAGTAAGTGTCAAGTGTTTAGTCTGAGGCTGCATTTGACTCCAGGGCTGGTGCTCTATCCACTGTGCCACCTAACTGCCCCAGGCCACTTCTTCTAAGAGACAGAGATGAAAGAGGAGATAGCTGGGGAAGATCTCTGTGTGATTTGAGAAGGGGAAGAATGTTGAATGGCCTTGTTGAATAGCCTCAGTTTTTTCAGTGAAATATGAGGTGACATCTTCAGTTGAGGGGATGGGGGAAGAGGATGCTGTGGGAGACTTCAGAGATTAAAAAAAAAGTTTAGAATAGCCTGTAAATTATAAAGAAATGTAATCTGCAGAAAAATGTATATTTTGTCTGGGATAAGCTTAGTACCTCCCTTGTGAGATTCTAATCTTAGATATCTACATGCAGCCAGATAGTATAACGGATAGAACACTGGACCTGGAGTCAGATCACTTGAGTTCAAATCCTGCCTCAAACATTTACTAGCCATGTGACATTGGGCAAGTCATTTAACCTCTGCCTCAGTTTATCTGTAAAATAATAACAGCACCTACTTCACAGGATTGTTGTGACAATAAAATGAGTTAACATATGTAAAGTGCTTTGCAAACTTTAAAGACCCATATAAATTCTAGCTGTTATAAATACATATTTCCTAAAATGTGAAATACTAAATATGGGACTATATCTGGAAAATAATTATAGCAGTTTACATTTATACTGTGTTAGTACTTTAGGAGTACAATGTGCTCCCTCACAACAACTCTAAGAAGAGACAGTACCAGTATTATTCATATTTTACAGATAAGGAAACTGAGGCTGAGAATTTCACAACTTGCCTACCATCAAGTAGCTTTGAAGTCCAATTCAGAGTTACAACTCAATAAGCATTTAAGCAAAAGCCATTCAATATATTGAGCTTCATTACTTGAAGGCTGTTGATATTCTGAAGAAGATAGAAAAAAGGGTGACTTGCCATAGCAAATAATTTACTTTCTATTCAGCTCTAGCCCTGGGCCTTTCTGAGACTGCTGGTCAAGACTTCAGCTACTGATAGTTGTGAAGTGGACATCTGTTTGAGAGAAGCTCTATTCAGACTCCTGCCTTGTTTTTGTCTGTGTTTGTTTAGGCAAATTCTGGATCTGTGGGCTATACCTATGTGAAAATATACTGGGGTAGAGACTGGGTGATTAAATTAATCAATATCCCCCAAATAAATCTCTGTGTGTCTGTGTGTCTGTGTGTGTGCGCGCACGTGTGTGTGTTGGAAATGATGGAATCATTAGATCATAGAGTTAGAGCTGGAAGAAACCTCAGAAGGAGAAAGAGAAAATACAACCTCTCAAGTAGGAAGTATTTTTTAAAAATTATGTATCAATCTATTTCTTCCTGTTAAAATTCAAGCCCCTCTCCTCTTTTTTATTGTCTTCAGTAGGTAAATTTAGAGGATGGATTTAAAGTCAGGTCCAATTGGTAACTGAGTTATTAGAGGTAAATGAGCCCATGGTTTTTGTCAAATTTCTTCCAAGACATCAAACTTACTCATATCTTCATAAAGATCTACCTGCCCTGGATCCTCTCCTTCCAGGACTCTGCTTCCCTCACCTCCTATAACCCTAATTTGCCTCTTTTTCCCTCTCTCAACACTTTCAAAAGTAAGCTGGCCTTCAGCAGTATTTGATTTTATATTCGAATTCAAATTTATTTTCCCTAATATGGACCCTTTCATCTGACCATCTGAACCATTCCCATATGCCTCCTAGTTTATTTGTACTGATGATTACGATATTTATGACAAAGAATTTAATTAAGTATTTTGAGCACCTATTATGTACATGCCACTGTGCAAAGTCCCAAGTATACAAAGATGAAATAAGTACAAGCCTTGTCCCCAAGAATACACAATTCTCAAAATTTAGTAGGAGGAATTGTATCTTACGAATGTATTCCATTTGTATGTAAAGACATCAATACAAGTGTATGTATGTATTTACACATATTGAGACAAATCTTCAAGAACAAATACATTCTGAATAACTGAGGTTTAAGTAAGAATAATTTGTATACATTTGTTGAATTTTTTCCTAGAAAATATATACATATATATGTATATGTGTGTATATACTATCACAGAATCATTGGATTTCAGAGATAGAATGGATCTCAGAGAGCGTTTAGTTTAATATTCCCATCTTATAGGTTAAAAGAAAAACCCTATGTTTCAGGGATGTTAAGTGACATATAGAAGATTATACAACTATCTAGTAGCAGAAACAGTAAAATTCTGGTCTCTTGATTCATATTCCAACGTCATTTCTACAATAACATGTATCCCAAATATAACCTGTATACTTAACAGAACTGAATTTTCTTCTATGACTGATAATGCAAGGTAATCACTTTAAATATCAATTCTCATTGTACAGTACTGTAGCTAGAGAATAGTTGGGTTGTTTCATGTTGAATGTATAGCAACACATCCTTTCAATTGTCCTTCTGGTCTATTTTGCTGTAATTTGTCTATTTTTGGTCAAAGTCTTTTTTAGTTGAGATCCTAAATTTAGCTGAGAAACACAAATTTACAAATCATGAATTTCTGTGCCTTATTTATGTTTTCTCTTTCGAACAAAGAAAAGGAACAAAACTGTGTATAGACAGAGAAGCAGTGCTCATCATGACGTGGCCTACTTTCCCAACAAGAAGAATGGATCTATTAGATATGATGGAAATGAAAACTATCTCTCGTTCTTCACCAGAACAGGCAAAATATGATTGGGGAAACTGCACGAAGCTTGAGGAAAAAAAAGAGAGAGACGTCCCAGTTGGTAAGAAAGTTGAAATTTTTTTAAGTGTACCACGTCAGAGAATTATTATCTCAAGTTAAAGTTCTGGAATACTGGAAGGGAAGAGAACAGATTCCAAAAATATTGATATTGAATTCTGGCACAATAATCTCCCCTGTCAAAATAGCCTCTCTCACAGTAAAGCCCTTTCTGGAACACATATTTCATTTTTATAGAGTCATGGAGAGTTCAAGCACTTGTAAGATTTCCCTGATTTGTAATGTGTTGTTCTCAAAAATCACACTGCTTCCATGAATACCACCTCCTTCCCAAATGACACAATGTGTCACATAACCTTCCGAACAAGGATAGGGAGGAGAAATAAAATAACTTAACTCTCTCAGTTGATGTTAATCACTTAGCTCAAAAGTTGGTGTTCAAATTAAAAATAATACTTTGCATCATAGAAGCCCTTTACAATGCACATACTCGTGGCAAATTTGTAGATGATTAAACATCCAGACTTCGGCTAAAAAATATTACAGTTTTTAACCAGCAGTGTTTACCCCTGTCCTTGATTAAAGTTTTTAATCTAAGTAGAGTATACTTTTGAAACCTCAACAGCCTTCTTCTCCAATTTCTATGTGAGCTCACTGTACATTTAGTAGAGGGTACACTTTAGGAAGAAATACATCTGTAAAGAAACATCATACAGTGGGCTAAAATAACTAGAGACTAATATCCCAGCTCAGAAGGCTTAGAAAAATACCAAAATGAGTCACTCTGGGCAGCCTATAAGCAGCAATTACTTGAAAGCTAAAAAGCCAATAGATTTTCATATGGTAAATTGACTCAATCACTATATGATATCCCTTGCTAAATACAGGCACAGCTACATAATGATGGACAGCCTAATTACATCATTATGCTGTATGGAAGGATCAGTGTTATTTCCTACGAAATCCTTACAAGTTTAAGGCCAGACAGGATGATTTGTATTGCCAATTCCTGTCTCTCATGACCCAGACAGTGGAATGCAGTATTTTCTTCCAGGCCACAGGCCAACATTCGTGTCCTCTTTCATGCAGACTTAGGATGTGGCTTCTACAGTCTGGTTCATAACCAAAGCAGATAGCCACATAACTACCGATGTCCTCTTAATGCAACTTATGACATTAATATAACAAAGGCAGATTTGGTGTGACAGAGTTCAAAAAAATTACTTCACCCGTGTATTAGAAAGGTCTTTACTTCAGCAGAAAAAAAAGTGTAATCCTCGGACTCGTGGAAGACATGGTTGTATCTGAGTTCTATGGGTTTGAGAAAACACTTTCTCCCAGATAAAGTAACCTCCGAGATCAAGGAAACAGAGCTATAGGGTTTATACTTTACTTCCCTACAGCAGAATGAACAAGAATGATTCTATTTTAAAAGGGTTGCCACCATCTTAGAGATTTCCTTCCAATATAGGGAACTGTGGTAAGACTAACCTCAGAGAAATGCATTTCCCACAGAAACAAATCTGACTTTTAACAATTCTTTTGACTGCAAGGCTTGCACACTCCTCCATTTCCTCTTCTGCCATAGAATGCCACTAAGCGGCTGTGTACTCTAAATAAGTCTAAAAAGCTATAAAAACTCAGCTACAAAGCTGAAGATGCAACGAGCCTGAGCAGTCCTCCTTACTGCACATTTCAGTCTGATTTCTCATTTTCTGATCCCCATGTAATTATTTTACTCGCTTGTATTTGCATTTCCAGCACATTTGGCATAGTGCTTGGCATGTATGTATACTGACATTTCGTAGCTAAACTAAAATCCCATCTTCTACAAAAAGACTTTCCCAACCTCTCCTAATTCTAGTGCCTTCCCTCTTTAAATTATTTCCTATTTTTCCTGTATATACCTTGTTTGTACATATTTATTTGTTGACTCACCCATTAGACTGTGAACTTCTTGAGGGCAGGACTGTCTTTTGTCTCTTTTTTGTATCCTCAGTACTTGATTGACTAGCTAATAAATGCTTTTTAATTCATTCATTCACTCATGCAAACTAAGTTCTCTCTTCCAAAAAAAGTAGCAAAACTAACTGGCTTGTCACCCACTATCAACCTCAGTTTCCAGATGCAATGGGAGAATATTTTTTTCAAGTCCCAAGTCTAAACTCTCATTTATGTATTAGGAATATGGGCAGCAGCAAGTTAAAACAGACTCTTTCAGGTAATCCCATGGTTTCCTAAATATAAAAGTGACTGAATTTAACGCTAAAAAATGCTCAGCAGTATTGGTTTCCCTCTGCTGATGACATAATTTTTTTTAAAGGTTTGGGAATATCTAACCTACCTTCCATTCAACCTCTAGTTTAAAACTGTAACATTTTTACTGAAGATTAAGAGATCAGCAATGTTTTTATTATATTTTTGGAATTATGCATTTAAAAAATTGTTAATGATTCTATTCTAGTCTTTACAAGACACCCTTCTAGAACAGTATTGCATTTTGACTTTTTCTTGATAATTTAAAATTACTTTAATATGCTTCATTTAGCTTGGATTTAAGTTCAAATAAATTTTTTTTAACAAAACAGGGATATTTTAACACACTTGAGACACTCAGATCTAATGTTAAATATCTACATCATATCAGCAAACAACACTGTTCTCATGGACAAAACAACTATCACCTTGATGGACTTTGTAATTAAAATAGCCAGCTATAAGGCAACATGATAAAAAAGAAGTTACTGAATATACTTGGTTCAAAAGAGTAAACTGGATCTACGATGCTTTAAGATTATGTTTGTTTAAAAAATTATATCCAGGAACAAATATCCAAACCTTTGGAGACCTTCCAGCTTTATAGTTTTTATTTATCATTACAGGTTCATTTAATTTCTACTCCTCCTCAGGTTTCTGATAGTATTTTGTCTGGACCTGTCCTTTGCATTTATCATACTCTCTCTTCTATCATAATTATTTTTAACATATCTTTCCTTTTATTAGAGTGTAAAGATGTCTTGTGTATCTATTTGTATATCTCCAGAACCTAATCTAGTATTTTTCACACAGTAGGCACTTAATAAATGGCTATCAAATTGAACAGAAGTCACTCAACTATAGAGGTTTTGCCTTACTCTTTACTTATATTTGCATTATTCTCTGTTTCTGGATGAAAATAATAAGATCAAATCTGGCAAGGACCTTAAGAGTTCATTAAATATAATGCCTTTACATTACAAATAAGGAAAATGATGCCCAGAGAGGTGAAATGATTTATTAGGATTGTCACATAAGTGTCAGAGATGAGGTTGTAAAAATGTTCAACAGTATTCCACCAGACTACGGGTTTTAGTTTTCCTCTGTTATTAAAAGATTGATGTATGTCATTTTGTTGAAGGAAATAAAGGGGGTTACAAAGGACACAGCTAGCTTTTTTATTAGTTAGTTTTTCTCTTTAAAGGCTCTGATTCTTACCTGACCATCCAGGGAGACAGTGGCAATAGCCAGTGGTGGGATGGCAGCCATCAGCATGACTACAGTCACAACGCTCCATGCAGTTCAGCCCATATGTTCCATCCTGTCAACAGAGTTGTTCAAACACAGCAATGAAAGATGTGGAAGATTACAGAATGTAGGGTTCAGAGGAGGAGATAAGCAACAATAAAGCACATGTCATTTTAGATATTATGGAAATAAATACCCTCCTCTGTTTTTCTTATTTCTTTACCCACTTAATTGAAAGAAGAATTTTCTACCTTAGCATAAATAATATCCCCCAAAAAAGTTTTACAATATAATTTGTAATTGGTTAAATTAAAAAAGTTAAGATGATGACCTTTAAATAAGATTTTTCAAAATAAATTTTAAGTAAACTATTAAGTAAAAGTGTATAGGTTCAATTCAATCACTGTCTCAGCATATCTACCAGTTACACTAACCCATAAATGAAAGGTAAAAAATCTTATTTTTTCTTCTCCTTAGCACCTTCATTCTGTTGAAGAGTCTAAGCAACAAGAAATTTTCTGATTTAAGAGTAAGACAAATACACATGGAAAGACTGAATCAGAAAACCTCATACTATTAAATCTCTCCCACAGAAACAGATGTTAGAATCTTTCCCACAGATGTTAAAATCATAGATTTAGAACTAGAAGGGCCAAGCAAGATGGTGCCTGCCTGTAATCTCTGCTGCTTGGAGGCTGGTGAATTGCTTGAGTTCAAGAGTCCTGAGCTGCAGGAGGGCTAAAGGTTTCCACACAAACTCTGGCATTAATGTAGTGAGTCCCTGGGAGTGGAGAGTCATCAGGCTGCCTAAGGAGGGGCAAACCAGCCCAGTTTAGAAAAATGGCACAGGCTGAAGCCACCATTCCATTCAGCAGTAGGATCAGGACTATGAATGGCTGTTGCACTTCCAGCCTGAGGGAGACAGGGGGACCAAATAAAAAAAAATGTAGAAGAAACCTTAAAGATCATCATAAAGATTTAACGCCCTCATTTTACAGATGAGGAAAATGAGGTTCAGGGAAGTTAAGTCACTTGGCCAGAGTGACAAGGCTAACAAATGTCTGAGTAGGATTTGAACCCAAGCCTTCCTGACTCCAGATCCTGACCATAACCCACCATGCCTTGCCACCTCTTTATGTATTAAGTGCAGGAAAAAGTAAGATTATTTCTTTTCTTTACAATTCTATGTACACAATGGGCTGAAAAAATTAGAGATGATATGATTCTACAGACTTTTCACCTACATGTTTATTTTAAAATAGTTTATCTAAAAGTCATACTTTTTCATTTCTTTTAGAAAATAACATGATGAATTTTAGTATATTCTAAATTATAATGCAAAACCTTATTGAGGTATGCTGCCATTTTATTTTTATAAACACGTCATTTTTCTATAGGACCACAGAAATCAAATGTTTCATGAGCATGGCACCTAAGTCTGTGGGAGAAGGATATCACAGCTTTTTGCTCTCATGATACAGCTAGTCAACACAGTAGCTGCAAGGAAGGACACCAACAGCACTCTCCCAAATGAAAAAAATAAATTGTAATTGTAGCTAAGAAGAGGAAAAAATACAGAATTAGCAGAAAACATGTATAATGTTGGTATTGATGGCATAATGATATCCCCAGGAAGACCCATTCCAAAGAACATATTAGGTAATAGTGTTTATGTGTTGGGGATATGGTGGTGGGGGGCAAGGGTAGTATCCAATTCAAAAGCCAGTTTGTTGATACTTGCCTCTAAAGGTTGAAAATGAATACATAGTCTTATCAGAATAATTTTAAAATTGCAGAGCAGAACAATATAATGGAACTTCGACAGAAATATAGTTTGATTTGCTAATACATTTGATGTATAAAAAGAGAAAGATTATCAAGAGTTTTCTTTGTCTGTACTGTAATTGGATTGTGAAGGAAAGAAAATTTTTAAATTCAAAATACTGAAAATTTGCTCAAAGCTTAGATGTGATTTGGTGAAATCTACTTAGCTCCTGGTGAATATCTAGGGCATTCAGTGATGGGGCTTTGATGTGGTCTATTAACAGTTTCTTCTCTGCCTTTGAAATGGAGCTGTGCTTGGATGAAACAGTGAGGAGAAAGGTTTCCTCTGCTAGTGGGCATGCTTCAATAATGCTGCATTTCAACTACTTTCATATCATGATCACAGCATGTTCTTTGAAGATAAAAATATTGTATATGGAATTCAGTGTCTCAGGTGGAAAAGGCTGAGAGAGAGGTCTAAATGGAGGTGTCAGTTATTCAACAAGTACTGATTGACAGGCATGAAACTGGCGAAGCACTCCTTGGAGCTGGGGAAATAAAAAGGGGTGTTATATTATTAGAGAATGCATGTAGCTAGTTTCCTGATCTATAAAACACAAGGGTTGTACTAATTCATAGAAACACGTATTTATAGCTGGAAAGGATTTCAAGGGCCATCTATTCTGACCCACTCCATTTATAGAAGAGGAAATTGAAGCCTAGGGAGATTAAGTCATTGGCCCAAAGGTAGTTATCATTAGGGGTGAGATTTGACAGCAAATCCTCCAACTTGAGAACCAGTGTTCTTCCCGCTCTACTATGACCTCTGAGGGCTTTTCTAGCTCTAGATATTATGACCTTTTATCTGCCTGCAAAACATACAGGCTTTTATGTTCTAAATAAACAAGTGAATAGTATGATTTTTGAACTAGGGAAACAGTAAATTTATTACTCCACAAATAGAAAAGATTTAACATTTTTATACATTTTAAAGTGCCATATAAATATCTGAAAGTGTCTAGTACTTCTTTTATAACCTAAGGATTAGTATGATAAGCACAGACTAGATGCTCATTAAAACGTAATGGCTTTTATATAAATGGAGAAAAAACCAAGAGATATATTTAAATGGGGAATGGAGATCAAGAGGAAGGAGAGAACAGGAAAGAATGGTAAGGATGATGTTTTTCCATTGCCTGCCACCATCCAGATGCTTCAAATATTGCAGACTACTTGGAAATTTCCTAGTTTCCTTTTTTCTACCCTACTCATATCTCTCATTTTTATAAACACTTCCCTAGGATCTGAACCTAAGGAATTCAATAATTCTACTATCTCTCTGGGCTTTGTTTAAATTGACCCAAGCTATCCAGCAAAACAGCAGAAAATTCTCACACAGACATGTTTTGGAACAGAGAAGTTCACACCCTGTCATAGTTAGATGTCTTGAGTTTTACCTGGCAAGCAAATTCACATTTCTCCCCTTGCCATCCAGGAGCACAGGTACAGGTTCCATCCAGAGCACTGCAAGCTCCTCCATTTAGGCATTTGCAGGTTGAATTGCAGCCAAAGCCCCATTTGCCACTGGGACAGTTGATGGAGCAATCCACACCATGCCAACCTGTCACAGCAGAGTGCCATCAATATGTTGAGGAAATAAAGGCAGCTATTGATACCACACTGATCTCACATCACCCATATATCTTTCCCCATTGTCTCTTTCTCACTGCTGTCTCAGATGAAGAAGTGGATCTTTTCCTTGACAAGACAAATCTCTAAAGATATATCCTTGATCCCACCCCTTCCTGACATCTCCAGCAGATTGGCCCCAATCTCTTTAATATTCATTCTCTTCCTATGTACATCAGCTCTCTGAAGTTTACAAACATGTCCCATTTTTCAAAAAATCCTCATTTCATCTAACCGCGCCCAACATCTATTGTCTGAAATCTCTTCTCCCCTCTTTGACTAACCCCCTTGAGAAAGCCATCTACACTAGTTATTGCCACTTTCTGCTCTTCTCAATCACCAACGAACCCTCTATCTACTTTTTGATCTTATCGTTCATCATAAACAATCTTCTCCAAAGTTATCAATGATTTCTTAATTCCCAAATCTAATGGTATTTTTTCCTCAATGCTCATTCTTCTTGATCTCTCTGCAACCATTGACACTGCAGATCACCATGTCTTCCTAGGTTTTCATGATACTTTTCTCTCCTGCTTCTCCTCCTTCCTATCTGATTTTGCCTCAGTCTTTTTTGTAAGATCTTCATCCAAGTAACATTAACTGCATATATCCTCCAAGGCTCTTCTCTTACTTCTCTAAATTATCCCACTTGGTGATCTCACTAGTCTCAAAGGGTTGATGATATCTATGCTGATTCCCAGAACTATATATCCAGCACTAACTTTTCTTCTGAGTTTCATTTCTGTAAGACCAACTGCCTCTTAGATATTTCAAAATAGATGTCCACAGGAATCTCAAACCCATCTTAAACCAAATAGAATGCATGACCTTTATCCTTGAACTTTCTCCTCTTCCAGACTTTCCTAATTACTGTTGAGGGCACCACTATTGTACCGGTTATTCAGGCTTGCATCCTCAGTGTTATCCTTGCCTCCTCTCATATTCATCCCACATATCCAATCTCTTGTCATTTCTACCTTTACATTTCTTGTATCTATCCCCTTCTCTCCACTTATACAAGGTACCACCTTAATTTCAAGGTACCACCAGTATTACCACTTTAATACAGGTTCTTATCACCTCGCACCTGGATTTTTATTATGATAGCTTTCTGGTAGGTCTTCCTGCTTCTAATTTCTTCCACTCCAGTCTGTCTTCACATAGCTGCCAAAGGAATTTTTCCTACAGTGGAGGTCTGACCATTTCATCCTCTCCCCTACCAAGTAAATTCCACTGGCTCCCTATTACCTCTAGGATCAAATATAAAAATATAAAGACCTCTGTCTGGCGTTGAAAGTCTTTCACAACCTGGCCTCTTCCTACCTTTTTAGTCTATTCTAATTTAGTTACTACTCCTCTCCATGTACTTTAAAATACAGCTACACTGGATTACTTGCTATTCCTCCCCCTTAACTCCTGACATTACACCTTTGCGCTGCATGTCCTCCATACTTAAACATGTTCCGTCTCTCACTTCTACCTCTTTGCTTCTCTGGCTTCCTTCAAGACTCAGCTCAAATCCCACCCCTACAGAAGTCCTTTCTGAGTCTCTCCCCTCCCCTCCCCAATGCCTTCCTTTTGCTACTACCTTCTATCTATTCTGAATATATCTTGTATGTACCTAGTCAAATCTAGAAGCAATTATTAAGCACCTACAAAACTATAACAATTACCTAGTATTCTATAATGCTTTAAGGTTTGCAAAGTGCTTTACAAATATCTCATTTTATGCTTATAGCAAGCCTGGGAAGCAGGTTCTATTATTGTCCCCATTTTACAGATGAGGCAGGCAGAAGTTTAAGATTTGCCCAGGATCACCCAGCTAGTAAATTTCAAAGGCTGGATTTGAACTCAGGCCTTTCTGACTCCAAATCCAGTGTTCCATCCATTGTACTACCTACCTGTCCTACTACCAGGCATTATGCTAAGTGCTGGAAGTACAAAGAAAGGCAAAAGAAAGTATTGTCTCTCTCATTACAAATGTAAACTCCTTGAGGTCAGGCATAGTGGTTTGTCTCTCTTTGCATCTAAGTGCTTAGCACAGTGCCTGACACATAGTAGCTGCTTAATACATACTTATTGACCGACTGATTCAAGATGTCCAGCAGCTGAGCACTAGCATGCAGGCAGTGCAACAGATAATACTAGTTCTTCTAACAGAACAAAGCAACCCTTTGGCCCGGCTCTTCTTGCTGCATTTGACAGAGAAACGCCAGGATCAAACAAACATGAATAGGCTATTTGAGTGGGGGTATTGAAATCCCCTTAACATTCAGTCAGATCCATTGTACTACTGACTTTTATAAGGAATTTTATATATATATATATACACACACACACACATATATACATATATACATATATATACATATGTATATATGTGTGTATATATATACATATATACATATGTATATATATACATATGTATACATATATACATATGTATATATGTGTGTGTGTGTATATATATGTATATATATATATATATATATAGCAAAACTGCAAAAAAACCAAAAAAACAAAAGTGTATTTAAAAGAAAAAAATGTTTATTTTTAAAGCACAATTAACCATATAGAGCATCTTGTGCTTCTTGGCTGCTGTCACACCTAGGGATGAGTGAGTACCTTCTGACCCTCCTACAAAATGAGCTTTGTGCAAAGCATTTCTTATAGTGACTCTACCATAAGTTTCAGGTTTGAGATTGACTAACAATGCATGGACAGAGATGTATAACTGTTTGCCTGCGTTTTTCCCAAGGTTGATAGAATCACAGGATTTTCAAACTGGAAGAGACTACTGAGTTCACGTACCCCAAAGCCTTCATTTTATAGAAGAGAAAACCTGTGGCCAAGAGAGTTGAGGAGACTTTCAGTCACAGTTAATTAGTGGCAGATTTGGAACTAACACTTCAATGCTACGCTTCTTCCACTATACTTTGTTGCTCATATAACTTTATATCTTCTTCATTGCAGGCTCACATATGAGGTCATTCAGACCTTCTTACCTGCTTTGCAGTACAAGAACCATCTACTGGAGAACAAGTGGCATCATTTTTACAGTTGCACTGAGAAGAACAGTTTATTCCATAAGTCCCTAGAGGACAAGGAGTAGAACAAGTAGAATCCTGGAAAAGCACAAATAAAAAATACGGATAATGAAAACATATCTTAATCATGTTAATTGTGAGTTCTAGAACCCATACAGAACTCTAGAATCTTTACTTTCTTTTTTTTTTCTTTTTGGTTTAGGCAATGGGGTTAAGTGACTTGCCCAGGGTCACACAGCTAGTGAGTGTTATGTGTCTGAGGCTGGATTTGAGCTCAGGTCCTTTTGAATCCAGGGCCGGTGCTCTATGTACTGCACCACTTAGGAATCCTTACTTTCAACCTTTGTAATGCCACTGGCCAATAAATTTCTTCAAAAGTGTTGTTACACTCTCACCAGTATATAGTATGTTAAATGTAGACTTTAATACGATCTAAGCTGGCATTGGCTCTACTCTAGTTTGGGGTATAGTGTTATATAGCCCATGTTGCTAGGTAACTCTTATCAAATTAGTTTTGCATCATTTATAGGGGGATCATATTGCACGATCAATAGTAACAGTTTTTATCACAACTAAAAAGAGACAAAGTGATTGTATAAATTTAACAAAGCAAATAAATATTAACATTACCTTAAATGATGGTGTTCCACCTTCCTTGCCAATGAAATAATATGATTAGCAGGGTAAATATTTGAGGGTCTATATTTTGTTCTTTGAGTTTGGAAAATATAAGAAAACTGAGGGGTGATTTGTTAAGTAATAGTGATGTGTGACAGGTTTTCATATATGAATGGTGGCCTCACATTTATATATCTTCGATTTATATTGTAACTTAAAATTTACTAGGTACTTTCCTTATAGTAACCCTATGAGGTAAGTAGAATAAGTATTATCATCTCCATTTTATGGAGAAGGAAACAGGCTCAGGAGAAGTGAAGCTGTTTGCTAAGGCCAGTGATTAAGTGTCAGAGAGAGAACACAAACCCAGACCTCTCCTGACTTCAAGTCCAGGATCTTTGTATTATGCCACACTGCTTTTCCAAGGGCTTAGGATAGACACAAAGATTAATTTCTTGATATCTGAATGTTGTTAAACACAAGGATACATTTTTAAATGAAGCTGTGAAATTACCTTCTTTTATAGTCTTTAAAAAGACGAAAGTTTAAAACCTGGAATAACTCAAGTGCAGTACTGCCTTTGAGATGTGGAACAGGAAAGATGAACCACTACTAGCCTTTCCAAACTCTTTGATTCACTATACACATGCTTGAAAAATGTAAACTCTTCATACCATAGTTCGTTATCTTTAAAATAGTGAATTTAAAATGGAAATAGTTCAGACTCTCCTAAAATATACTTTGTCAACTGTTTAAACAAAAATAAGTAACAAATAATGTCTTCAAATTTGCTTTAGTATATTTTCTTTTTTTAAAATCAGACTTTCTGTTTTCTATTCAATAATAAATATTTAATTTATAATTACATTAGTGTTTCTCCTTCCCCTTTCTCTCTTTCATAGAATTAGGGCCTGGACCCATCATTGATATAGGGAACTCTCAGGTGAGCAGATTCCCTCTACTAATGCAGGTCAGAAACTTCTCTGCAACTTAGAGAGCTGCCTAGAGCACTGATAATTTAAGTGACTTGCCCAGGGTCACACTGCCAGTATTTGCTGGAGATAGGCCTTGAACCCAGGTCTTCTTAGCCAGCTGTCTAGTCACTCTGCTAGACTGCTTCTCTTTTATAAGGCAAATAGTTTCTGGAAAATTGGTTTATTGTGGCAATTTTCATGAAGATGCTTCTTTCCATATTCTCCATACTTCAACTCTTTCCTCCTCTAAGCTTTACCTTGCTAGGTCTCCCCGACTTAAGCTGAAGTCAAAATAATTCACCTTAAATCCAGGGGCACAGAAGCATTTCCCCGTCACACTGTCACAGTCAGCACCATTCTGGCAGCTGCATAGCTGTTGACAGGATTCCCCATAGAATCCAGGTGCGCAGGTCTCATTGCAGTAGAGGCCAGACCAGCCTGGTTTGCAAGAACATTCTCCAGAAACAGGATGACAGCTGAGAGAAAGGAGTAAAAGGAACAAATAACTCTGGAGTAAACATGCTATTTGGTCAGTCAATAAGCATTTATTAAGTACCTACTATGTGTCAGGCCTATACTAAACATTGGGGATGCAAAGAAAGGCAAAAAACAATCTGACCTTCAAGAAACTCGCAATCTAATGGGGAAGACAAGAAGTAAACAAATCTATACAAACAAGCTCTATGCAGGATAAATAGGAAACAATTAATAGACAGAAGGCACTAGAATTAAGAGGGATTGGGAAAGGCTTCCTGTAGAAGGCAGGATTTTAGTTGGAATGTAAAAAAAGCCAGGGAACCCTGGAGATGAAGGAGAGCATTCCAGGCACAAGGGACAGCTAGAGAAAATCCCCATAGCTGAGAGATGAAGGATCTTGTTGATGGAGTGGAAGGGGGCCTGTTTCACTGGATAGAAGAGTATGTTGTAGGGTATAAGATATAAGAAGACTAAAAAAATGGCAGGAGGTAGATTACGAAGGGCTTTGAACCTCAGACAAAGGATTTTATCTTGGGTCTTGGAGGATGATATGGATGGAGCCACTGGAGTTTATGGAATAAAGGGGTGACATGCTTGGATAAAATCCAGAGGACACTTTTGAAAGATCATAAAATACCATTTCAGCAGGTAGGTGGCGCAAGGGATAGAGTGCTTAGCCTGAAGTCAGGAAAACTCTTCCCGGGTTCAAATCTGGCCTCAGACACTTACTACTTGTTTGACCCTGGGCAAGTCACTTACTATTGTTTGCCTCTCAGTTCCCCATCTGTAAAATGAGCCAGAGAAGGAAATGGCAAACCACTGCAGTATCACTGTCAAGAAAACCTCAAATGGAGTCACGAAGAAGAGTCAGACACAACTGAAATGACCCAACAATAACAACAACAAAATACTATTTGGTCGTTACATGTATAATGTATGGTTAGGACCTGTGTTTTCACCAGTGCACAACAACCAACGGGGAAACTCTCTACACCAATGTTAACTTTATTAAAAATCAATACATTATTTTTAGTATCCACTTAAACGCTTCCTTCGAGTCTCACCTAAAATCCCACTTTTAAAGGAAACCTTTCCCGATCCATCTTAATTTTATTGCCTTCCCTCTGTTGATTATATGAACTTACATAAAACTTACAGTCTTTGAGAGATGCCTGGGGGCACTAAGAGGTTAAGTGGTCACACAGCTAGCATGTGTCACAGACAGGATGTGAACTCTGTTTTTACGACTACAGGACTCACACTCAGTGCTATGTTGTCTCTCAATTCACATATTATATAGTCAAAAAGTAATATTTTTGTGTAACGACTTGGTGCTTAGCGAAACATCTATTTAACTCCAATATACAATTTGTTATGCTTCTACCACGTTCTTTCATTTGTTCAATAGCATTTATTAGGTGGCTGCTATATGAAGTGCATTATTCAGAGTATTGAGTATACCAAGACAAAGATAAAATAGCCCTTTCTTTCAAAGTGTTTACATTCTACTGAGGAGAAAAAAACATGTAGACAGGTAAGTATAAAATATATATCAAGTAACTACAAAGTAATTTGGGGGTGTGGGGAGGTTACAGGAAAGGCCTCATGTTGGAGGTGACATCATAGCCAAGCCATGAGAGGAGTCTGAGATTCAAAGAGTTGGAGATGAAGAGGAAGAACATTCTGGGCATATGAGGTCAGGAAAAGCAAGCAGCTTCCCTAAGATCTAGTCTGTCACCCAGACAACTAAGAGAAGCCCACCTCAAGAAGCAGACCAAAAACTTGAGGCATTCACCATCTCCAGATGTCCTGAGGCCCAATGGGTTATAAAAAAAAATACATCAATAAATCTCATTTGGATATGTAGTTTGGTATGTGGGATCACTCCTTTTTCTTTCCTAGTTTAGATACTGATTTACCACAAAATCATTTATTTGAATAGGTACTCTCCCCCAAATGTAGAAATTAAAATGAATTAAATAACTTGATTAAATTAAAATACTTTCTGTTTCAAGGAAAAAACACCGAAAACATCACATTCCACAATATATTCTAAGTGGATTCATGTCCTTAAGATTAAAGATCATACAATCAAAAAATTACCAGAGAAACAAATAATATACTTCTCACATCTATGGGTAGGAGATATATTTTTAAGCAAAGAAGATATAGAGGCAATTATAAAAGATAAAATAAATAACTTTGATTACAAGAAACCGAAAAGCTCCTGCACAGATAAAATTTATGTACGTAGGATAAGAAGGGAAGTGGTTGAAGGGGAAAAAAAATCTTTTTAACCAAATTTCTCTGATAAGGGTTTGATATGTAAGATATATAAATAATTATGTATATATGTATATAAAAATAAATATGTATGTATATATATATCTATATAGAGAGACATTTATATAGACATATATTTTATGATCAGTAGCCATTCCCCAATAGATAAGTGATCAAAGGATATATACAAATAATTCTCAAGAGAAAATTTGTAAAGTATTAACCACCATATGAAATAATGCATCAAATCACTAATAATAAGAGAAATGTAAATCAAAACAACCCTGAGGTCTCATCTCAAACCCAACGAACTGGCAAAGATGACAAAAGATTGCAATAGTCAATGTTGGAGGGACTGTGGGAAGACAAGCATACTGGAGCATTGTTAGTAGAGCTGAGAATCAGGATATAAGGCTTGCTCTGGGATCTGGGCATGCACAGAGGATAGGGCAAGCCTCCTTACAGATGTAATAAGCAATTTAAAATTAAATAAAAAATAAAAAAATCGGAAATTATGTAAATAAAGTGACTAAAAATCATACCCTTAAGACTCAGATTCTATTACTGGCAAAGAGGCCATTGATAAGAAGGAAGTCCCATAGACACCAAAATATGTATACAGCAACACTTTTTGTGATAGTAAAGAATTAGAAAAAAAAGTAGATGCCTATTAATTAGGGAAGATGGCTAAATGGATTTATGGCGCAGGAATGTAATGGAACCTTGCTATAAGAAATGAATGGATTGAATACAGAGAAGCTTAGAAAGATCTACATGAAGTGATGTAGAATGAAATAAGTAGAACTAAGAAAATAATGCACATAATAACTATAATAATGTAAATGGGAAGAATAACTATATACACGCACACAAATCAAAGGTGAATATTACAAAATTACAAAGAACAATCATGCCTCAAGATATATAAGAAAATGTTCTCAAGCCACCCCTTTGCAGGAGGTTCAGAAGTATTGCAGATTGCACATGTTATCAGACTTTTTCACTGCATTGATTAGTTATGTTGTTTTTCTCCTCTTTCTTTTTTTGCATTTTTTAAAAAAGAACTACTATACATAAGATGGGATTGCTCTTTGAGAGTAGGGGAGGGACACTGAGGTGATATAAAAAAACAAAAGACATTTAAAAAAACATTCTGAGAGGCACTTAAGAATTAATTATCTCTCTGACGACCTTCCTCTTTTAGAATCATAGTATTAGCCCATAGATGTAGAGTTGGAAGACATCACTGAATTCAAACCTCTCATTTTATAGATGAGTGAACCAAAACCCAAAGAGAACAAGTGGCTTGCCAGATATTACAAAAGCTTTATGCAAGACAGAATTCAAATTGCACAGATCCTCTAATTTTTATTTTTATTATTATTTTTTTGCTATAGCAGTCCAGGGGAAAATATACAATATGCTGATCTGTTCCGATCCAGAATGTAGCCCCTCAGGTGTGAATATTAAGGCAGTGAAATAGCTGTGAACAATGGATAATTGGCTAATTAACTTTCTGAAGGATAGCAGATGTGGTAATAAGCAACAATACTCTGAAGTTAATAGCCTAGGTGAATGGTATGATGCTATCTCTAATATTCACCTAAAAATCTACTGAACAATTTTTTTCTTTCTGTTACTTTCTTTCCCTATTTCTTGGTACATACTTTTCTCTTCTACAATTTCTCTTTATTCCCTCTATATGTCTCCCTCTCATTGTCTCTCCTTTTGTGTGTATCTTATTACCACTCTTTCTTCTTCTCCATGTCTTTCTCTACTCCCTTCCTCTTCTCCTCTCCTCATATTAGTCATAATAAGGAACTGAAGTATACTCCTTAGTTTTTGGTACACTTACACAATAAAATTTAAAGTTCCATGTTATTAATTTTATGATTCCTTAAGGTATTAAGTTTCCTGTTATAAACTTTAGAATAAGGTGAGTAGAATGTTATATGAACATATATGAGTGTGTGTGTGTGTGTGTGTGTGTGTGTGTGTGTGTGTGTGTTGAGCTTTCTTGCATAATAGCTCTTTATGGCAGAATTCTTTTTTTGTGTGTGTTCATGGACTTGGTGTTATGACTGGGCTATGTGGCACTTCGGGAGGGAAGGTCTGGACTATCCTGTTGATGCTTTCTTGGGGTATTGAGTGTTGTGTTTTTCCAGGATCTCAGGTACAGAGTGGGGACCTGCAAGTGTTCAGTAATCTCAAAGTGGTCTGACCTAGGGCAAAGTCTGACTACTGCCCCACCTGGTGTGAGCTCGGCAAGTTCCTGGCATGGGTTTAGGTGCAGGCAAGAGTAGACTGCCGCAAGATTCAACCCCCACAAGTCAGCTGGAATGCTCTTTTGGTTCACAGCATCAGAACTGTAGGCTTTTCTTTGTAATCAGATTTCTGCCCTGGTTATTCCTCTCCAGATTGGGCTAGGTGCTGGAAACGAAACCCTGATCTGTACCTGGGGTCTGGGCCACACTCCTGCTGTTGCTATTAGCTGGGTCTGTGACCTGGAACTGAATAGTGGGAAATACAGCTGTCAATTGATACCTGGCTCTATAACAGTGACCAGGTATGAGTCTGGTGGAGCCCTGGTGTAGGTCTGGCGCACAGCCTCTCCCTGGGCACTGAATGCTAGCATGTGGTACACCCCTGAATTGATCACATCCTCATTACCCGCAATCCTCCTTGCCTCTCTTCCTATGTTGAGCTGGGTTGGAGAAATGATGACTCACTGTGACTTCTGGATTTCCCATTAAGATTTGGTCTGGTTTTTAAGATCTGTTTAAAGGAATTTTGGGGAGAGGGGCTTAGCATACTAGTTCCTACAACTCTGACACCTTGGCTCTGCCTAAGTCGATCTATCTGGCACATATCTATGTCATGAGCATGTTCCAGAAAAGTTTAGCTTGTGTGTATTCATCAAATATTAACACAGGGCACCATGCTAAGAATACTGGCTTTGTGATTTATGATTAGTCCTATAAAAGGGACCACAAAAATATATAAGGAGGGCTTTCTAATATAGATAGAAACACATCTGTTACATATTTTTTCAGAAGCATCTATTGAATGAAATTTAAAATTAATGTATTTTTGACTTTAACAAAATATGTACTGAAGTATATCAAGGAAAACCAAAATTACACTGAAATAACAATCCTAGAAGAAAAAACAAACAAACCAAAACCAAAAGCAGAGAAAAGTAAAAATGCTGAAACCAATGAGTTTCTAAAAACAAATACTGCTTTGGTGAGGTTACAGATGTTGTCATCTTATACTTATGTAGCCTGGGCCTTTGAGCATGCCTTTCTAGCTTCCTTTAAGTCCCAACTAAGTTGCCTTCCCTTACTAGAAGTTTCCCCAACTTTTATTAATTCTAATGCCTTCCTTTTGTTAATTATTTCCTATTTATCCTGTATTAGCTCACTTTGTATAGATTCGTTTGCAATTTGTCTCCCCCATTAGGTTATAAGATCCTTTAGGGCAGGGACTGTCTTTTGCCTCTTTTTGTAATCCCAGTACTTAGCACAATGCCTGCAACATAGTAAGTGCTTAATAAATGATTGACTGACATGTATATACGTGTGTGTATTTATACATACACTTATATCTATGTCTGTCTATCTTATCTATCTATTCATTGGTTCAGGCATATTCTGGCTGACTTTCGCAGGAGATAATAGCATTTCTGGGTCCAAGGGAAGAACATAATCCTGTCTGGGAATATGGCCTTGTGTCAAGTAACATTAGACATGCTTTCCTAGGATTCTATTGGTCACTGAGATCATGAACCTAGGTAGGAGAGAGGTTTCTGGGGCTATTAGTAAAGGATCTTAGTTCAAAAGAGTGAGAGTTGGGAGTCAGCTATTTTTGATATGGATACTATCTAGTCAAGTCTCTTCCCTGTTCCCCACTCTACAAAGACTGTGACAGTTGCTATTTAGTGCCTTATTGCAACTACCTCTTTGGCAAACAGGCTTGTGATCATGCTGGCAGACTATAAGAGAGTATGCTATGATTGTTGAGATCTTCACCCCTTACCTTCCCTCCCTCACAACTGGGGAATAAGTAACCTATCTGAAATCCCCTTTTCTCCTCTCTATGAGGGCAATAGACAGGGTCTGAATCCTGGGATCTTCCCACGTTCTTACAGTCAGAAGCATTTTGCAGTGGCTGTAATTATTTCTAATGAATTGTGCTGGTCATCATTTCCTGTTTTCCCCTCCCTCCCTGCTTTCAGTCTGTCCCATCTTGCTAATGTCTATCTCACAGACAGATAAAATAAATTAATATAATAACTTTGAAGGATGTTGTTACTTGTTTAATAGAAGTTAGGAGCAAATGCAATCTGGATTATGCAGTAGACTCAATCAGTACAGAGGCAGATGTGGGGTAGGTAAGCAGCTAAGCAATGATTTCTTCCCCAGGAAGTTACTAATCCAGTAGAACTTCTTTGCCATAATATTCCTTAGCCAGCCCAGGCTGATAAGCAGAGAGAGATTAGGAACTTAATAAGAATCATAGACTTTCTCCCCTAAACAAGTATTGAGTTATTTGTTGAAAATAGGTGTGCCCTTCTGGAATGTCTTAGTGGTGTACTCCTGCGCTCCTCACCATACATTTTCCCTAGACTATTGTTAATGAGTCAAAAGTCTAAGATGAAAAGAGAAGAAGAGAGGCAATTACCTTGATGCATTTTTATTCCCTTTATACTGGCCATTACTTCACATGAATCTCTATCACAATATCCTGTCTCACACGAAGAGCCAAATTTCACACATCATCACATGGTATTTCACGTCTCGTATGGAGAACTCTCTCACCACCCCCAATCCCAGCTCTCTCTCTCTCTCTCTCTCTCTCTCTCTCTCTCTCTTTCTCTCTCTCTCTCTCTCTTTCATCCATGTTGCACTTTTTTTTTTAAAGAATATTGGATAGTTAGATATTTTACTTTCACAAATTTTCTAATAGTATGTGTCCTCTTGGTATCAGAGGACATAGCCAATGAGAGAAACTATTGGGATTGTGTTTTCAACAGATTCACTATGAAGTAATATATTTTTCAACAAATCATTTGATGATATTTTTATACATTAACTTGGCTTAACCCTTATTCCTCATTCTACTTGTGAGTCTCAAGGAATTTTCTTGTAACTATTCTCTAATGGGTTTTCTAAACTGACTAGTATATTCAGTTCTTTCCATTGCCACTAAAAGATAATATTTTATTAATTTTTTTGCTTTTTGGTGAGACAACCAGGGTTGCCTAGGGTCACACAGCTAGTAAGTGTCAACTGCCTAAGGTCTGATTTTGAACTCAGGTCCTCCTGACTCCAAGGCCAGAACTCTATCCACTGCACCACCTAGCTGCCCACAAGATAATATTTTATTACCCAACAGGGAACTACCTTGAGCATTTCAATGCCTTTGATTTTTTTCTTTTAGCTTTATTTGTAATGAATTGAAGTAGAAAATTCACTTGGTGCTGACTTCTTAGGATCCCATCATTTTCCATAGCCCACCATAAGAAATGTCTGGGAAGAAAATCCCTAAGACACCCTCTATAGAATAAAGAACAGCAGAGACCAAAACTTTCTAAGAGAAGAATCATGCCAAAGGCCTAACTTACCTATGGGTAGTCTTCAGATGACAGGGACATTTTCTATCACATTTGATGCCATAGACCCCTTCATTACACAGCCTTGCCTCACAGTGCTGTCCGGTGTAGCCAGGTTCACAGAGACAGGCCCCACTGATATGGTAACACTTCCCACCATTCATGCACTGGCAAATCTCAGAACACTGCATTCCAAATGTTCCAACTGGGCACTCATCCTGGCACCTATTGGGCACAGAGAGAGAGGGAAATGGAGTTGAGGGAACTGTATATATTATTGCTATAAAAATGAATAATAAATTTAAATTTAAAGCATCTCTGATAGGGAAATAATATGTAAATTATAACAGAGTATTTGGCTTTTGCATATATTTTATAATTACCTACTACATTTTTTTAAAATTTAGAATTTTTTTCTGGTTATCCATGTGAAAAGTATCATTTATCCTACTTTTATATTCTGATTACAATAGAAGCACTAAGTTGTCAAGAGAGAGGAAAGGGAACCAAAAAGGCAGTATAAGAGAAAGCATCTTTGTAGTACCCTGCTAGGGAATAAAGAAGGCATCAGGAGTCACACAGATGTTGTATCCTCCAGGTCCCCAGAGAAGGACAAAGAAAACTGACCAAAAATTAGTCCCACTTGCCCAATATGGAATCTAAAACACTGAAAACATTCTAATTTAATTTCCCATTGCTAATAGAAGCATTTTTGGTGACTGTGAAACTCATTCTCAGTACTCCAGGATCCCATTTATATGTTTGATCTTCAAATTAGGCCATGATGAGTTATTCTCCTTTCCAGAAATGAAATGTAACCCTAACTGTTGCTCTTCCTTTAGAGAGTTTTATATTTAGATTCTGAATAAAAAGTTTAAGGACAACTAGTCCCCTTAAGAAATGTAGGCTCTCTTCTAAGACTCTCTGTTGATACTTTAGGGTTAACTTGCAGGACAAGTTTTGCCAGTGTGGAAAGATTTGGAACTTTCAAAAACGTAACATTTGGCTATGGGTTGGAGAAGTTCCTCTAACACAGTGCCCAGCACAAATAAGGCACAAATTGTGACTAGAGCAAACATTTGTATGAAGCTGAGTTAAAACTAAATTCCAAGTTGGAGATGTAGACCAGAGTTTAAATTTTCAAATTTCTTTTGAGGCAACTAGTAATAAGATAATAATAATAACAACAGAAATTAATAAAGAGATCAAGCATGCTAAAATAAATACCAAATGAGTGGGGGAAAACACATTTTCTATAAGTCTGAGTATATTTAATGACTGGATATTACGAATAACAGAACAATTATGGGTGAGCTAATCAAAGATGAGAATTAAGTATTAAAAATTAAATTTTAAAATATGATCTATGTAAAATGGACTACTGTACTTTATTCCAATGTCATTTCACTTTTCTGGTGAGCAATGACACACATTTCATAACTGATGAAAATGAGGGGAAGAAGTCCAATTCAAGTTGGTATTACAAATATTTCACAAAACCTAGAGAAAGAAAATAGTTCATTCACTGCTTACATAAATAATTTGTAACCTGACTCATTTTGCTTCCCCTTCCATTTCTCTTATTTGTTTGAAATATAAAAGATTCAGATCTTTAAAGTTTTTACTGGGGTCAAAATGTATTTATTTTCTTATAGACATAACTATTGTCAACTTTCTCCTATACATGCCAGTGGTACATTAACCAAAGATTAAGAAGCTAAAACTGGATCAAGACCAGTGGTTACAGAAGTTTTCTAAAGAAAATGAAGTCTCTGCCAGGGTATGAAAACCATACACAGCAATTCCCTATAATTTGCTAGTATATATTTGGCACTTTTAAGCCTGTAACCCTAAAAGACAGAAACAGGTTAAAAATCTGGCATTTTTGCTTCTTTTCAACTCCCTTGTGAAAGAAACCTCTACATTTTTTATATTCTTTACTTCCCAGTGTCTGAAGGCATGAATCTACAGGCAGGCAGGTTGTAAAACTGTCCTACCAGTCTTCAGTGCTAACTTTAAAGATGTTGTAATTGCAGGAGACTCTTTCAAAAGAGCTTATTCAGCTGGAAAAAACAAACTGGATCAACTCATGAAATCCTTGACAGATTAAGAAAAAGGACTCCTGGAGCAGCTAGGTGGCGCAGTGGATAGAGCACCAGCCCTAAATTCAGAAGGACCTGAGTTCAAATCTGGCCTCAGACACATAACACTTACTAGCTGCATGACCCTGGGCAAGTCACTTTAACCCCATTGCCTAGCCAAAAGAAAGAAAAAGAAAAAGGATTCCTCTTTGAAAATATTAAGTTTTCAAAATACTCATTTGTAACTTAAAGTATATTTTTGATTTTGTTCTAAATATAGAGTGAAGCATTCACTAAGTAAACCTAAAAGATTTATATGCAGGTGATGGAGTGAATTAGGTGCTTCCCTATTAGAAAAATGGAAGCTGATAATCCACAGCTAATTTAGATACACAAAACAGCATGTATCATTTTAATAATTTTATGAAAATCACAAAATCATAAATTATACTATACAAAAGAAAAGAAATTAATTAGCATGGGAGAGCTGAAGAGTTTCCTTTAAACTCACCGTCCTTCAAAATCCATCCTTTAAATTTACCAGTGTCTTTCGTGTGCTTAGAATCACATAAGATATCATAAAACTTCATGAAATAAATATACTGGTACTTCATTCATTTTGAGTTGGATCTACGAAGTGGCAAGGTAAAAGCAACTAAGAAGTACTGTTAGGTAAGGGTGGCAGTGGTGAGGACATTTTAAAATATTTTTGGTATTATTTTTAAAAATAAATGTGCATTTTTAATGACAGGAAATTCCGCTCTAGCAAATTGGAATTAACTTTGTGATGAATCAAGTCTCATATGTTGCAACGTAAATTTCAAACATTTCAGGATAGTTTCTCACTGGGAAAACAATTTTCAAGCCCTAGTGGCCTAAGTATGTGCATTCATGTATTTATATTTTAAGAAAGAGTCGCATGGAAAATACACCATGAATCATTTCAAGCAACTGGAATTAAAGATCTTCTGTAGATTACAAATTCTTTTTGATAGACATCAAAATCCTACATAACCACTAAATAAAGTGAGGATTTTCACTAGTGATAATTACTATATTCCTGTAACTCATGCTTCTATTACCACCTGCTCTTCATCCCCGCAACTTTTTACCAGTTTATCTGCAACTTATACAGAAGGCTCTATCTTAAAATTCTTCTGACAGCTTCTATCCTTTTACTACAGTTATTTAAACTCTTTCTTTAATGTCTAAACAAGAAAAGAGCCTAAGAAGGGATAACATGGAAGTTCCTAATTTATGGCTATATTTTAATTTAAAACACTAGCTCAGGGGCCGCCAGGTGGTGCAGTAGACAGAGCACCAGTTCTGAAGTCAGGAGGACCTGAGTTCAAATCCAGCCTCAGACACTTGACATTTACTAGCTGTGTGGCCCTGGCCAACTCATGCAACCTCACTGCCTAGCAAAAAAACAAAACAAAAAAAATTAGCTCAGAAAATAGGCTCTGCTGAAGTTGTCCTTGACTCTCCATTCAGGGACTCCATTGTTCATTCACTAAATTTTATTGAGCACCAACCATGTACAAGACAAAGAATGTAGGCTACATATACTAATGGAAAGAAATACTGGACTTGAAGCCAGCTTGGTTCTTTTCTCAACTCTGCCACCTAATAGGTACTAATAACCTTGGGCAATTATAAACTCTCTGAAGCCATTCCCTTATTTGCAAAATGCAGATAATACTTGCAGTACCCACTTCACACAGTTATAAGGATCAAAAGAGGTAATGTGTGTAAAGTGTGTTTGAAACAGGAAATAAAAAGTAAATATTAATAACAAGGCACGATATTAGGCAATCAATGTTCGTCATGACATTCCAGGTTCACATTAGTGTTAATGGTGTTAAGAGATTCCCCAAGTAACTTCCTCTGAAGGAAGTTTTCATTCTGACTTATCTGGATGTCATTAAATGCCCTCTCCACCATTTCCTTCCAATTTTTCCTCAAGGAGGAAGGCATTTAATGTTGGCATTTCTAGTGTTGCTCCATTTTGATTTGGTTTTTTTTTTTTCTCTTTCCTTTGGTTGGAAGAGTTCCCCTCACATCCTGGGAACACATGGCTGGAATATGCATGTGGTGAGGTGATACTTAGTCCCTAGAGCACAGTGGTTTAACCACAGTGATTAACTTCCTGCTGACATATCATAACAGGTTAAGTGGGTTGTAAAAGACCCATAAGACTATATCCTCCCCTTTTCACCAATCTCTCCTATTTCCCTCACTTCATATATTAGAACCCTCCATTCTTTTTTTTTTAGGAGACAACTTTTCAAAATCATTACTATTTTTATTTTGGAATACGATCGGCAACATTAAAGCCTACAATAAGAGTATTATTAGTGTTGTACCAAGAAATCAGCAAGTGAGACCCAGACGTAATTTAAAATGTGGATTTATTAGCACACGGCTGCAGGGGGTATGCACATCCAAATCAAGCAGCCCCGATCAGGGGTCGAGCTAGGGTTTATATGGAAAAGAGCATGGGAAAGAAATGCCAGGAACACTGATGAGGTAATCCATAGGTGCAGGTGTCTATGGGGGCTATGGATGGGAAAGTACAGGGAGTATACCGGACAGGGAAGGGGATGGATCTTTGAGTCTGGCAGGAGGAAGAGTCCTTGGTCTGGCCAAGGACACCCCTCTCCCTCTGTTTTGATGAAAAAATGTTCTGCAACAAGGGAAAGCTTTCTCACAACACAGGAACTTACTAAGGAATTGGGAGGCTTCCAGAGACATGATCTGAGGGCTGGGGCCTGAGCAGCCCAGCTCTGTGTAGCTGTACCAGGGAAAGAGAGATAAGGGTCATGCTGAGGCCCATGCATGAATAACTGCTAGGCACAGTGTCCTTGGGCTGGGGAGTGGTTGTTAGAGACAGTGTTTCTGAGACTAGGAAGAAATTGGGGCACAAGTACAAGCACAAGCACCCGAGCACCCCATCATTACAGGTCAGAGATCACACAAACCAGACCAGGTGTCCTGGTCTCTGGTATAAACATAATTATCTAAAGCAATTATATTGCAAGCTTTCTTATCCATTTGCGTTGGAGGTACGGGCTATGCTGAGCTATGCAAGAGTACATTTCACTATTGTTTAGATTTAGGAGGAAAGAGGTCTGGGGCAAGATTAAGCATCAACTTTTGCTTTCCATGGCTTAAAGGGCCCTGCTACCTAAATGGCAAAATAATGTTCTGCATTACATTAGTTCACTAAAAAGCAACCACTACCACTTTGGTAGCAACTGAAGAAGCACTTTTCATTCTTCCTCTGGTTTGCTTTACAACAAATTAATGTAATGTGTTTATTAAGAACCCATTATGTTAGGATACTATATTAGATACTTAAGATACAGAGGTAAAAATGAGACAGAATTACAAAAGGCAGGAAGTGGAACAGACCTCCAACAGTCATCTAATCCTTGCTCTCAAAAAGTTTACATATTACTGGGGGAAGGGGGGGATGGTTATAACACGATCAGAAAAATGTACAATAAATATGTGGTTAGGGAATGAAGACTGCAAAAGAGAGAGCAAAGTACTCTTCAGATACTTAAGCAAGAAAAAAAATCAGTAACTGTCCTTTTCATCCAGTGGAAATCACTCTCCTTTTATATTCAACATCTAAATAAGAACTGAAAAGTTTTATTCCCTTTTCCTCAAATTTCACACAAGAAGGCATATAAAAGTTTCTCTCCCTACAGTTTACTTAGGTTTTGTTATTTCATATATCTGGTATGTTCATGCTACCTATAATTTGAGATTATAGACTTCTAGAAAGATGAAGTAAGGTCCTGTTTAGCTTAATTCATTAAAACTCTACACAGTGTATGTGCATTTCAGTATGAATGGTACAGTATGTATGTTTAGTATTTATTTAGCACTTTAAAGTTTAGAAAGTTCATTCCTCAGATCACCTCTGTGAGGTAACCGCTGTAAGTATTCTTCCCCTGTCTCTTGCCTTTTACAGATGAGAAAACTGAGAGGTCTTAGGGAGATTAAACGACCTCTTCATGTCCCACAGAGTTAGGATTTAAACTCAGGTCTCCTGACTCAAAGTCCAGTGCTCTTTCTAAACTACATTATACTGCCTCTACTCTGAGCCTCCTTTTAAGCTAATGACTCCTCTTTTTGATTCATCTTTATATATTTATAGTAGGTAAATATAATAAAATCTTATCTATCCCAAACAGCTACTAGCAACTTCACTTATAGTGTATATTGATACATTATATCAAAAAATATGGTCTTGAACCAAGGAGTAAGCAAAAAAGGCATCTGAGAAGCATCTTAGGTGGTGCGGTGGATGGAGCACCGGCCCTGAAGTCAGGAGGACCTGAGTTCAAATCTGGCCTCAGACCAAACACTTGACACTTATTAACTGTGTGACCCTGAGCAAGTCACTTAACCCCAATTGCCTAGAAAAAAAAAGTGAAAAAAAGAAAAAAAGGCATCTGAATAACGAAGAGATATCACAATCTATACATTTAAGCTTGAGCATTTTGCTCAGAGAAGAGCTTCCCAAACCCTTCTTCAGAACCTATTTACTCTTACTTTATATATGATTCTAACAATTTTGGGACTTTTATTTCCAAATCTATAGATGATTGGAGGAAATTAATTTCAAGAGGGTAGAAACTGGGAGTAAGAGAGGAAGATGATGATAGGTTGACAACAGGAAAGGGGACAGAAAAACTATAAAAATTAGACACAAGAACTCCAAAAGTTTAGCAACCAAGGAATATTTGGAAGTAAATGGTAAAATTATCCTTCAAAAACAGTAGGGCATCAATGTATTATAGACCAGCAATCCTACTGATTTTCATTACAGTAACCTTGAATTATTAAGATAAAGGATGTTTAGTATAATTTAAGAAGGCAGAGAATCACATAATATAGTTTAGGAAGATTTTTATCCCAAGGTTTTTTTTAAACCCCAGCACCAGTATTGGTAAAATACTCAGTTACACCATTTTGAAGCAATCTTGATAATTATAATAGATATACAAACATATTCTTATGAAATCATAAGGAAGCTTATGAAGCAAAATGTCTTAGAATGTAAAACAATGTTATAACCTTCTTGCTGTTGTTTAATCAATTCTCTTTTTAAATTTATAAAAATGCAAAGCAGTGCCATGTAGAATTGGAACAGTGCTCAGAGACATCCCATTTTCTCAATTCCAGCAAGAAAGATCTCTTTTGGCTCTTTTTGATCTGGCGCTTCATAGTACTTTTGATTTTTAATATTTTTAATATCTACAAATGTCTCTGTGTTTAAATATGCTTTTAACATACCTCAAATCAGTGTTCTTATCTATTTTAGATGGTAAGTTACTGAATATTAAGGAGGAACCAAACTGGTTAGCCTACTTTAAAGAACACTCAAAAAGTTATAACGCTCAAAAATTACATAACATTCAAAGTTGTAAACAGGAAAATATTTTATTAAATCTTTCTGGAAGATGATCAAAGATTCACAAAGACATGCTATGGATGTTTAATAAATATAACTGAAAATTGGGATGATGGTCATATAGTGTTACTTGGACCATCAAAACTTCCCTTTTTAGTTCTGTTGTCAAATACTAAGTAGATGTAAGTGCCTTTCTCTTACCGTTCTCCAGTATAGCCTGGACTGCAGTGACATTGACCTGTGGCTGAGTCACAGGTCCCTCCATTATGGCACTGGCACTCCTGGGAACAATTCTTTCCAAAGCGACCTTCGGGGCAAGGCTGACCACACACTGTGCCCTGCATTGAAACAGAATCTGAAAATAAGATGGAACTGCAGCCAGGGAAGGGGAAGAAAAGGGAAAGACAAGAATGGAGTCAGGCGAGGCAGGTAAAAGGAAATTATATTAATGGGAACTTGTACTAGATTGGTTATTTCTCTTAAAAATGGCATACTAAGTCTTTCTTTTCTATTGGAAGATTGAAGCTCATTGTACATTTACCCAATGCTAATAAGATAATCTACAGAAATATTGAAAACTGAAATGAATTAAAACAGTAATCATAAGCCTACAGTTAATTTTATATTTTAAAAGGACTGATCTCTTTTTCTGCATTATCCATTTGTAGTAAGTTATCAATATTTCCCGAGTACTCACAGAAGTAAAATCCAGCAGGTTAATTGAATGTCCAAATACTTTATCATGTTTCAACCAAGCACATGCCATTGTTCCTCCCCTACTCCAATAAATCAACAGAATGAAGTTTAAATGCATAAGCAAAATGTTTTATATCCTGTGATTGTTTAACATTGTGTAAATTTCTGTCGATGGGTCAATAAAGAAAACAAAGTAATTGGCTGAGAAGATGGCATGCCCATTGAGCTTATACAGAAAACAGCAGACAGTTCATTGATAAAGAGATTAGCCTAGTGGTAGAAGATGTCAGTTTGGTATTTAAAAATTCCAGTTTGAGCCAAGTATCTGAGAGAGACTTGTTCTTGGTGGGGAAGAAGGGAAGGGAGTTTCTCTCTCTCTCTCTCTTTTCTCTCCTCTTTTCAGTGGCATAAGAGAACAACAGGAGACAAGCGTTCCAGCATGGGGCAGAAAGAGACACACCAAGGACAGACATGGACAGTCACAGCCACAGATGACGAAAGAAGCAGTCTCAAGACACATGACCCCTCCTTGAACTAGAAAAGGAGTGCTCTGAACTCAAGAAAGGACTTCTAGTAACCAGGAGTTGTGAGTTTATCCTCTGGCCAAACATTCTCTAAATATGTACCTCACTAAAATTGTACTCTCAGTTTGAGCCCACTCTTCCTCTGGACTTGGTGAACATTTGTGGGAAAGTATGTCTCAGGGATAAGTAGAGGAAATGTTTTGTATTATTCACATGTTTCTTATTGCATCATTTTAATAAATATTCTTTTCCTAAAACCTAATTTAGGTTACTTGCTGATAACCAATGGAAAAAATAAATGCCAGTACTAGAATATCCTCGTTCTCCTTGAGACTTCCCCTAGAACGCTGAAGGGAGAATAACAACTGCCTTCTGCAGACACAGCCTGACAGAGTGGGGGGCTGGGAGAGTGGTCAAGGATTAGGTGGGTATGCTTACACCATCACTTGCCAAATTTCTTTTAATATGTTAAAACTTAAGATTAAGAATTTTTGAAGCCAATTTAACAACACAGCAGAAGGAAAAAAATCAGAAAGGCACATAAGCACTTTATGATTTAAAAAAGACAATTATATTTTATGCACTGTATCATATAAGAGTCCAACCCTTTCATTGTACAAGAGGAAACTGAGATTGGTAGAAGTCAAGAGATTTGCTAGGGTCATCCAGTTAGTATGTCTGAGGCAGCATTAACACCAAAGTCTTCCTGTCTTTACATTCTATCTGCTATACCACACTACCTCTCTTTAGATGTATTTTTTCAATTGCACATTTATAGTTGGCCCTTAATAAATGTTTGTTGAAGTTAACTGAACAAAGAGATCTAGGAAGTAAGCTTAAGTATATGCATAGGGATACCCTGAACATAGTTGGCACTAAATTCAACAAAATTTAAGTGCCTGCAAAGTGCAAAATGTAGGCTAGGAACTGGTGACACAAACACATAAACCAAAGTAATTTCTACCTTCAAGGAAATGACAGTCTACTTGGAAGTGGCAGGTGGGAGTAGGGCAAAGAATACAGCATATGAACAGGGCATTCTCTCTGGCTGTGCCCTACACTTGAAATCCTCTCCCTTTTCTGCTCCAACTAATGACCTCTCTGTCTTCCTCTAAGTCTCAACTAAAAATCCCACCTTCCATTGGAAGCCTTTCCCAAACCCTCTTAATTCCAGTGCTTACCCTCTGTTAATTATTTCCTGCTTATCCTGTGTATATTTGTTTGCATTTTGTCTCCCCCATTAAATTATAAGTTCCTCGAGGGCAGAGACTGTCTTTTGCCTCTTTTTGTATTCCCAGCACGTAGCACAGTGCCTGTCGTATAGTAGGTGCTAAATAAATGTTTATTCATTGATTTGAGCAGGAAGAAAGGACTAACAACTGAGAGAAAGTGGATATCAGGAAAGGGCTCATGTAGGAAGTCACATTGATGGACATATTAAAAGACAAATGACATTCCAAATGACACAACTTCTTGCTAAATTTTTGACTACTACAAATGTTCTTTTCTCTCTCTCTCTAAAAATGCAAACTGTGGGTAGTTTGTAATTGAAGGTTACTGAATACAAGATGGTTTCATAAACCTTTTATGAATGCTTACTTCCCCATGGTGGCATGGGGAAATATATCTCCTTTGACTCCTAGCTACCGGCAAAGGGCAGTTGGTATGCTAATTAGATCGCTTTCTAAACAAAAGTTTTTTTGCTATTGAAAACAAGAGAAGGTTTATCATAAAAAGTTTTCATATTTTAGATTTATCCTCTTGCCTTCAACCAGGACCATCCATGGAGTATCCAAGTAATACAAGAATCTATACTGTTTTCAAGAACCTTTAAGTGAGATGATTTGGGAAAGCATTTAAATAGTTCATTGCCTTTGTATCTTCCTTGTGAATGTGTAAAATCATATATACATATACAACCACATGTAGGGCAGCAAGAATCCTTAATATGTGTATAACCCCAACATTTTTAGGCAACATTGCGATGCACTGTCTACTTTATTCTAAGCAATACCTTCTATAAGAGTTATCGGTGCTGACTGGGGAATAAGTTGGGCTTCAACATTTTTGAATTGCTGTTTCAATGTAGCAATTTATTTTTGAGTATATATTAATAATTCTTTCATATCAACGTGATGACTTGGTTCAGTCTTTGTTGAAACTGACTCTTTATAGCTACAATACAAACATCTTTATTTCTTACAACCTTGTTCCTTTGCATAAAATTAACTTTCATCCAAGTTTTTTCTTTCTGCTTACCAAGTCTCTAATTTCTGTTTAAAATCTCAATATTCCCCAAATACTAACGTGATTCAGTAAAACTTTGTCTTTTTTCTTCAATTCTCAATAACATATATAGGCTTCATAACATCATTTATTTTTTGACATTTGGTTCCATGGGCATATCTTCCTCTGAATCAGGTTGATAATTCCCTTTTCAAGTTCACTTGATATGTTTGTGACCATTTACTCTACATTTGTAATAGAAAATAGTTATGCTGCTCTACATCTTGATGGGATTCTTTCATCCATCTGTTGTGACTTAAGTGATGAGGTCACATTTACTGTTTTTGGAATATGAGATGACCTTTTTTTTTGGTCCTAGCATCATTTCCCAAGGCTGATTCTTTAGAACTCAGTTTTTGACACAACAAATCTCTTTCCTCTTTTTCATATTTTGATTAATTATGTCTGTCCACCCATGACAGAGTCTCAACAAAAGAAAATTCTGCTTCTTTGCTTGTATTGTACTGGTGGAGATTTTGCATTAGATTGTTATGAACTCACTTCTCTTGGTCCTTCATCTTTATAAGTGCAATAATTTTGTCTGTGCTTCCACTTTAAAACAGATATCTGTAGACTTTGTCTTCAGATTTGTGTCATGAGTGTAACTCTCTTGCTGAGCTTCTTTATATCAGGTCAGGAAAAGATGTTTTGAAGCTACTCAAAATTAAAACTTTTTTTTAAAAATTGACTTACTAATCACCCTATAAATCTGTTGCTCATATACTTCCAAATATTTATTCTCTGACACTGTCTTTGCTAAATGTGCCTCTGGCCCAAACCATGACTGTACTCCTCTTCTTGGGTCATTCTAACTAGGTTTGTTCTCTCAGATTGTATCACCACCAATTTTAATGGTAGGCTTTCTACATCTATCACAAATTTGGACAATTCTTCATATTTTCGGGTGGTATTGTTGAACCTAGAAAATGCCATCTCAGTAATTAGGCTAGCTCCCTAGTGACACCTTCATTCAGTATGACTTCAATTTTTCTGCTCTGACATAAGACCTCACAAATTCAAAAGCAGGTCCTTCGGTAATTTTCACTAAATTACATGTTTCATCTTGCTCAAATGTCTGCTAACTTTTTAGTATAGGATACTAAGTATGCTGTAGCATACCAAGTCCAAATCACTACTGATTCTTCTTCAGTAAGACAGGGATTTATTCTGTCCTGAAAAGATTCCTAATTTGAGCCAATAATATATTTGTGCTATATGAATTCAATATTTGACACCTACACGGGGCTTAAGTGTTTTTCTTTTTTTTTGCAAGCTTGTCTTTTAGATTTCTCTATTGGCAATCTCATTTTCTAAAATCTACTCATTAAAAAAAATCAACTCCTTGACTCAGAGACTGGTTCCTCTTCTGTCACTGTATCAGCAGTTTTTGAGTCTAGTAACTTACAAAATACTAACTGAATTCATCCTAGTCTTATCCCATTATTACTCCACATTTCTCCAACTCCTTTAAGTTCTTTAAAATAATATCTAATATCATAATTCTTACTCTTAGCATTTACTCATAAGAACAAAAAGACCTTGGTACATTTTCATATTCATTATCTCACAATATCAACTTAAACATATCTGCCTCCATTTATGAACTAGTTATAACACAAAAATTTAGCAAACCAAAAATGCTTAACTAATCATTACGTAGACTATACAGTAAAACATTATAGTTATATTTAATATTTATCAAATAAAACAGTAAAAATAAACAAATTCATGTCATTTGTCACTAGAAGCATTCCCAGGCACTTTGAATTTATTGTTCTATGAATTGCAATGGCCTTGCAATGAGAAGACATACTCCTAGAAAAGAAAAAAAATCCTAGATAAGCCCTCATCTTTTTAGAAATTATTATAACTACCCACATGTAGCCTGGGTACAATGGTCACCCCTCTCTTTAACTGTTCCTGGATCATTTTTCTTCTTAATTTTCATTTTTGCTTCTAAGGTATTTAAGGGTGTATGTTCTGATTTAAGATCAAAAGTATTATTGAATTTTTAATTTAATTATTATTTAACATCATAATATTAGAACTAATAGAAATGTATGGTCCTTTTAATTAATCAATTAGTCTGAGCCCTCATTCCAGGTTATAAAATGAACTGGAGAAACCTCTTTTCCCATAATCTTTCTCTCTCTTCTTTCTCCTAATCACCCTAGTCTAATTAAATAAATATCAATGTATTAGTTATACAATTAAAATCAATAATTCAAATATATTTAAATAATGTATCATAGTGAAAAAATTATAGCTGTAGTTACTACTAACCATCAATTACAATTATTGCCATCTCATCTCTGGAATCACAGTCCCACCATTTGGCTCCCTCAGGATTGAAGTTAAAGTCTCTTCTCAAGAATTCTCTTCATAATGTCACTTTGCAAAATGAGAGTTAAATTCAGTTTTCTCAAGAATTGTCATTTTAGTCTTTCTCAAAGAGAAAAGCTAACTCCCTCAGTCTTTTCTTCTTTTGAAGCCTATAATCTCGGGTATTGCTTGGGGGCAATGAAAGCTTATATTATTTGTCTGTCTCACTATGCATCAGCAGAAGGACTTGAAACCAGGTCTTCCTGACTCCAAGGCTGGCTCCCTATCTTTTATGTCACACACAATCTCAAGCGGTCTTCATAGGGTTTCTCTCTTCCAAGTTTCCACATCTGTATTTAGTTACAGAGCCTAGAAATTGACTTGAAAGAAGCTGATACTTGAAAGAAACGATGAGTACATCTTTGACTTAGTTTAAAAGGAAAACTCACCATCCAGCCATCCGGGCAAGAGCATTCACCAGTGACATGATGACACACTCCTCCATTTTGGCAGGGACATCTCTCTTCACACTGTGACCCATGCTTGCCAGGAGGGCAAAGATCCTCACAGCTGAAGGATTAATGTCCAACAAACGATACTGTTATTTGCAAAGCCACATTACCTTCAACTCCTGACATCAGTGTTATACTCTGAAGCTCCATGATATGAACTGCTAAAATTTTTTCTCAGAATATTGAATTAAGCAAGTTATCCAATAATTTATTATTACTGAATTAACATAAATATGACATAGACTAACTTAGTTAACATAAAAGTATTAATAATATGAATTGGTGGGACCTACTCTTGCCACCCCATCCATTCTCTCACATTTAGGCAAGACCAAAATCAGATCTTTCTTGAGAAATAAGAATTTGTCCTGTTTGTAAAAAGCTCCAGATAACTACCCTTGGTGACGACTGCCCAATTTTTAACAGTCCTTGTGACTGAATTTAACCATTGTACTTTACTTTAAACCAGCTTCTTCTTCCTGTTCTGACTTCAACTGGGAATGCAAACAATTTCTCAGTATCCTCTGTGAAAGGGTCCTTCATATCAATGACAATTATTTTTAATCACTACTCAGTTGTTTCTTCTCTAACTATAAGTTACAGAATGGTTGCTTATCTGCATTAGTAGAGAATTCCCTCAACAGAAGCTCTTTTCTTGTACTGAAATCACAATTTCAGAAAAGAAAAATTGTGCAAGGCACCATGCCAGGCTGCAGAAACACAAAAACACAAATTAAATAGTACCTGCCTTTCAGGAGTTTACACTGTTAAATGAGGGTGCAGTGTATACATTAATAAGTATAATATAATATACAGGAATGAAATGTTACAGGAGATAGAGAAAAAAAGTACTCTAACAGTTTGATGGGGAAGGGAATACCTTTCTTTATTGGTTTTGTTCTGTAACCATTAACTCATCTTTGTGGCTTCTCACAAAGGGAAGGATATTAATTTCTTTCCTCCTCCTTTCCTAATTCTACTTCCTTTTTTGCCAGTGTATGCTGTCATATAAGAAAGTTCTCTCCTGCAAATGGGAAATAATGACAGAGGTTTCTAACCTAATTGTTTCTCTTTTCTCTCTATGGACACCAAATATTGGGAAAGACACATTTATTTAATTCACCAATGGGTTAAATTTTGACATCTTTATTCTTTGACAATTTCATAATGTATTCACAGATGCCCCAAAAAATGCCACATGGAAAAAAATTTACATGAAAAGACTGATAATTTCATAGGTATCCACACTAATGAAATCATAGGTTTTCAAGTAGCAAAGCAAATGAACACCCTTTTCACAGATATGACAAGTCAAAAAGGGTTGAGCCTTTTAGAACTTGGCTAGGTGGGTTCTTAGATGACAGGTATAGTTCATCACAGGGCAAACACTCTAAGCCTTTCCAGTTTTTCAGGACATGCCAGAGCATTGTGACTGTCATATAAGAAACGAGCTTCTGTTGAGGAAATTCCCTCTACTAATGCAGATAAGCAACCATTCTGTACCTTATAGTCTTAGAGAGCTGCGAAGGACATAGAAGTAAAATGCTTCACCTATGGTCATACAACCAGTATGTAGAAGGCCCAGTATGTGTTAGGGCAAGATTTGAATCCAGATTGTCCCTAACCCATGCCAGCCCTTTATCCCCAAATTTTGAAGAATGAATTGAATCTATGTAAATTAAACACAACAGAGAGAGCAAAACTGAATAGAAAAAAGACTCTGCAACCTAAAACCTGCTCAAATAAGCTGCCAAAGAATATTGAAAAGTTTTTTCTCTATTTTGATAAAGACAAATGTACAATAAAGGTAAAGTATTGGGGAGGTATTAACAGAAAGAGGTCTGGACTTGAAATAAGGAGGAAAATGAGTTTGAATCTGTTCTAACACTTAACTGATTGTGACCATAGGCTTTCCTCATTTTACAGAAGATGCTCACAGAGATGAAGTGACTTGGCCAAAGTCACACAAATAGTAGAACTGGAATATGAATGCAGGTCTTCTGATTTCAAATCTAGTGCTCTTTCCTCTATACCACATTGCCATCCAGCAATTCAATAACCAGTCATTTGAGAGAGAGAAAACATGTGGATATACAGATGCTTAGGATATAGAGATACTTAAGATGAGTTAGAAGATTTGTTCTTAATGGTATTCTGCATCCACCATATTTATAATGGTATTCTGCATCCACAATATGTCACTTACAAGGCTCCAGTATATCCAGGAGGGCATCTACATTCTCCAGTTACATGATCACAGGTTGCTCCATTCTGACACTGGCACTTCTGGTGGCAGTCATTTCCATAGGTGCCCTGGTCACAACGATCTTCACAGCGCCAGCCCTTGAAGCCTGATGCACAGTGGCAGGCTCCTGTGATAGGATTGCACAAGGCTCCGTTTTTACACTGGCAGCGACTGCTACAGTGAGGACCCCAGTGGTCTCGGTCACATGCTGAAGGATAGGAAATGAAATCATTAAAGAATTCAAGAGTCTGTATATCACCTCAAGTGAATGAAGGCAAGCTCATTATATAGTTATTCCTCTCCTTCCTATTTTTATGATGGAGTTCTTTCAGATCAATTGGTTGTTGCTTTAATTACCTGCCAAGTAAAATTCAAACTCCTCAGTAAAAGTAAAGGCAATCAAGACTTTCCACAATTTGATCTCAACCCACTTTTTTTAAATAAAATTTTATTTTTAAACAACGATTAGCCTTCTCTCCCTTTCTTTCCCCTATCCCCACCTTGTAAAACCACAAAAATCTAGTTATGTATAGCAAAACAAAACAAAATTTTTCATTGGTCATGTCTGAAAAAATGTCAAAATCTATACTTTGAGACCATCACCTCTCTGTCAGAAAGTGGGCAGCATTTTTCATCATTAGTCCCCAGGAATTGTGATCATTGCCTTGATCAGAGTTCCCAAGTCTAAAACTATATCTATCTATATCTATATCTATATCTATCTATCTATCTATCTATCTATGTCATTTTAATTAGCCAAGATCTTCCTTCTTACCCTCCCACCCCAACCTTCTCCTTTCCTCACGTTGAGAACACAAGAAAAACGAAGCCCATTAAATATATGTAGTCAATTGAAGCAATTTTCATTTGTCCATGTCCTAAAAAACATTTGTTTCATTCTGCTTTTTAGAGTCCTTTACTTCTCTTTCAGGAGGTGGGTAGGATATTTGTTTCATTCTGCTTTTTGGAGTCTTTTACCTCTATTTCAGGAGGTAGGTAAAATGTTTTATCATCAGTAACCTGGATAAGAGTTCAGAACAATAGTAATCCATCATATCCATAGACCATAACTTGTTTATCCGTTCCCCAATTTATGGGTACCCCTCAGGTTCCCATTTTTCACCCCTCAAAAAGAGCTATAAGTATTTTTTGTACATCCTTTTGTACATTTTGTTGTGCTTAGGACTAATCCTTCCCTGGGGCAGCTTGATGGCTCAGTGGGTAAAGTGCTGGAGTCAGAAAGACCTGAGTTCAAATATGGCCTCAGACACTTACTAGCTGTGTGACCCTGAGTAAGTCACTTAACTCTGCTTGCCTTAGTTACTCATCTATAAAGTGAGCTGGAGAAGGAAATAGCAAACCATTCCAATATCTTTGCCAATAAAACCCCAAATAGGGTCATGCAGAGTTGGACACAACTGAAACAATTAAACAACATAGAATGAGTGGGTCAAAGAACAAATCATAGAAACAATGAACAATTTCATCAAAGAGACTACAACAATGAGACAACATTCTAAAATGTGTGGGATGTAGGCATAGCATTACTCGAGGGAAATTTCATATCTCTAAATGTATATGTCATTTAAAGAGAGAAAGGGCAGATACGAATAGTCAATAATGTGATGAATATGGCTACTTCTTTTCAATGGGGGATCAAGGAAGGGGAATTTTATTCATTTACTTTTGAAGCAAAATGAACAAGTAAGATAGGTATTGGGCAGCTAGGTGTTCAGTGGGTAGAATGCCAGATCTAGAGTCAGGAAGACCTGAGTTCAAATCCAGCCTCAGACACTTACTAGCTGTGTGACCATGGGTAAGTCACTTAACTCTGTTGGCTTCGGTTTCCTCATCTGTAAAATGAGCTGAAGAAGGAAATGGCAAACTACTCCAGTATTGTTGCCAAGAAAACCCTATGGACAGTAAAATCCACAGGGTCATGAAGAGTTGGACACAGCTGAACAACAACAAAAAATCTTTTTTTTCAAGTTCCTATAACAAAGGCACCATTTCTAAGCTATATAAATAATTGGTTCAAACTTATAAAAGAGCCATTCCAGACTGGTAAAAGGTCTAAGGAGAAGAACAGACAGTTCTCCTGAGTGAGAAGAGGAGAAATACAAACTACACATAGCCATATAATAATGCTCCAAATAATTGCTAATAGAGAAATTAAAATTAAAGCAATTCTGAAGTTCTAACTCATAACTAAAAGGTAGCAGATAAGGGAGGGAGACAGGGACAGAATTTGGAACTCAAAACTTAAAAAAATGAATGTTAAAAATATTTTTACATGTAATTTTGGGGAAAAAATGCTTATTAAAAAAAGAATAAGGATTTAAAACAGACTGGAGAAGTCACCTCAATTACCTTATTGAGGCAAAAAAAGGATACACTGGCATGAACTCTAGAATGAAAAGATTACATATATAGATTTTTATATTAAAGCAACAGTCTTCTGCAGAGTGAACTACAAGATTTAAGGAGTTATTATTTTAGAGATAGATTACATGCTATCTTTGAAATAAAATGAGTTACAAGTGTAAGCCAGCTTAAAAAGAAAAAAAGCTCTACTAATTCCCAAACAAGAAAAGTACATACAGTAAAAAACAGTCCAAGACAGAAAGCAGCAGGTGGAAACTCACCACTGGAGCAGTTGGTTCCACCCCAGCCAGGCTCACACTGACAGGTGTTTGGAGCAATGCAGCGTCCATGGACACATTTATCAGCACAGTGGGCTATCAGAGAAAAATCAATAAAATAAAGGAATTTTAAACACACAAAAAAACCACTTTTACTGTGCAGCTGTCTTATATCCTAGCCTCAACAATCACTTCAAAAATATTCATGCTTGATAATTTTCTTCATTGAAGGAAGGAAGCCTAGCAATACCAGATTTCAAACTATATTACAAAGCTGTAATCATCCAACAATCTGCTACTAAGAAATAAAGTGGTGGATCAGTGAAATAGATTAGATAATTTTCTTCATTCATTCTTCAGCCTTTTTTTTTGGTGAGGCAATGGGGTTAAGTGACTTGCCCAGGGTCACACAGCTAGTAAGTATCATGTGTCTGAGGCTAGATTTGAACTCAGGTCCTCCTGACTCCAGGGCCAGTGCTCTATTCACTGGGCCACCTACCTGCCCCTCTTCAGCCTTTTAATTCATTGTACAACCACATAATTTACCCTTGTTTGAAGATTTCTAAGTATAGTCATTCATTTCTGCTCTTTAAATTCAGTTTCATGAGGGGCAGGTAGGTGGTGCAGTGGATAGAGCCACCAGCTCTTGAGTCAGAAGGACATGAGTTCAAATCTGACTTCAGACACTTACTAACTGTGACCCTGGGCAAGTCACTTAACCTAGATTGCCCCCCAAAAATAAAATAAATTTTATTTCATGGTAAGGAGAAGAGAACTTAAAAGAGAAAATGGAGTATCCAATATTTGTTTAATCAGCATTTATCCAGTCTGTGATCTGTGTACCTCTCTGTGTGTGGCTATATGCTTGTATATAACATAATACAGCAAGATGTAGTCATGACTTTGTGATTTATGGGCGATAGAGTGAATACACACGTAAATAGAAATACCTTGAAAGAAACAGGAAAATTAAGCCCCAAATAGGAATATTTTCAGAGATCACCAACCCTGTTGAAAACTATAGTATTGTGGGCAGGGCATGGAGAAGAAATGTTTTGGGTCTGAGAGGTCACAGATTGTCTCTTTGGCTTGATACCACTTTCATCAAAATCCTTCATAAGAAGCTTGTTGATACCACTAGAATCTTCATTAATCCTACAAGCAGCTTACATATTCACTATTTAGATTGTAGGAGGCTGCATAGTACACTGGAAAGAGGGCTGAATTGGAGTCACAAGATTGGAATCCAAATTCTACCTTGGCCACTTACTGACTGTGAGCACTTGCACAAGGGCTTATCCTCATATACACAGTAAAAGAGCTGAACCAAACTGTCTCTAAGCTACCTTCCATCTCTAAACACGTGATCCTAGGAAAAGGTAACATTTGCTTCACAAAGACTTTTATAATTTACTTAAGTATCTAGAGGCAGAATCATGAGTGGTAAGCACTCTGAACCCAGTCAGGAGAAACCTAGATTCCAGTTCTGTCTCTGACACTCTATAGCTGAGTGACCATGATGAAATCACTTAATCTCTCTGAGCTTCAGTAATCTGATTTGTAAAATTAGGGCAATCATACTCCTTACTTCACAGGATTGGAGGCCCAAATAAGATAATGTTATATATATTACACATGCTTTATATAAGTACTCTCAAACCTTAAAATGCTGTGTAAATGATGGTTATTGTTAATTTCAAAACAAGATACTCTTTAAATACCTCAGCATGAATTGGTAAGAAAAGGGGTGGGGGGCCATAATACAGAAGATGAAAAAGATTTAGAGAATAATTATAAAACAGTCCACTAGTCTTAACAGTCCTCTCTGAGGGAGAGAACTGGCTTATCCTAGGCTCCTTTATATCACTTGGTCAGGGAAAATCAGGGAACTGACCTACTCTATGACCTATTCTAATGACTGCTCATCAGTTTTCAAAGAGATATTTGTCAAATAATTGTAACTAAATTGGTCACTGTCTTGAAGAATCTTTTTTAACAACCCCTTCCTTTTTCACTGCTTGCCTTGAGCTAAATCATTTGAAATTTAGTGCCTGTCTAGAAAAACAGACTTGGACTTCTTCAACTCTTACAACCTAAGAATGCCCCCAGACAAGTGTCAAAAGGAAGGTCAACTGCCTATTGACTCTTCTTGACTTGAATCTAAAGGCTGTTACCAGAAGCAATCCAACATTTGGTAAAACAAAGAATTTTGAAGAGAACAAAATTATACTTACGAATACATATTTCCATGCTTTCATAAAATCCAGGACAACACTGGGATTTACGTCTGTACATGGTTTTTTCTCCATGCCGATAAGCTGTACGATAACTAATTCTACGTAGAGAGAGAGAAAAAAAAATCAAATTGTTATTTTTTTATTCTGTATTTGGATTGATTTGGGATAATGTGTTAATTAAAAGTTTAAGATAAGCATTCTATCAAATGTGGTATATAACATTGAAAGTAAAACAGTCCAAAATAATTAGGAAAAAGTTTAAAATGGAATTTTTGACCAATATCATAGTATCTGCTTCTTTGACTAAGGATAAGTAAATCTGGCCAATTTAAGCTAAATTATACATTGATTCAAAAACAGCAAATGTTAAAAGTAGGTCATTCCCTTATCTCACCTAACTTCACTAAGATTATTTCTTAGATGTATAAATGGAACTCATTTTATTTCTCCTCTAATCAAACAATCCACAAGCATTTATCAAGTGCATGTGGTGTGCCAGGAATTAGGGTTGTATTGCAGATAAAAATACAAAAAATGAGTCAGTCCTTACTCTCAAGGTATTTACATTCTAACAGGAGACTTCCTTACTGCCTCTTGAATAAAATATAAACTCATATAGTTTTTAGAGATTTTCACAAACTGGCCCCAACTTATATTCCCAGTTTCCTCTTTTGAATTCTATGGTCCAATAAATTGGCTTCTTCTTCATTTCTTACCCATAGCACTCTATCTCCTGGCACTACATCTCCCATCTCCCTGTTGTTACACCAGCTGTCCTCTATGCTTGGTATGTTACTCTATTCATCTTTGTCAAATCAAGTCAACAAGCACTTATTGAGTTCTTACTATTTGCCAGGTAATGTGCTATGTGTTGAGAATAAAAACCCAAGCAGAAAGAAAGAAAGAAAAAGCTTGCATTCTAATGGAGAAAGACAACACATAAAAGAAAAATGAAAAGGGGAGGAGAGAAGAGATAAAAGAGAAGTCTAGAGAGTAAGGAGTACAAACTTGATTGGAATGAAGACCAGGTTGGCTTGGGTGTTCTTAAAATGGAGGTGCTGGGAAAAAAAACCTAGCCAATCAAAGAGAGAGGTCTCAAAAGGTTCTTCCAATGTCTGAAGTCCATGAGTGGAATGAATTTCTAGGTTGAAGAGTTTTCAGGATAGGTGCTTTGGGAGACATCTCTCTCCAGTACACAACTTGACTCCTGTCATTCCAACTGGTAGAGCAGATCTGGCTTGGCAATTCCAAGTCTCCAGCAGATTAGTTTTCTATAGTTAGTTTTCCAGCGTCACATTCCTGTATAATACCATTTGAGAAGGGTTCAGGAGATCCCTACTCCTCTGGGGTAAAATCTATAGCAATATCCTTGAATGTCACTGATTCTCAGTGATTGCTAGTGGTCAAAAGTACAGGGGCCATTACCTTCTCAAAATTCCTACCTACTGAGGAATGGCAGTGTCCACAGAAACCAGATCTTTTGAGGGGAGAGGCAGATGCAAAACACAAGCCACGAATACATGAGGAAAAGTGGGGTAGGTCCCTTCACCCTGAGGTAACTCAGAAGAAAGGAGGGACCCTTTCCAGTTTCACCTCACACTCCTGGTGGGGGCTCATCTAATTGAGGAGAAAATGTAGATAACAATAAACATCCTCAATAAAATATAAAGAGTCTCTCCATTTAGTGTAATATGCTCTGGTTCTGCCATGGGACAAAATGAGAGCGGGCTGAGCTTCAAACATCTGAAAGTCCTCTTGGAATTTATATACTGTGGTCCAGAATGTTTTTTTCCTAGCCTGTGTGTGCGTGTGTGTGTGTGTGTGTGTGTGTGTGTGTGTGTGTGTGTACATGTATGTACCTGTACAGAGAGACATGCAGATACTGAGACTCACAGTTTTGGGGATAGATAGCTGGCCTATAGATATAGATAGATAGATGGTAGATAGATAGGTAGATAGGTAGATAGATAGATAGATAGATAGATAGATAGATAGATAGATAGATAGATAGATAATTAGACAGACAGACAGACAGACAGACAGACAGACAGACAGACAGACAGATAGATAGATAGATAGATAGATAGATAGATAGATAGATAGATAGATAGATAGTCAGAAAGCCATGCTTCAAGTACTACTTCAGCTGCAAGGTAGCTATATGACTGAGAAGTCACTGAACCTCTCAGTGCCCTAGGAAATTCTCTGAGACAGGAAGATGCAGAGAAAATGTCAATGCAAATCTTTATGGGAGTTTCCCATACCATAAAATCATAAGCCCAGTTTTTAAAAACTTGTATATACATACATATAATAAATATGATACCTTTTGCCATATAATCATTTTGGGAAAATTACCCACTTCACATTGAATGCACCTTTCCTACAAATAATAATAATTAAACAAAAATACCAGATACAGTGACTGCATCTGACAATGTATATACAACATTCTCTTCTGGTAGACCCATATTTCTCTGCCTTGTTAGGAGGGAGGTACGTTAGATTATTTGTTCTCTTGAAACATTAGTTTTTCAGTTACTTGGACTTCAGCATCCTTTTCATGATCTTTTATTTCACTATCAGTTTATATGTGTTTCTATTCTTCTTTGAATTATATTCGTCTTTGAAATATATTCTCCATTTGTTATGATATAGCAATATTAAATTATACTCATGCACCAAAATTTGGTTAGCCATTACCACCTGAAGACTTCCTGCTTTGATTTCAGTTGTTTACTATCACAAAGAGCTCTACAATGAATATTTTGGAATATACTGGTGTTTTATTTTTGTCTTTTCCCTCTTTGGGGTATATGATCAGTAAATGGTATTTCTGGGCCAGAGGGTATGGGTAGACCCTTTAGTCACTTTTTTGCACAATTCCAAATTTATATCCAGAATAGTTGGACCAGTTCATAGTTTCACCAAAAGAATATTAGTGTGTCATCCCATAGCCTTTCTAATACTGTTTCATTTTTTGTCATCATTGCTAAATTACAAACTGTAAAGTGAAACCTCAGTGTTGTTTTAATGGATATTAGTACTAGTGATCTAGAGCATTTTTTAAAATGGTCACCTTTTGACAATTCTTTTGAAAACTGGTCATATCCTTTGATCATGTATCTATTAAGGAATGGCTTTTGGTATTATGTGTTTGTCTCAATTCCTTATATATTTTGCATATAAAATTTTTATTGGTGATATTTGACACAAATATTTTTCCAACTCTAAAATTTTTCTCCCTTCATTGATTTTATTAATGTAAACTCATTAATTACATATAATCAAAATTATCTATTTTGTCTTTTATGATCTCTATCAGGGAAATCATTATAACCCCCAGCAGGCCTAGAAAAGCACTGAAAATATGGGTAGGCATTCAATAAATACTTGTTGGATGAATAAAAAACATTTTTTTCTGTCAGTCTTTTACATTATATATAATAGAATGTTCCATTTCTTGGTACCTGCATAACCAAACTCAGAAACATATATTTACTTCCTTTACCTGTGTCGTGTGCACTTAAACCAATTTAGGATGTCAGTACAGCTGGTGTAGTAAATTTGATCAAAGGGATGTGGATATGATTCCTGTACTGTCACTGAATAACTGAAACAAAGAAAAAAATAAGAAAATAAATCAACAATTTCCTGGTTTACACAGATGCCTGTGTATCAGCACTTTGAGATAAGTGCTAGATAAATTATCCTTACTGCAAATGTGGATTGCTTATTAAGAGAATCTTCTAGCCTTTTTAACCATCTGTTTGAAAGAGAAAGTTAAAGGATTTATGAGACATTTAACAAACACCACAAGTGTAAAATGAAGTTATTTTCATGTTTACCAACAAACTATGGCATTTCTAACATTAAAGATCAATCACCTGGGTAAATAGAGCTTTTCTAAAAAGGTTTCAACTGAAGTCCAAAGTAAAATCTTTAAGATTAACTCACAAAAAGGGAAATTTAAGTCTTTGTTACACAGACTCAATTTTTTATTAGTATCTTCTGATTTCAGAAAGAAAAAAAAGAATGAGAACAATATCTTCTATGCATCTCACCAGCACATAATAGACTCTTAATGAATGTGTTTTTCCTCCCCCCCCCCTTTTTCTCTTTCTCTTCTTTCCTAATTAATGTTGGCTGACAGACTTCATGGAGAATCTTCTTCAAAATCATTTAAAGGCATCTGAAGAATTTCTCCGAAGACTGGTGGATTCTGCTTCAGTCTCCCTGAAGAATTTTATCAAAGCTGAGTGTGGTAATTAGCACATCTAACTTTTCACGTTCACTTTGTGGCAGTATCAGAGGATCTGGGTTCAAGTATTAATTCTGCCACTTATTTATTCTGTTACCTTGAAAAACTAACAACCTCTATGAGTTTCAGTTTTCCCATACGGTGGAAGGTAAATGAAATGGTCTCTTAGACCCTTTTAATCTTTTAGATACCTTCTAGCTCAAATATTCTGTGAGTGGAATTCAAAGCTATCTGTACTTAGGTTGGTGTAAGTCTGAGAGGTACATGTAGATTTCTTCAACTGGAGCAGAACCAAGAGAACATCATACACAGTAACAGCAACATTGTGTGATGACTAACTCTGATGGACTTAGCTCTTCTCAGCAATGCAAGAATACAAGACAACTCCAAATTATGATGGAAGATGCTGTCTACATCCAGAGAAAGAACTATGGAGTTTGACTGCAGATTGAAACATACTATTTATTCTCTCTTTTTTGTTTTGTTTTGTTTCTTCTTTCTTGTGGTTTCTCCCATTGGTTCTAATTCTTCTTTACAACATGACTAATGTGAAAATGTTTAATATGAATGTATATATACAGCCTATATCAGATTGCATGCCATCTTGGGGAGGGGAGGGATAGAAAATTTAAAACTCAAAAGCTTATGGAAGTGAATATTGAAAACTAAAAATAAGTAAATTAATTTTTTTAAAAAAATATTTCTCCCACAGGACACAGAAATTTTAAGTGGACTAACTTCAGTTAGAAGGAAAAATTTTATGTTAGAAGAGCTATAAAATACTAGACTATACAAACCAAAACACATTTGCCTTCTCTAGGGGTTTATGATACATGGATATGGATGTCAAAGCTGCTTCCATGAAACAATAATTTGCAAATTTTCATATCTGTGGATCTCCTTCTTTGGTACAATATGAACTTTTTCCCTAGTCAAAAACAGGTATCTTCCTTATAAGATGGACATGGGTATAACCAACTTATTTTGTATGTATTCTAATAACATACAAGAGATAAACAGAGGAGCATTAGAGCATAGTGCAGAGAACACTGAATTATGCATTAGAACTGCATCCCAGTCCTGGTTTTGTTAAAACTAAGCTATGAGACCTTGAGCAAGCCATATAATATGTCTTGATATCAGTTTTCTTACTTGTAAAATAATGGACTTGGGCTAGATACAAGATATCTAAGAGTCCTTCAGACTCAAAGATTTTAACAATTTTTATCCTTTCTAATCTGTCTGGGTCTTTCAGTAGTGTGTGAATTACTTGGGACAAATAATGCTTTTGACAGAGTTTCTTTCATTTTGTGATAGCAATGGTTATATCTGTGTGCTTTCACAAATTCAAGAGTAATACTAGAATAACACAGAACATTTGACTTTGACCAGATGAAATGTAATTGAGCTGGTTTCCCCATCTTTAGTTAGTTCTTTGTCAGCTGAGCGATGGCTTTTGTGCCACACAGAAATTGCAATGCTCTATTTTAGAAGAATAGATATTATTATTACAAGGAAACATGCAAAAGTTGTAGCTCTTAAAGACAATGCTGCACCTCAATCATTGTTAGAGATATTGCAACAGTTGTTGATGTTGGGGAGTCAAGAATATCAAGGATCATTCAAGCCTATAAGGATAAAGAATGTCAAAAACTATCAAAGTGCTGCTGAGAAAGAGCCTAGTGTCAATTTTCAGAAAACAAGTAAAGTTTTGTCTTAGAGGGATCTGTCAGCTCAAGAAGTTATCAACTTTTCTACTATGTGGTTCACTGTGGGAACAACAGTGAGAAAAAGTTTCTTTAAAAACCCAGCTGCTGACTGTTGTTATGAAGGAAAAAAAAGCTTGTCATGGACAAGACCATACAAAGGTTAAGTACCGAAGACTGAAAAAAGGTAATTGTTACTGAAGAAAACTGACTGTTTCTTTCAAGGTTATCCCAAATCTACTACAGAAGAAGTCTAAGTGATTCTGTAAAATCCATTCATTTTCCACAGATCTCCCAAAAATGTTTTGGGAATTTTTTTGCCAAACTGTGTAAAACAAATGGTAGTAGTAAAAAAGGAGATTTGCATATTAAAAAGTTTTTTCAGGACACACACACAGACACATACACACATGTGGTGGTGGGGAGGAGGAATGAAGGGGAGGGGATGGAGGAAGTGCCTACTATGTGCCATATAATGGGCTAAGCAATTTACACTATTACCTCACTTGGTCCTCACAACAATCCTGAGAGATAGGTGCTATTCTTATTCCCATTTCATAGATGAGGAAATGGGTAAGGAGAAATTAAGTGACTTGCTCAAGGTCACAAAGCTAGATAAATGTCTGAGGCAGGATTTGAACTCAGGTCTTACTAACTCCAGACTTGGCACTCTAGCCACTGCCCTAATATGTCAATAAATGCAATTATTTATAAATATAAATATAATTATTTCACTGTCTGAAATATTTTGTACACCAATATGTCACACATATAGACTTCTTCTCTGCATTCTCCTACCCATGAACTTGCTCTAAGATTACATATAAAGGAAACCATCTCATAATGCATATTTTCTATTTTAAATAAATTTTAATGTCATCTTTCATTTTCTTATTTATTAGTTATTTTATACTTTTTATATTTATTATTTATTGTATAAATATTACATTTATTATTTATTATTATTTATTTTTTATTTAAACATTAGTTTAAAGGCATAACTGGCAAGCTAATCAAATTTGCAGCTGACTCAAAGCTGGGAGAGACAGGTAACACATTGAATGATAGATATCCAAAGAAGGTCTGAATCTTTTGTTGTTGTTCAGTTATTTCAGTTGCATCTGACTCTGTGACCCCATTTGGTTTTTGGGGTTTTTTTGGCAAAGATATTGGAGTGCCTTCTCCAGCTCATTTTACAGAGGAGGAAACTGAGGTAAATAGGGTTAAGTAATTTGCTCAGGATCACAGAGCTAGGAAGTATCTGAGGCCAGATTTGAACTCAGGAAAATGAGTTTTCCTGACTTCAGGCCTGGCACTCTAGCCACTGACATGTAATTCAACAGAAATAAATTTAAAGTCTTAAACTTGGATACCAAAACAAATCAATTTCACCAGTAAAAAATGAAGAAGGCATGGTTAGGTAGCAGTTTTTCTGAAATAAAAAGTTAGGATTTTAGTAGATTTCAAGTTCCATATGCATCATCAGTATTATGTGGCAGTTAAAAAAGCTAGCGTTATCTCAGACTACATTAAGAAAATCGTATCTTCTAAGAATAAGGAGGTAATAATCCTTCTCTACTCTTCTTCACTTTTAAGATCTCATCTGGAATATTTTGTTCAATTCTAGACACCATAGTTTAACAACAATGATAAGCTGGAGAGAATCCTGAGGAAGCATCAAGATATTTGGTCAAAGGCCTTAAGTCTATGTCATATAAGCATCTGCTGAAGGAAATCAAGATGTTTAACCTGAAGAAAAAAAGACTCAGGAAGGCTATGATAGCTGTGCTCAAGTATTTAAAAGCCCCTTGAGCAATGGGTGGAAGTTGCAAAGAAGTAAATCTAAGTTTGATAATAGGAAAAAAACAAACAAGCAAAACTTCCTAACAATTAAAGCTGTCCCTAAGTGGAACAGGCTGTTTCTAGAGGTGTTAAGCTTCCCTCTCTTTAGAGATTTCCAAGCAGAGGCAAAAGATCATTTGACAGGCTTATCATAATGAGGATTCCTTTTAGGTATGGATTGGACTAGATGGTCACTTCATACTTAAATTCTGTTATTCTTAATTCTGTGACTGGCTAAATTTGTCCATTGACCAGCAATGTATTAGAACAAAAATTTAGGCTCATGGTTTACCATGACTTTCAAAAAGAAAAAAAATGATGGTTTCATTGTTCAATTGTCCTAGGGTCATTGAAAATACTCCAGAGCCAATTACCCAGATATCATTTAATAGAAAGACACTGAATTGATGAATTTGCACCTGTACATTTTAACTTACTAAAAGTATCATCTGAAGGGGAAGAAGAGGGGGAGAAGGACAGACCCCAGCAAGAGTTTGGATTCAAAGAAAAGGTATCAATCACACTGGGCCATATTCCAGTGAAGTTAATTATATATTTTTTCTATCAAATTATCTTGTTACTTTAATCTGCTATGACAACAATCATCTTTTGTTAGTTTATGTTCTAGCACTGCTGCCATAATGTTGCTGCTGGATTTCACCCTAGGGGGATCAGGTAAAACAATGATCTTTGTGGAAAAGGGGCCCACCTTTCTCATCACCACCAGCAGCAACTACTGACCAAATGTCACCAAGAGGATGATAGGCACAAGAGCCCTGGGAGGCCCAAGAAACCCCAGACCACCAGGCCTGCTTCTAACCCAGCCCTCATAGCCATCATCTCGGGAAGCACCTCCTGTAGGCAAGGGATCAGCTCTCTCCACTAATAACATCTAAATCCTTCCTTCTGCATTTAACTTCAGTTTGCTTTTGTCGAAATAGGAAATAGCCGATAATCCTCCTATTATTATATTCTTTGACATGACTGATCATCTTTCAGAGATTAATCACATGTTTTATAGATTATCTTAATTCTTTGCTTTACTTCTTTCTCCTTCCTTCTGCCCTGCTTCAGTAATGTTCATGTATTTATAAAAAAGATGGACCAGGAGTAAAGAAGTGAAGTGCAAATTTTATCACTTAGAGGCAGGGTACCATCTGGACTTGGAGTCAGGACAGCCCTGGATTTGAATCAATCAGTCAACAGGTGTATGATCATGGGCAAATCATTTTACCTGTCTGAGCCTCAGTCTTCATTTCAAAAGTGGAGATAGTAAAGCCTGTAGTACTTACTGTACTGAGTTGTTAGACTCAAATGGAATAATACATGTAAAAGAGCTTTAAAAACCTTAAAGTTCTGTGTAAATATCACCTGTTATTTTTATCATTATTATTATTACCTATAAGAGTGATAGAGAAGTGAAAGGGACCTTAGAGGTCATCCAGTTCATGCCCCTAATTTTACAGATGAAGAAACTGAGGCCCAGAGAGAGTATCACAGAGGTAGATATTTATCGATAGTTGGGTTCAGTAAAAAGAGTACTCCATTTTGAATCAGAAATGTTTAGTTCCATTTCTACCTCTTATTTGCTGTGATCTTGAGCAAATCACTTGACCAACTCCTCTATGTCTCAGTTTCCTCTTCTGTAAAAAGGGGATAAGTATCCCTATACTCACTCCAAAGGCTGGTTGTGAGAATTAAATTAGATAATGGATATAAAGAGCTATATAGATATCATCTATTATTATCATAAGAATGTTGAAATTCATAGATTCTAATATATATTTTGGATCATGCAGCTCTTTCTCAGTCCATTTTTAAAAATGCCTTCAGTTTGCCTTCAGTCTCCTTCCTTACCTTCTTTACTAAATTCTGATTTAAATGTCACCTCTTCCATGAAACTTTCATGAATCTTTCCAATAGCCTTCTCCTCTCCCTCTTCTTCTTACAAAACTTTGATTTGTTTATCAGGTAATATTAATGCTTTTTGAATTTTTGTTTTATTTTCTATTAAACTTCTGGGTCCACAAGGGCAAGGACTACAGCTTACCTATGGTACTCATATTTGTTATTTATTATAACTAATTGATGTATTAAATACCATTTTCATCATGTTAACTACTCAACAACTTTACAAAAGAAATTCTATCTTCTAATCAAAACAAGTCCAAAATCTTCATACTGACATTCAAGGCCCTCTGACCCCACCCTACCTATCTCTTCCTAGTTTACTTTCAGATATAAGAGCAGAGTCTTAGAGTTAAGCAGTTGGTTCAGTACAATGTTCGATTATTCTTGTTTCTACATTTTTGCTATTACTGTTCTTCCTCATCTAAAATTCCCACTCTATTTTTTTTCCATTTATTTAGTCCATAAAGGCCTGCTTCTTTCATTAGGACTTCTTTATAACTACAGCCAACTGTGATCTTTCCTCTTTCTGATCCACTGTAGAATTTACTGTGTGCATTATGTCTATATTCAATTATGCAAATTTCATGTCTTATAACATATGATCTTGTATTGTGCTTTTAAGGCTTATCTATCCAGAATTATTATAAGCTCTTAGAAGGCAGAGAATACCATATATTGCTTTTGTTTCCCTAACACACTCCCTAAGCACATAATAGTCTCTCAACTAGATTGAATTATCCCTGCTATTTTAACAGATAACTAAAACTTAGTTGTGTCAAATTTGTTTTTCAAAATATGCTATTCTAAAATTAGGAGTAAACTATAATCACTATCTACATAAGTAAGAATAACTAAAGACTTAAACCTAAACCCAATCTTTTCCTTGACAATTCTACTGAATTTATGGTACACAAAGGAGCATAAGATCAGAACTGCTACTTTGGAATTAAATACATATTACTACAAGAAATATTACCTTTCCCAATGGCTGCAAACATTGGGGTCTTCAAGATTCAATGATAATGTCATTCCAACCCAAAGGTAAAACAATATGAAAGGGAAGTCCAAGAAGGAGTTCAAGTAAACTTCCATTTTTCTCCAGAAGAATAACCTGAAAGAAAAAATACATACCCAAATCCTTAAATTCAAAATGATCAAGTCTTCTTTGTAGGATTATAACCAGTAAGGATCAGTTGTTATTATAGCAAACTAAAATAATAATAGCAAGTCACATAATTATTCAATACAAGTATAATCTGATTTTAAGGTTTAGTATAGTGATGAATTTCTTATATAAGGCCAGTAATCTAGGAGTTCATAGTTAATTAAACTATTCACACGTATAAATACCATTACAAGTAGTTGCTAGATTAGTCACTAATACTTACAATAGTCAGAGAAAATGAGAAATACTGAACTGAGAGCCAGTGTGGGAGTGAGGAAAACCAACGTTTAAGTTCTATTTCTGTTGCATACTGTCTACATGACTCTGGTTAAGTTACCTACCCGCTCTCTCAGTACCTTCAGGCTACTCTAAGTCATAATATGCAGAGCAGCTGCTGATCTTTATTGGTAGAGGTAGTTTTATCATCCATTAATGGTGTCACACTCAAATAGAAACGTGGGCTATTAAACCATACATAAGGATCCCTACAGCCTGTGTATTGACTTAGTTTTAAAATCTAACATCATCTGTGTTTTACTGTTTTATTTATTCTGTTAAATATTTCCCAATTAAACTTTAATCTAGTTCTCACCCCACTAGAGTGTTGTGGACCATATGCAGCCTTTGTGTTTGAAGACTCTGCATTATACTGTGAGCTCCTTGAGAGCTGAAACTGGTTTTTGCCTTTCTTAATATTCCCAGCACTTCATACAGCGTCTGACACATAGTAGGCATTTTATAAATGCTTGTTGACTGACTGAACTGAATTTCCCTATACCAGTGAAATCCTAGGTGCAGACAAAACTTGCACATTAAAAAGTCCTTATTATTCATTCTGGCAAAGACTAAGCAAATCACGTGAACAACGCAGCCACATAGGGTCCGAAGTTCCATTTATCTATTCCTCTTCTATTGTTAGACACTGGAGATATTTACAGGGAAGGATTTGTTGACTAATAAAAACCTTTCTAACTAGAAGGCACATGATGATGGGGTCAAAGTTTTTCACAGGGCAGTTCAAGTTCAAAATAAGACAGAAAATTTATCCCTGATATCGAGGAATACAGAACCATTTTTTTCACTTCTGAAAACTCAGCACTTGCAAATTAGTCTCTAGAAAGTGAGGTTTCTATCCTGCTCTTCAGTAAATTAATTGTGACCTTGGGTAAGTCACTTAACCGCTCTGTGTTTCACTCTCCCTATCTGGAAAATGGGAACAAAACCTACCCCTATTTACCTACCTTACAGGGCTGAGATAATGTGTACTAAACATTCAAGTTCCTTGGAGAATGGCTCAATATAAATACAAAATAATCTATTAAAGTTACTTTATTTATGAAAAAAGCGAGGTTTCTTTTCCATGGATTGTCAACCATTGTATTTAAAGTTGGAAATAGGTAAAACTGTGCTAGAAAAAAGATGTCATTCACCCAGCTTATCAGGGAGGTTTGCAGTTAGCCTGACTGGATAATGGGATGGATCACATGGCCTGCAGAAATGTAGAAACATACAGCTGGTCCACATAATAAAAGGTATTGCTGGCCCTCATCTTATATAGATAGTATCTGATCTGGGACCCAGGCCACCCCATTTTCAAGGAAGACTATGGTTTCTGCTTTTGTGAGGAAGAAGAGGAAGGCCACACCTGAATAATCACTTGTCTAGCTGGGGAAGTGATAAACAGCATCATGGACTGCCATAACTTGGTAGTCTCTCCTATACTCTCTTATGTCCAAGGATGGTACAAATAGCTGTATGCTGGAGCTATCTAGGACTGACTTCAAGAGCCAATCATTAAATTTTCAGTGTGAACACTTATACCTTGGAAATTGGCAAATGTGACAAACCAGGGTTGTGTCTAGACTTAAGAAAGTAATGGAGAAATGTTAATAATGTAGATTAAGCTTAAAAGTATATTGTAGGTACATTTTTTTCCCCAGAGAACCAGTTGTTAAACCTTTATCAGCACACTCTTGGCATCAGATTAGAATTATACCTATCTACTACACATCAAATAGCTATAGTGTAGGATTACGATAGAGAAGTTAAAAATCAAAGCCTCTTCCTTGGTCCCTCTTAAGGAAAGGATGACACTTAGCTCACTTAGACAGCTTACCTTCCTCCCAGAAAATGCTGGTCACACAAAAGACCACCACAAATATCTAGTAAACCTCTTTATCAAAGAATAGGCGGGAATTGGAGGAGTTATACAGATTCCTATCTATGGAAGTCAAAGGATATATTGTGGGGCTAGTTTGCCCTACATTTTTATGTCTCTGAGAACTCTTAGTAACCACACAAAAGTTTATGCCTTGTGGCCCCAGACTCGAAATCTCTTCCAAAATGTTTGCCTCTTACACAGAGGCAGAAGCTCATAAATCTTTCCATCAATCATTGGTCACATCTTTTTCTACATACATAAAAGAGTAAATGCATTTTCTATAAAGTCAAACCAAAGAAGTAATTTAATCTCATGTGTTTGATCTCTACAGAAAAGGTTTAAAAGGGGAAAAACTAAAGAAACGTGGGTTGAAATCCCAACTCTACTATTTTCCTGCTTGTGTAACCTTGGGTAACTCACCTAACTTGTCTGGATCTTAGTTCGCTTACTGGTAAAATGGGTTACATTAGAGGACTCATAAGATCCATGTTAGCTCAGACTCTATGATACTATGACATTCTGGTGCTAAAAAGTACTAAAGGGTATTGTAGTATCACCATGTCTAGAAATACTTATAAATAGGATTTTTGTTAAAACAGGTCAGTTTATCAAGCATTTAATGGATATTTCCTACGTACAAATCATTATGCTTGGCTTTGAAAATAATAATTGTTGACCTATATGAATTGCTTTAAAAGCTGCCAAGTCATTTACAGACATTAACCCAATGATTTTCACAACAATCATATGAGGTTGTTATCACAGGTATTGGTAGCCTTCTTTTACAGATAAGGAAACAGACTCAGAGAGGCTTATTGGATTTGCTCATCATCATATCATCATACAGGAGTGTTAGAAATGAGATTTACTCCTACTTTTCCTGCCCACAGGGCTAGCAATCTAACAATTATACCATACTCCTTTTCTATATTAAAAGCAAAAAGAAGTGTCAATCATGTAGTCCAAATTAGATTATAACTGATTTGTTTTTTGAAAAATTACTTCAAAGTTTTACTATTTCCCTTTAGCCATTTTAAATCAGTAAACATGAAAATTTATTCTTACATGACTAATTAAGCTATAAGCTACCAGTAGCTTCTGAGTTTTTACTCTTTACATGGAAAGAAAAAAAAGAAAATCTCTGAAATACTAACTCACCAAAAATAAGGGTGACAAAATGACACCTTCTTTTGACTATAGTAGGAGAGGTTGTGGGTTACTGTAAAATACATACTGTGCTGTAAAATGCGTATTGACAATTTTTTTTTTGTGTGTGTGTGTGTAGCAAAATCTTTATTTGATTTCTGGACGCTTCTTTTTTTTTGCCTTTGGAGCAGCTGTTTTCTGAGCGGGTCCCTTCTGGGCGGGTCCCTTCTTGGCTGGGGCCTTCTGGCCGGAGGCTTTCTGACCTTTCTGAGCCTTCCGGCCAGGGGCAGCCTTCTGACCCTCAGCCTTCTTTGAGGGGACCTTCTTGGCAGAGACCTTTGCGGCCAGTGCCTTCTGGGTAGGCCCCTTCTTAGGAGAGCTCTTCTGGGTGGACGCCTTCTGGAGCTTCTTTACTTCATGCTTGATAATTCGGTTTCTCATTTTCTTGGCTTTCATGACTTTGTAAAGGTCAAAATCTGTCATCTTATCTTTCCTTGCTCTGGCTTCAATCTTCTTGGCCCGTCTTGTGGCTTTCCATTTTGTATTGATCTTTTCCTTCTCCCAAGCAGCCCGGACATACTTCTGACGAGCACCGTGTGGGAACTTGAGAACGAAGTCTGTTAAGTTGCATACATTTAAATGGCATGGCCTGTCTCCTCACACCACTGCATGGTCCATCAACCAAAGCCCTGTTCTGATCAATAACATCCACAATAGCTACCAGCTTGCCAGCATGTGGCCCGAAGGAAATGTAGGCCACTCGGCCAATTTCCACATAGTGCTTGAATACCATATTGGCGGGGCTGAACGAGAAGCCATATTGACAAATTTTTAAGGCACAGACTCTGATTATTCTTCCAACCAATCAAGAAGGGGAAATCTGGTAAGCATTAATTTGCTATCCACTCACAATTATCCCAAATTAGAAAGTTTATATGCCAAGTCACCAATTCAAACCAAGCATTCCATTTACCAATTACAACTATTACCAATTAGAACTATTTAGTCTGTAAACTCAGAAACTATTTAGGACAACCAATCAACCTGACAAGCAAAAGACTATTTCCCCTTTTTATGTAAAAAATTATTAACAGCTATCAACCAGTTTCTCAGGTAGCCTGTGAATCACCCTTTGAAATGCCTCAGCGCTCCATGAGGAGGTATAAAATAAAAACCACAACTTAGCCTCAGCTTTGTTGCTCTCAAACATTTAAGAATGGGAACTAAAAAAATGCAACTATAGCCAAAAGCCACAACTAAATTGTTCAGGAGGGAGGGTGGAGCCAAGATGGTGGAGTGAAAGCAGTGACTTACTTGAGCTCTCCCCCAAACCCCTCCAAATACCTATAAAAATGGCTCTGAACAAATTCTAAAGCAGCAGAACCCACAAAAAGACAGAGTGAAACAAATTTCCAGCCCAAGACAACCTGGATGGTTGATCAGAAAGGTATATCGCGCCAGGCTGGGAGAGAAGCACAGTTTGGGGTGGGTGTACAGGCCACAGTGAACCTGGAGCAGGCCTCAGAGGACTTAATCCTGGGCAGCTGTGGAGGTTTCCAGACCTCTCAACCCACAAACACCAAAGACAACTCAGAAGGTCATTGGGAAAAGTCTGTTTCTGCGGTGAGAGAGAAGGTAG